GCCAGCATACAGATTGTAGCCAGAGACGACGATCTCGGTGCCTTCGAAGCCCTGGAGAGGCGCCACATTGGTGATCATAGGCGCAAAGAATGTGACGTCCAGCGGGTTGGACTGGCCGTCGTCGGTGGTCAGCGTCAGCTTGGCGTCCCAGATCGAGTTGGCCGAGGGGTTGAGGCCTCCTGCCTCCAGATTGGGCACATCTACGTAGAAGTGTACGTTGTCGACGTCGTAGAGGACTGGCAAGGTGACCATCACCGCGCCACTTGGGTTGTGTAGCTTTGCTTGGGGCACATTGACATTGCTCCTAATTGATGTTCCGGCCACTTTAAACCTGCCACCACGTACTATCATTATCTGTGGCTCCACGGTTTGTAGCACCGGTGGGAGTGCATGCACAGCCAACACAAACAGGGCAATAAAGACCAGAAGTAGACTTATTCGCGTCATTCTCTGTGTCTATCTATGCTATGTTATGCTATGTTCTCTGTGTTTGTTTGTGTATGTATGTATGATTGATTGATTGATGTGATGTGATGTGAGTGATTGATTGATCGACTGAATAATTGATTGATCATTGAGTAAGTATGGAAGTGATCATGAGTTGATCAGTAAGGCTAGTGCCATGCATGCCTTTGTCTCGCCGAATGTGTGACCAGGGTTGGGCCCAACCAATGGTCGCAGTCTGAACTTGGATATCATGTTGGTGATAGGTGCGATTGGTTGTAAATGATGGTGATGATGTGATTGAACAGGGGTTGGAAACGAACGAATAGACATATGAAATTAGGTTGTGATCGTATGATCAGTGTGGTTGATCATCTGTGTGAGTTTGTGTGTGGTCTCGACTTTGATCAATTTTAGGAGCAGTCTTGATGTCTTTTGGCGATTTTTGATTACATCGCAAGGCTTCATCAACCAATTTTAGCACTGATTCGTTCATAACCTACACAAGTTTAGAACATTTGATCACCTGATCACTGATGTACAACTCTTCGGTTTCACCAAGATATGTTCACATGCGCCCCATCATCAATTTCATGTGTGGTCGTACCTTTGCAGATGATGATGATGGCGATCAAGTTTCGACTTGACGACCAATGGCAAGGTAAAGGTATCCTGGGTAGGTGTGTAGGCCAAGGACCAGCCACCGATCACTCGCTCATTCATTCACTCACTCTCTCATTCTCGAATGAATGAAGACACTCAATCAATCAATCAATCAATCAAACAATCACACTCACTATATCATCAATCAATCAATCAATCAATCATACATACATACTCACTCACTTAATCAATCAATCACAGCTACATCATGGCACGACTGGCACGACTAATGCTATGTTGCCTGATGTTGGTAGTAGTGGCTAGTGTGATAGAGGCACAGAGCTGCCTGTCGGGTGCCGGACAACCGGTGACCTGGTGGCTGGTTCGCAAGTTGCCGCTCACCCAGCGATATATATATGCAGACAGCAGCAGAGAAGATATCGTCGTCTTTGACAATTTGGCCGCGTCCAACTCGAGTTTGGCACAGACACTCGCATCGATAACATCTCAAAAGTACTTGATGTACAATGACATGCCGTGGAAGGATGACGGCACGATGGACACGCCGGTGGCCGGCGTCGCCACCCCACCCACATGCGCAGCCAGGGGCATCCTGGCCTACGCACCCAACACCCCGGGCAACCCGGGCTTCCACATCCTGCAATTCGATGGCCGGCTTCCCCGTGCCCAACGATGTGCCGGGTCAACCGATCGACAAGTCGCTGTTCAAGTTGCCGGGCACCAATGGATGGATGCCCCACGACTACCATCTGCAGGGCGACCCCACTCTCGCGGCCGACGTGTCTCACGGCCACGCCTTCCTCTGCCACACATTCACCGCGCTCAGCTCGGTGGCCACTGTGCTCTCGCAGGCCTACCCCTACATCTACCGCACAAACATCTCGCCACTCAATCAACCATTCCCCTCTGTCTTGGCACCAGTGTTCAATCAACAACTGTTGGCCGCAGCTCACTTTGCTCAGAGCACGGACAACGACATACAGATGACTGGCAGTCATGGCGACGACATCTGGGTACTCTCTCAATCATTTGGATTCCAGATGACTCAGCCACGTCGCGATCCAACACCCAATGGCAACATGCTTGTCACGAGCACCAAGCTCTCCCCTGACTTCTCCAAGAAATTCTCGATCCCACCCTCGCTCTCCCAATGGTCCTTCGACATTGATGAGGCTCAACTCGCTGTATCCGAGTCGCCCGCAGTCGTCTGTCTTTCAAACTACCATCAGCTCAATGTAAGTCCTCGGACTCACCCATCAACTACTCAATCAATCTCACATGCTAACACTGGAATCATTCCACCCCTCCTCACCCCTAGTACATGGGAAGATTGATCATCTGTATTCCAGGCGATGTCCCACTGGCCCAACACTTTATCCGTGCTGTTGAGACTTATGAGAACTCGATGTGCGTTGGCCAGCCGAATTGTGCAGACTTGGACAACTTCCAGGCCACACAGTTCATCAAGGGCAAGTTGTTGATCGACGTTGAGTCGCCCATGCTGCCCGAGAGCATCGCTGAGTACATGGCAGCATTCCCCGACTCATTGCTGCCCAACACCGACCTGAGCATCTACAACACCAACCATTGGTGCAGTGACTCATGTCTGGCCGCCATGAGCGAGCAGTCTTGGTACCGCTCGGACGACTACGCTCAATTCTCATTTGAGAAGGAGTTCAAGCCATTCGTGCTGATCTTCCTGCACGACCAGGGTCGCGACATCACCATTGTCGACGACAACAACGCCACCATCTCTGAGCCGTCGCGCGACATGAGTGATCAGGGTGCCTACTCGCCCTACTTCACCGACGACTACGTCGTGCTGTTCCGTGTGTTGCAGTGGCTGCATGACGTGCGCCAGACTGTGTGGCCAATGGGTGCGCCGTCACCCCGCAGCATCTTTGTCACATCTGACGCCTTTTTCAGTGGCCGCATGAGCACGAATGGTCCCGTCATCAAGTCATTCTGTATGGACTCCATCTTCCAAGCGTTCGCCTATGATGTCGTCGCTCAACTCGATCGTTCCTTCGATATTGGCTGGACCTCACGTCCATCCTCCGCCACCTATCCCGTCGCCGCAGCCAAGTGGGACCTTGTGCATGGTCTCGTCACATCCATCGCCATGAACTACAAGAGTGTAAGTTACAAGATTGATTGATTGATTCAAACTCAAATTGAAAACTGGAGTTGAAAACTCACACCACCCTCCCACATGCACACTCGTTCAGCTTGTACTCCCATCACTTTCACAACATCTCAAAGAATCATTTGACCCTGATTGCTCGGGTCAATGGGTAGACTATGAGAATTATAATGCCACTCAAGATGCACCAATGTCGATGGGCTGGACTACAGCCTTCTTCTGGGACCTGTTGGACCAGAACCCAGACTCTGGCGCCAACGACAACAGTCCAGACCCAACAATCTCACTCGCTCAACTACTTCAATCATTGTACCGCATTGGCCAGCAACCCGAGGCTCAGCAGCCCACCAATGCTCGCGACTTTACCGCTCAAATGGTCCAGGGAATGCCCGCCACAACCGTCAGCAAAGTGCAAGGCACAATGGACTATGACCAGATCTACATGTGTGCTACGTCGTGCCAGGCCGCACCTGTGCCGGTGACCGATCCCACCTCCATCCAGCAGTACCTCATCTCGTTGGGCGTGTGCCAGAGTGAGATCGATCAAGTCTCACTTGAGTCCATACAGGAGGCCATGCAACAATGGGTATCATACAGCAACAATGTGGTCGACAACACTTTGGTAAAGTTCATCACTCAACCCGTGGAGACCCGCGACCCAGTGCTTGTGTCGCTTGTCAACAGCCTGAACACGGCCCGCTGTGGCCAGGACTCGCTGCCAAAGTCCATGGTGCAATTCACCCGCGTGCTCGCCAACCAGCTGTACCACGCCACCATGTCCTTCCAGTACTCGCGCAACATTGAGACCTACTTCTTTGGCGACACTACCAACTGGGTCTCGACAGGCGTCGCCGTCACCAAGTACAACGACCATCTGTGCTGGGTGGGTACCACCTCGCTGGCGGACTTTAAGCGCGGCATCCCCCTTGAGCACTGTGAGGTCGGCCCCTTGGTCACCTCGATCGACCCGCTGGACGGACCCACCGATCAATCCAGTGCCATCACAGTCATCGGTCACAACTTGGCCATGGATGGCGTCACATTCAAATTTGGCAACAAGGACTGCGTCTATTCCAACTCCTACTACAATCAATACGATCAATCAATGGTGTGCAACCTGGCCGATGGCATTGGTATCCTACCAATCACCTATTACAACTCCCAAGCCAGGCTACCCGCCGAGCGACCACTTCGTGACTGGATCTTTGCATATTACAGTATGTTCTTGGAATCACTCCAACCCCTCACCAAATCAATCACTCACTCACACTCACACTCAATCATGTAGGACCTTACATTAGTCAAGTGATCATGCCAGTGGAGCCAGTGCCAACAGTTGGCTCATTGGTGACGATTACAGGATCCAGCTTCTTCTCATACACATCCACAATCGCAGACATCACGGTCCAAGTTGAGAACATAGTCCAACACATAGTCGACAGTTACCAAGGTCAGGGTTTCATCTTTGAAGCCAAGGGTACAGGTTTGAACAAGTATGTATTACCAAAAAGATCCACTCAAACTCAAATGCAAACTCACACATTCAAATGCATACTCACACCATCAACCCCCGAAGACTGATAACAGTTACAGTCGCCAAGCAATCCAATGATCTATCATTCAATCAATTCTTCATCAACTTTACTGCACCAAAGATCACGGGAATCACACCAATGATCAGTTTGGACAATGGAGGTGGACAACTAATTTCTGTCCAAGGTTCGTCATTTGGCGCGCCAGACACCACTACCGAGTTCTCCATACTCCTTGCCGAGAACCCTTGTGAGCCATCAATAATCATAAGCGATACCCTGGCAACGTGTTTCACGCCAACTGGAACCAACCCGCTGTCCACGGTACGCGTCGTGGTCGACAACCAGGTGTCACAGGAGAGGAACTTCATCCTGTCGTACAAGGGTCCACACATCCTCCAGATCGTGTACCCGCCCATGCCCACAGCCTACTTCTCCCTGTTCTGGATCGCCGGAACCAACCTGGGAGTGCGCGATGGTCTGATGCCTAGCGTGTTCTTATACGATGCCACGGTCGACCTTGAGTGCGAGGACGACCACGACAACTGCTATATGGACAAGAAATACTTTGCCGCTGACGGCCACACCCCGGCACCTGTGCCCGCCGCCCAGAGCCCTGATGTGGCGATCAGCATCGACAACTTCGACCCGTACATCTCTCTGAACGACTCGTTCCGCCGCACCGTGGACTTTGATTGTGTGCGCTGCTGGATGAACCCAGGCATTGGCCGCGACATTGTGGTCGAGGTTGGCCTGTACTCGGGAGGTGACATCGCCCAGGACAAGCTGCGCTACATCGCACCATCGATTGCCAACGCATCAGTGAGTGATAGTGACACGGATGGTGGCGCTCAGATCACTTTGATTGGAGACAACTTTGTTCCCAACGAGCTGATCGTGGAGGTGCACGAGTCTGGTCTCAACCTTACCGACGCTCCACTGGAAGGCCCAGCCAACTACACAAACGTAACAATGGACGGCACAGTGATGCTGCACAACGTGTCATTCGTCAACTCGACATTCATCATCGGCCAGCTGCCTCCAGGCATCGGCCGCAATCATACTATAATGACATCAATCGGCAATCAACCATCAAACACTGTCAACTTTGCGTACAACGCGCCCAACGTGACGTTGGTACCACGCGCACCAACTCCTGGCGGCGTCAACATCACCATCCAAGGCCACAACTTTGTGCCAACCAATGTGTCTGATGGCGGAGTCACACGCAGCAACGTGACGATCAACAGCCACCTGTGCACCCCGGTGAAATGGGTGTCGTCCGCGCAGTTGGTGTGCACTGTGCCAGCGGGTGTCGGCAAGAACCTCAGTCTGGACGTGGCAGTTGGGGGACAGCTCAACACTGACAACTCTACATTCAGTTATCTCCCGCCCACTGTCAGTTCGGGACCCTATGTCTCCCCGACCGAGGGTGGCGCACACGTCACAATCACCGGAGCCAACTTTGTGCCAGCGTCCCTCGCCAACGACATCAACACCCAGCACCCACAGCCCGACGCCAACTTCACAGTCATTATAGGCGCGACCCCATGTCAATCAATCAGATGGATCGATCAGGACAAGGTGGAGTGTGTAGTGCCCAAGGGCATTGGCAAGGAGTTGATCGTCAACGTCACAGTCGGCTTCCAGGCCATCGAGGCAGCCAACACATTCTTCTCCTACAACGCACCACAGGTTACCGCGGCCACACTCTCTGACACAGAGGGCAGCTTGATCACAATCACTGGTGCTAACTTTGTGCCAACAGGTGTCGACGCCCAGAACTCTAGTGTGGAGATTGGATCGGCCACAGACTCGCGCACATGCGCAAACGCCACATGGGTCGACCATCAGACCATCAGATGTCTCGCACCCTATGGGATGGGCGCCAACATCCCCATGCGCGTCAACATCGCCAACCAACAGGGCACGTACAACATGTCGTACAACAAGCCATCAGTCGATGACCTGGACTACCACGCCCCGACCAAGGGTGGTGTGCAGATCACAATCGTCGGCGCCAACTTTGTCCCCAGCCCACTGGCCACCGCGACCACCGCCCAAGGCCAATCAGCGGACAACTCAATCTTTGTAGGCGATCTCCAATGTTTGGCCGTGTCCTGGATCAATGCTTCGCGCGCCGTCTGTACCGTGCCAAGTGGCGAGGGTGTGGACAAGCGCGTCAAGGTCACTGCCGGCCGCCAAGAATCCGACACCAACACATACTTCTCATACGATGCGCCCAACATCACTTCGATCGTGCCTAACCGCGGTCGCATGCAAGGTGGCACGCGCGCCACAATCACCGGAGCCAACTATGGCCTCAACCCATCGGTTAAGATTGGCAACGTCGCAACGACCATCCTCTCAAGCACGCACGAGTCCATCGTCTGCACCACCCCCGCGTCCAGCACTGAAGGTGACGCGCTGGTTGTGGTCACTGTGGCAGATGGCCGCTCGACCACCCAACAGGTCAATTTCACATACTATGGCCCACCCAAGATCGACTCAATCTCGCCCGCCGACGGTTCAATCGTTGGCCAGTACGCCGTAACAATCAATGGACACAACTTCCGTGAGGATGGTTCGGTGCTCAGTGTGTACTTCAACGGCCACGCCGAACGCATCACCTCGTCCAACGACACGATGATTGTGTTTGTTTGTCCACGCGGATGGGGCACCAACATCAACTTGTACGTCACTTTGGGCGATCAGCGCAGCAATGACAACTCAGACTTTTCATTCCGTGCGCCACATATTGACTCGATCACACCATCCGATGGCGGAGTCAGCGAGTCCACCCACATTGCCATCAAGGGTACTGACCTCGGACTGTTTGGCCAAACATCCACCATCACAGTCGGTGGTGTGGCATGTCCCATGGAGACTGTGGCATACGATGCCACAGCGCTCACATGTACCATCGCGCCCGCTGCCGCTGGACCCAAGGATGTCGTTGTGACCTTCAAATCGCGCCAATCCAACGCCGTCACATTCACTCATCGCGACGATGACTCTTCATCATCCTCCTCATCCTCGTCCTCATCGTCATCAGATTCCAACTCTGGAAGCACAGAAGAGCCAGACAAGACCAAGACACCAGAGATTGAGGGAGAAGTTGTGATTGACATCATTACCACGACCTCGGTTATCATCGACCCTGTGACCAAGATTGGCACAGTAGTCGTGACATTCGTCGTGACCATACCCATTGGAGTGGTGACTGGCTTGCCAACACCATGGAGATTCACGGCCACCGACATGATCTTCAAGACCCGCGACCCCATCCCTTGGAACTTTGACTTTGACGACATATTGCCACCCACAATCACACTGCCCTCGCCACCTAAACTCGGATGGATGACCGATCCACTGGGCAAATGTAGCCTGAACGCTGTCATTGGAAGTGCACTGCAGATCACCAGCAGATTGGGAGGCATCACCAGCTTCTTTGGCAATATCTTCAACTTCCCAGCTATCAATCCATGTGGTTCAAATCCATCCTCAACTACCGATGGTGGATCAACAACAACGGACACAACAACCAACAATCCATCGACAACTACCAACGGTCCAACGACTGGTCCATCCACGACCAGCCCAACAACTGGCCCTGCCTCGACTACTGACTCGACCACCTCCACAACCGGTCCTGCCACCACTGGTCCATCAACCACCAGTCCAACAACTGGCCCAGCCTCGACCACAACAACAACTGGTCCAGCCACAACAAGTCCATCCACGACCAGCCCAACCACTGGCCCCGCTTCGACCACCACAACCGGTCAAGCCACCACAGGTCCGGCGACAACCAGCCCAACTACCGGTCCAGCCTCGACCACTGACACGACCACAAGTCCCTCGACTACCAGTCCCTCGACAACCACCCCAACAACTGGTCCAGCCTCGACTACTTCCACGACAAGCCCAACCACAACCACCCCAACAACTGGCCCCGCTTCGACCACTTCCACCACCAGCCCATCAACGACAACCCCAACCACAACCACCCCAACGACTGGTCCCGCCTCGACTACTTCCACCACCAGCCCATCTACCACCAGTCCATCGACAACATCACCATCCACAACGACTGGAGCTACAACCACGACTGGCGCTACAACAGGTGCTGGATCAGTGTCAGAACTCGAGGGCATTGTATATGTTGATAACAACTTCAACAATGTATACGACTCTGGAATTGATCGTTTGGACTATGGCACCACTGTACTCATTGTTGATCCAACAGGCCACGTTACCAACTTGACAACAGACTTCAATGGCAAATATTACTACGCCACGTTTACTCCTGGCCAACATACTGTCACCGTGGTCAACACCAAGCCACAGCACATAATGCCGATCACTCAACGTACGGTGCAAGTCGATCCCGGCGCAAGGGTGATTGTCAACTTTGCAAAGTTCACCAGGTCCAAGCAGGGCTGTGTCGGCACACTCACAGACGCACAGGGCAACTCGATCACACTGCAATATGGCACATACAATCTGTCCAACTTCAACTTTGTCGCGCCATCACCATTGACACCATCGTCGTCGGTGTTTGACCCAATATGCCAGTCTACCCTCATTGGAAGTGGACCACTGGTAACGATCAATTACGCGCAGTCAATCAAGCTCCAACTCTACGTTGATCAGGACATGAATGGAATGATGGATGCCAACGAGACCACTACCAGCCTGCCCGTGAACGGACAGATCACAATCATTTCCAACTCCACGCAGTACAACTCTGCCGTCAACACCACGATCCAGGTCACCTCGCTCCCGGTGCTGGTCACACTCGATGTGCCAGCCGACGCCATCATCACATACCGCGCCACCCTATCTGGAAACCAGACATCACCCGTGGTCCCCGTGGTCCAGGGTCTGGTCGTCTCGCCATCAGCCAACCCCACCCCAGTGCACTATGGATACTATGAGGAGAAGTCCGAGAACACAATCACCATGTTGGCATCGGCCAACTCAACAACTCCATCAGTGTCACTACCTTATGGCCGCTTCAGGACTTCATACTTCCAGAGTGTTGGCTGGATGCCACCACACACACAGATCGTCGTGGCACCCACGTCCACAAAGTCGATCGCGCTCACCTCCACAGCAGCACTTGGCAGCAATGTGACTTTGAACCAGAACACAACGATGCAGTACACATTCAACATCACTGATTATGATTGGATCGAGGTGTTTGACCCTACCCTTTTGGCCAATGTATCGATCGATGTGCCACAGGCTGGCCAGAACATCACGTTCAAGAAGCGCTATAATCAGTTCATTGCACAGCCTGTGATGATCATTGATGGTGTTACCATTGATTGCTACACCACACCAGAGTCGGACAATGTCACTTGTACCGTACCAGCCTACCGAGGTGGAGAACTTGTCAAGCAAGTGACCATGCTGTGGAACAATGTACAACTATTGCAATACTACACTATGACTTACCAAAACTCCTCATCCACTACCTCCACAACTACAACTGGCACAACCTCAACTTCACCATCCACGACAACGACCGCCTCAACAACATCTCCATCGACCACAACTGGCACCACCGCTTCAACAACTTCGCCATCCACAACTACCGCCACAACGACTGGAGTCCCTACTACATCGACAGCTTCGACAACCTCACCATCGACTACTGCTGGTACAACTGCACCAACTACTACGACAGCCTCTACATCTTCCTCATCGACTACAACTGGCACCACCGCCTCAACTACTTCGCCTTCAACAACTACCGCCACAACAACTGGGGTCCCAACTACATCAACTGCGTCGACAACCTCCCCATCGACCACAACTGGCACCACTGCCTCAACAACTTCGCCATCCACAACCGCCACAACGACTGGAACCCCAGTTACTACGACAGCTTCGACAACCTCCCCATCATCGACCACTGATGCATCAACAACGTCGCCATCCACCACGACAGCCTCGACAACCTCTCTATCGACAGCCTCGACCACTGGCGCTTCCACAACATCACCATCGACCACTGGCGCTTCGACAACCTCTCCATCGACCACGGATGCATCAACAACTTCGCCATCGACAACATCTCCGTCTACAACTGCCGCCACTACGACTGGAGTCCCAACTACATCGACCGCTTCGACAACCTCCCCATCGACCACCGATGCATCAACAACCTCTCCATCGACCACTGGCGCATCAACTACATCTCCATCCACTGCATCGACCACTGACGCTTCGACTACCTCTCCATCTACAACTGGCGCATCAACTACATCTCCATCTACTGCATCGACAACCTCCCCATCCACAACAACTGGAGTCTCGACTACGACCACAGCCTCGACAACCTCTCCATCGACCACTGGCGCATCAACTACCTCTCCATCGACCACCGCAGCATCTACAACATCCCCATCAACCACAACTGCCACCACCGCCTCAACAACTTCGCCATCGACAACATCACCATCCACAGGCACAACCACAACGACTGCTTCGACAACCTCCCCATCGACTACTGATGCATCAACTACATCTCCATCGACAGCCTCGACCACTGGCGCATCAACAAGTGCCTCGACCACCACCGATGCCTCAACAACCTCTGGAGTCTCAACTACCTCGACAGCCTCGACAACCTCTCCGTCCACCACTGATGCATCAACTACATCTCCATCCACTGCGTCGACAACTGGCGTGTCAACAACCTCCCCATCGACCACTGACGCATCAACTACATCTCCATCCACTGCATCGACAACTGGCGTGTCAACAACCTCCCCATCGACCACTGATGCATCAACAACCTCTCCATCGACAGCCTCGACCACTGGCGTATCGTCAAGTGCCTCGACCACCGATGCATCAACTACATCTCCATCGACAGCATCGACAACTGGCGCATCCACAACATCTCCATCGACAACCTCTGGAAGTGCCTCGGCCACTGGAGCATCAACATCTGCATCTACCACATCTGGAACCACAGCTTCGACTACAGGCATCCCAGTATTTGCAGCTCACCTGAACGGTTATTTGTTCATCGACCATAGCACCGACAACAAATACGAGGAGCAGACTGATCAACCTCTTCCCAATGTGATGATCCAGGTCACTGGACCTTCCCTATCCACGCCCATCCAGACATCATCAGACGTCACCGGCTACTACTCATTAGATATTGTCAATCCTGTTGGATCATACAATGTGAACATCATCTCATTGCCAGCTGGCAGACTGCTCCTCCCACTTGATGTTGCCATCCACCATGATATAGTACTCACACCTACTTCCAACATTGCCAAGAACGTCTCTGTATTGCTCGTTAACGAGTTTGGATGCAATGGCACCGTACGTGCACTGGACACCAACCAACTAGTTCACCTTTGCTATGGATCATTCAACCTTACCGACTATGGTATTACCAATGTATCCAGTTCCAACTTGGTATTCAACGTATGTTATGCTATATTGCACTCGATCAATCAATCAATCACTAACATGACTGCCAACTCATTCAAACTTTATAGTTTGATTCATACTGCAAGACCAACTTGACTGATGGTAACTTGACAATCAAATTCAACCAGACTTTGGACACAACATTGTACATCGATTCGAATATGAATGGTCTGTTGGATGATGCCGAACGCAATCAGACTCTTGGAAACATATCGACAACAGAGTTGATGGTGAAGTCAAGGAATCCAGTCTCGGGCCTGACAATCATTCGCCATCTGAGTATCACTCAATTCCCAGTCAATGTCTCTGTTGACGTGCCACCCTCAACCGCCATACTCTCGTTCGCCAGTGCCAACAACACCTTGACACCAATGATACAGAACAGATTTGTCCCCCTAGTCAACACCAGTGAGACCACCACCATCCAATACCCAGTGTTCTACGCTGATGCCAATCAGACAGCATCAATGGCACGATTCATTGTAGCGCAGGTTGACAACTCCTCACTGCCACTCAATGCTTCAACCACATTGGAGACATTCAACAGCACCAGAGACCAAGTGATCACACTACCCTACGGTCAATATCCATGGACCATGTTCAACTCGATAGTATACCCAACAATCACACCAACACCCAACGCAACAGTTACACTTTGGTCAATTATTCAATCGACAATCTCCAACAAGACATTGGTATTGACCAATAATGTTGGCCAGACATCAGTTCACTCCAACTTGACAGAGCTGGTAATTGATCAATCGGCATTTGTCAATGGTTCCATCGAGATATTGGACCCAACCATGATTGTTGCCAACGGTGCCAGCACTGTACCACAAACCGGAGGTACCATTCTGATGAAGGATACTTATGGACAAGGTCTGGCATCGATCACAGTCGATGGTGTCGCAATGATCTGCACCAAACTGTTGGACGGCACTGAGTTGTTGTCTTGCCAAGTACCACCATATATCAGTGGCAGTCTGACCAAGACCATCACAATGACCTGGAAGAACAACCTCATCCTTTATCCATACTTTAGTCTAACCTATGACGCTGCTGCGCCATCAACCACCACTGCATAATAATCCCAAATATTACAATATACATTCAATCTTAGTTAATCATTATTTGTTATTGTTGTTGTTCATTTATTATTATTATTATTACATTGTTTGTTGAGGACTGATCACTACTGTGCTTAGAAGTGGTCCACATTGAATCGCCACACTCCCTCGTTACCATCGTAATCGATAAAGTGTGCTCCTTGTCGCTCTCTGTTCTTCAAGAGCTTGGTGTAGAGTTCGAAATGCTTCTCGGACTTGTTGAATGTTCCATCCTTGTTCTGTGGCCAACACTCTTGGAGTGTGATCATTGACTTGCGATTCAAACCCTCTCCCACGGCTGGCTTCTTTGAGTCGTCAGGGTAGACGGTGATCTCTCTCTTCTCAAATACGATGAGTTGATCCAGGTCGAGTCCTCTAAGGTCAACATTGCCAAGGAACAAGACTGAACCATATCCAATGCGCTCAACATAAAAGTTGTTGACGGCGGCCAACTCATTATCAGACATTGATTGGAGCTGCTCAATAGTTGGACGGCATGCGTATCCAGTGAGGGTCAACTTTGGTGCCTTTGGATTGGACTTGATCTCTTGTACGACTGGCTTTGATTGATGGACCTTGACTTTACGTGATGACACTGGGGCTGGTTGTTGAACATCTCCAGTTGGTTTAGCAGTAGTGAACAACTGAGCTGGCTTCCTGAGAGAAGCGGCAGTCTCGGATGCTGTGCTAACTGTGAGACTCTTTGAGTACTTGGTAACAAAGTCATCCAACGTGATTGTTGATGTTGTTGTTGTTGTTGTTGTTGTGCGGCTGCTATTGCTAATTGGTTGTGCTGGTGCTTCGGATGCCTGGGTTGCATTGAATCTACGTGGAACCAACTTGGTGGTTGATCTTGGAGTGTACAACTGCAATGTGGAGGTGGTGCTGGATGTGGACACCTGAGGAGTTGTTGTGGCTGGGACAGTTGCAGCGACTGAAGTGATGGTCGTGGGGATGACCTGGGCAACATTGTTTGTTGCTGTGAAGAGGACCTTGGGCAAGGTCTGGGCCTTGGTCGTTGGGAAGTAGGGGTTCTCGGAGGCAATGGAATCATTCAACTTGATTGTTGGCTGGGCGATTGGCTCAAGCGCCCCAATCATTGTAGAAGTGGTCTGGTTATTACCCAGACATGAAGAATTGGCAGCCAATCCAAACCAACAGTTTGAGTAAATTGGCTTGTCATTTGTTGTTGACGTTGACGTGGACGTTGTGGAAGTTGGTGTTGTCCAAGTAAATGTTGGTGTTGTTGTGGGCCAGCCACATGTTGGCTTATCAAAGATTGACACCTGAGCGGTGTTGTTGGTGTTGTTGGCGTTGGTGTTGTTTGACAACAACGTGGAAGTGTTGCCGGTCTGGAAGATGTTGGGAAAGGTATTGGTGGTCTGGACAGGAGCAGTAGACACTGGGTTGGCAGATGTACTGGTAAGCCATGAGAATGTCTTAGGGTCCTGAGCAGTAGTAGATACTGCCGCTGGAGTAATGAGTGACATAGAAGTCTGAGGATTGAACAACGTTGGTGTGGTATTGCCGTTGTTGATATTGAATATTGGCAATGGTGTTGGTTTGATTGAATGGTCAATGAATGACATGCCTAGTGTCAAAGCATTGGACGTTGTTGTGTTGAATGGATTGTTGAAGATTGAACCTGGACTTGTTGTTGTTGTTGTTGTATTGTTGTTGAACTGTATAGTTGGATTTGTTTTGAAAGGGTTGGCATCAAATGGGTTGGTAGTAGTCGTAGTAGTATTGGTTGTGAATGGGTTGGACCATGTAGATTGTGTAACTGCTGGAGCAGCAGTGTTGTTGTTGGTGCCAAAGAGTAAATTGCTAAACGCATTTGGAGAGGCAGATGGCGCTGGTGTTGGCGTTACAGTTGGCGCAGTGGTGGAGAAGCTTGGGAAAGGATTGGGGAACGCTCCAACTGGTTTCTTTGAGTCCTCATGTCTGAGCTCCTCATAAGACTTGTCCTTATACTCCTTCATTGCACTGATGGAGTTGATAAAGAACTTGGTAGGCTCTCCCTTTATGGTCTCCAAATCAGACGTCTGTTTGTAAGGAGGGTTGCCAGTACCGGTTGTAGGTGATGTGGCCATGCCAAACAAGTTTGTTTGGGTACTTCCATTGTTTGTCGTAAGAGACTGGAATGGACCGGCATTGGTAGTGGCTGTGGCTGTAGGCGCAGGCGTGAAGAAGTTGAACGTGGAGACTGTGGCTGGTGCAGCGGGAGTCTGAGTTCCAAACAGGTTGGTGGTGGCGGCGGTGTTGGTACCGAGTCCAAAGTTAAAGTTGGTAGTTGTTGGAGTTGTGTTGAAAGGGTCTTTGAGAATGAGCGTTAGTAATGAATGGCCTCTACTATTATAATCGGTCGATCACATATTGACACTTACTTGTTGTTGAAGGCCCAAACGTTGAGATTGTTGGCCTATTTTCTGCTTGTCCAGTTGTGGGTCCGAATCCCCATCTTGGTGTAGCATTGTTGTTGAAGGTACCAAAGGTAGCTTTGAGAGGAGAACAAAAAAAAGGGAGAAGAGAGAAAAGAAGAGAAAGTGAAGGAGAAGAAGAAGGAAAGGGAGATGTTAGTTTATTACTCGGCAGATTCATTGTACTTACTCTTCAAAGATATCTTATTCTTCATCCTTTATCATTCATCCTCTTTAGAGTCTTTCTGAAGCGCGCCGATGCATTGTGGGTGCCAACCAGGCCTCAGGAGAGCAACAGCCTGGCAGCAATGCACACCAATTAATTTAATAACTGGATGGATGTATATTCAAATGTGATCATCAGGTTATCAATCTCATTGAATTCAGCCTTGTAGCTCAACAACACAATGAGCATCTCATTCATAGTTTACCATGCACATCGGATCAAGAGGTGGTGCAGGTGGACGGATGGATGGTGAGGATCAGTGTTGCGATTGTGTTGGTGTTGGGTATGCGTCGTTGGAGAGAGAGAGAGAGAGGGAGAGAGGAGGAGAAAGAAAGAGATAGATAGAAAGAGAGAGGTAAGAATTCAATCAAAGTAGTGCGTGCTTACATGTTGGATTGGGTGCGAATATAGACATGATATTGATATTTCAATTCAAAGAGATAATCAATCAATTAATTCAATTAACAATTTAATATCAAAGAGAGAAAGGATTGTTTGTATTACAACTAACTAGAGGGAGAGAATGAGAATGAAGTGAATGTTGTGTGAGCTCAATCTATTTAAGCCTGACTGTCCTCAACATTCATTCAAACTTTGTTCTCACACAACATTGTGAGTTGTACTCTGGGAGAATCTTCGCTGAAGCACACATAATAATTGTGTGCGCAATTTTGACACCACAGAACACATTCAAATGAACTTCGAATATTTGTGATCAAACAGGTGGTCCATTGTGCAGTGCACTGCATTTATTAAAGGCGGCAGGGGAGATGAGGAGAGAAAGAGGGATAGGAGAAGTATGTACGTATGTATGTATAGGTGTTGGAGTAGTTGTTGACGTTTGTGGTTGCGTATTGGACCTTGTGTTGTTGTTGTTGTTGTGTATGAGTTGGATATGATAAAGATGATGATGGTCGTTGTTGGTTGATTGGTTGGTTTGGTAGATTGGTGAAGAGGTGTAAGAAAGAAGATAATTTTAAAACTCTTTGAAAGTCTGTTTCAAGAGGATCTCCTTCACGGCCTTAAATACAAAGTCGATGTTCTGAGTGTCGATGGCGATTGTCATGTGAGTGTATATATCCTTCTGGGAGTTCTTCATTGTGGCCAGGAACTTTTTCTTTATATATGTTGATACATCAGAGAATGAGTTGTCGCCTTTGAGTTTATGATTGTGGAGTTTGATGTTTGAGTTTGACAAGTTAGTTTGTGTTTGTGTTCGTTTGTGTGTGTTTGATCGATCAAACATACCTGTATAATGTGAATCATAAGTATTGAATGGCACTCTTTGTAACTTCTCGATGAGTAGATCTTTCTTGTTGAGGAAGAGGATCATTGGAGTGGTTACGAACCACTGGCTGTTGCTAATCTCTGAGAAGAGGTTGATTGACTCGTCGAGACGGTTGACGGCAACCTCGCGACACATCTGATCGTACTCGCTCAGTGCTGCGACAAAGATCACCGCTGACACGCCATCGAAACAGTGAATCCACTTGCGTCGTTGTGAACGCTGTCCTCCAACATCAATGATCTTCATCGAAATGCCATCAAACACAACATCAGCCTCTACAATACCCTTTGTCATCACTCTTGATCGAAGGGCATCCTGTGGCGTCGGCAAATACTTTGAATCTGCTATCCTTGCTAAGTTATCAAAGAAACTATATTTTGATTGATTGATCAGTTAGCATCAACATTCACATCACATTGATTGATTGAGCGAATGTACATACTATCTAGCTGAATCGTTCAATTGGAAATCCTTATCTCTACGATCGTAAACTGATCTAATAGCTGGATCGGACCAGAGTCTGGTGGCATCGTCTGCCACTTCAGCAGTCCAATCCTCTGTGAGATGTTGACGATTCTTAATCCTCTCTGGTATATCTTGATTCTGGGGCAACAGAGGTATATTGAACTTCTCACAGGCCATGACGAGGACGAGCAATTGAGAGGTGATATTTACATAGATGCTGTTGCGGAACTCGAGCAGCTCGCGCTCCGTCCACTTGCCATTGTCCTGCAGGATCTTTAGTTGCTTAAAGATGGTCGACTTGCCGCACTCGCCTGCGCCGAGCAGCAGGATCTGGATGTCGCGCTTCAAGCGGCGCTCCTCGTGTCTGAGCTCCTTGTCGATCTCGATGGAGATCTTGAGCTCGTCGGTTCTTCGTGCTACACAGCTCATTTTGTTAATCTTGCTGGGACTACTGCTGTAATTACTACTGCCTCCGCTATTGTCTGTTACTGATCTGTCTATTCTCTCCGTCTGTTATCTACTCGGTCAGTTTGGCGTCGCTGTCAAATGACCTTTAAGGTGTACTATACAATGTTATTTAATTGGATTGGGTTGGATTGTTGGTTTGGATTATTTATAACTATATATATAATAATAATTGATTGATTATATTATATATATAAGAAGTAATGAAATTAATATATTATTATGTGTATGTGTGAATAAATATTTGGTTGGTAGAGTGAATGAATGAATGAATAAAGGAAGTTGAGTATTGTGTGTTGCTGTTAACCTTTTGAATGTGAATATATATAATGTATAACTAAAAGAGTTAATTAAACAAATAGAGAGAGAGAGGTGAAGAAGTGGGAGGGCGAAGGGAGAGGAAGGGGTGTTAGTATGACTCTTAAAATATCAACAGTGTTATAACAACAACAACAACAACATGATTGATGGATGGAAGTGTAGTGTTAAATCAGTGTGTTATTGATTGATTGATTGATTGACTGATTGATGAGTGTGGTGTGGTATGTGTGTCAACTCAAATAACACACTCCGACTGTGTGTGTATCCATCAACTGTCTCACTCATTATGTGTTTAAATTAGAGAGAGAGAGAGAGTCAAGTGTGGGTTGGACAATGGATTGGACTGTGATGTGAATGAATAGAATGAATGAATGGATGGAATGAACGAATGAGTGGTGTGATTGGTGGTAGGAGATGGTAGGAGTATAATAAATTATAATCATTGTCGCGACGTTGACAATGGCTTGGTGTTTGATTGATTGGTTGTTCATTGTGATCGACTTGTGAATGTAATGTATGTCTTTGTCTTTGGGAGATGATGCTTACTACAGGGGAATTTGACCAAGGTAATGAATGTCTTTTAAACTAAACCTTGTGGTAATAATAATAATAATAATAATAATAATAAGAATAAGAAATACGAAACAAAGATAGATAGATAGAGAGGTATAATAACAAACAAGCACGCAAAGTGGAGAATGAACGGTATGTATCACACTCAGGTGATGTTGATGAGCGAGTGAATGAATGAGGTGAGTGTGAGTGAGAGACACAAAGCGAAGGTCAAGTAATTGTGAGAGAATAAGAGATAGCGATTGACTGTCCACAGCAGTAGTACATCCAGCACCATGGTACGCATGGGGTTTGGAACAACATCAACAAAACAAAACAAAAAAAATAGGTGACAATTTGTGGAACGTTCTGTTTTTCGAGAAGGGGGAGGCACACGCACTTTGCGAGGTCCGCAGTCCATCTCCAACTGCCACATGTTGCGTGAACGTGTTGGCGTTAACTATGTGTGTGATGGGATCTGACAAGTGGCTCAGTGTGGCCTTTGGCATGAAGTAGTTATTTGATCAATCCTGGGGCAAGATCATCTTTGAGAGATGTTTAGACGACTCAACTCGACTCGAGTCGACGAAACAAACAACAACAACAACAACAGTAACAACAACAAGTCGTTTAGATCTTGAGAGTTCAAAGGGTATTGTAGAACATATGTGTTTGATTGATTGTGTCTTTTGGTTGGATTGTGGGTGATCATCTCGCGTCAATCTAAACTTGGGTGTCCATCCGTTGGTGTTCAGACGGACGGACTGACGGATGGATGGATGGATGGAGTCCAATCACCGGTGTGTGGTTCTAGAGTGCGTCAACCCACTCTGATTTAACAGTTTGACTTAAACTTCAAAGATGTTCGGTGAATTGATGGGGATGGATTGTCTACCATATGGCTAACTTATGGGTCATAAATTTAATGACCAAATCAAACATGTGAGTGACAGAATGTGAATGTACTTACAACTTCGGAATCAAAGGTATCTGATGATAATAATAATATTGTTACAAATAATAGTAATGTTATAATGTACAATGAATGAATGAATGAATGAATGAATGATTGGATTTATGAATAATGGTAGTCAACTTTGATGATGATCACACCACAACATCAAACAAGTGGGGCAGTCATTTCATCAACGAATCAGAATAAGAGGATTGTCAGATCCGGCCCAACTGGCCGGTCCAGTATCTTGGCGATCGGAAGATATGTGCCAAGAACTGCCCAGCCCATTATCAAGGTCCTTTTGCTTTACTTTACTCATCGCAACCACACTCCTCATGCGCATTCAGTAATCAAAACAAAGATATCGCGTTTGCCAGCTTGTTGCAAGAGAAACTGAACATTCATTCCTTGCATTACCAAGTGGGTGTGTCTGTCTACTTCTCTCACTCTACCCTGGTAATAGATAATTCGAATGATGTTATGATCTTTACTACTACCAATTATATCTCAAAGTGGTGATATATACTATAGAGTGAGTCACAATTTCCTTCAAGGGTAAACTACAATGTTGTAAGTTATTTGTTTCACCCCCTCTCTATTCGATGTAGAATAAATATAACAATCTTGTTCACCAATTATTACGTTATTAATAAACATGTACAATGAAGTTGAACTACATCTTGATAGAACGGGAAGTTAGTTAGTTTGGCAGGTGACCCCAAACTGACCTTAAAAGTCCAACCGACGATGAAGAGTCGAAGCCCCTTTGCAAAGACAAACACTCTCAAATGAATTACATTACACACTTCCATACAAACACACTTATACACACTTACACACACAAACACAACAACACAAGTGTCAACACTCAATCAATCAATCAATCAATTCAACATTACATACATTACCTATCTCTAATACATCAACATTCCATTCATTCATACATACACTAATTGGTATGATGATACCCATTGTTTAGACATCCTTACAACCAACAAACATACTTTACAGCATTATATTTATATATAATACAACAACACATTTATATACAATGTCAATAGGTATTGATAGACTGTTCTTGTTACTGATTGGACTTGCTACTCTATTCAGTCAAGGTAATGAATTAATGAATGAACTAATGTGGATGAACTAATGGAATGGATAGTTGGACTGACAATATTTATACATATATTAGTTATTGCAGATTCGGAGGACTCTGAGGCGATACCAATACCAGGATTGAAGAACACTGTGTTCATCATTGTCAGTGTTGTGGTAGTAGTGTGTATGATAGTGCTGTTGGTATTGTTGATATTCTATTGCAAGGTTAGAGAACAGCGTGCTGCGATGAATCTGAATGGACTGCGTGGCAATCGTCGTCGTAAGGGTGCCGATGGACAGGTACCACTGATATCCGGTGACTTTGACAGCGATGACGACGATGATATTTACAGCATCAACGAAATGGCATAAGATAAATATACAATATTATGTTACTATCTTCCAGCTTCCTCTCCCCTCCTTCCTCCTCCTTCCTCCTCCCTCCTTCCTCCTCTCCTCCCCTTCCTCTCCTCCTCTTTCTTCCATGACAGGCGATTGGTCTGCGCACAAACATTGGTGTGGACAGACACAACAAGCATCGAGCTCGAGGATATACACTGTAATGGATGTACAATCAATCACCAGATCAGACTACACCACACGGCAGTAAACATACATACTAGATAAGTGATTTTATTCATATTTGAACGTATTCTTACTGTTGGAGAGAGAGAGTGTGATCATCACATCACTTTATCACTTATTGTCGCTGCTTACAGAGAGAACAGACAGACATTTGCTTATCTGAATGAAAGCAACTCAACCTCAAAGATCAAAGTGGCATTACCTGGGATGACACCTCCGATACCAGAAGCACCGTATCCAAAGTCTATTATTATGATTGAGGGAGAATGAATGTATTGGTTAGATTAAGTGTAATACACACATTGAAATGGGTATATCCTATATATTCATACCTGGGGAGATGGTCAAGATGGACTTCTCACCCTGGGTCATTTGGGCAACACCCTCATCCCATCCCTTGATAACCTGACCCCTGCCGAGGACGAACTCGAATGGCTTGCCTCTCTTGCGAGATGAGTCAAACTCAGTTCCGTTGGTCAACGTTCCAACATAGTGAACAGAGACAGTCTGTCCCTTTCCTGGCTTCTTTCCATTTCCCTGTACCTTAGTTTCGATGTCAACGCCCTGTGTTGTGTTGTGTGTGAGTATAATCATTCATTCATTCATTCATTCTTTGAACATATATATAATTCTTCGTACCATTGTTATATATATATTTGTTTGGTTGTTACTTATGTGTTTAATTGAATAATGAGCACCTGACCAAGACAACTTCAACGATGACACCCATGTTCAATTTGAACAACCCCAACAAACAAAATAAACTTGTTTTTTGAACTTCATTCACTCATTTTTACGTCCCTCATCAACATCACATTGTTGTTATTATTTGTTTGTTGTTGTTATTTGTACAATAATTGATGTCCAAGATGATAATATAATGTAATGTATGGTAGTACTTGCTATGTACTGTACTGTTATGAATGGATGAGGCTAGAACATATCCCATGACATAAACTTAATAAAGAGTATCAGCATTATAAAGCCTATAAACAATGGAGACACTGGATAGTATGATATCCTATCATTCTCCAGATACTCCTCGATCGTCACATTCAGTCCCTGCTTAAATGTATACTGTGGCTTGAATCCAAGCTCACGCTTGGCTCTCTCATTGTTGAACATACGGTCTTCAGACATCCTAGTAATATGATTGATTGATTGATAGATTGAATGAGTCAGTCAGAGTTCGCATTGGTAACATACATGTTGCTGGATGTTGACACCTAGGACACTTACCTCTCCAATGTCTTTGGTTGGAAAAGGAACTGCTTGTTCTTGAATCGATAGATGAGCTTGCCAACGAGGCCGATGGCACCTTGTACAATGACACCTGGTAGGACTAGTCTTGGCTTCATTCTGTTGAGCTTCTCATTGATATATATAATGACCTCGCGGTATGATAGTCCTTTGTCGGGCGCGATGATATAGGTGTAGGGCAAGTCCGACTTATTGCTCACGTCCAACGAAGATCGCTTCTTCTTCATCGCCAACATAATGCCGTGCACGACGTCATCGATGTGTGTGTACATGACAGAGCCCGTGGCGAACGATGGTATGAAGAATATCAGACCGTACGAGATGGCTTGGATCAGTTCAAACATCGAGAAGTCGTCCGATCGTCCAAAGACTCCGGTGAGCCTCACGATCATTGTGTCCAGGCCATAGTCCTGCTCGGTGGCGCGCACATGCTCCTCACCCTGCAGCTTCGTCTCGCCATAATAGAAGTTGGGTGGGTTGTCCCTTGAAGTCTCTGATCTCAGCACGCCAGGACTAGGTGGACAGCCACCCATGGCCTCTGTCGACGAGATGTATATGAACCTCTTGATGAGTGGGTGGTCGACCACCTTTGGCAGGGCTTCACCATCGCTATCATCACTGTCTTGCTCGCTCTCCTCGCTGTCGCTGTCACTGTCACTGCCATCGCCATCACCACCACCTTTATGCTTGCGATATATTGATGCCTCCAACAGGTTCTTTGTTCCAATGACGTTGGTCATGTATACGATATGCTGATCGCCTGGATAGAATTCCATTGCAGCGGCCAGATGAACAATGATGTGGATGCGATGCGAGATGATCAACTTGCGCAAGTGTTCAATCACCTTGCCCTGATGCGCAGCGTCCAGGTCCAAGTCAACAATGTCGCCCACCAGTATTGAGAATGATGGATTGGATGAGAACTGTCTGAACTCCTTTGGCATCTGTCTTGACTGTGTCGAACCATCCACTTTATGTCTATTCCTCACCAATGCAAACACTCTATATTGATTGGAGTCTAACATTGGTCGCAAGCAGTTTGAACCAACAAAGCCTGTTGCTCCAGTTAGCAGTACATTAAGCTTTCCCTTTCCATTGCCTTTCTGATCACTTGTTGATGTTGTTTGTGATGATGATGATGATGATGATTGTGATGATAATGATGCTAATGATGCTAATGTTGCTATCTTTGTATTCTTTGTCATTACTAACTACTACTATACTATTACTACTACTACTACTACTACTACTTGTATATTTGTATATATGTATTGAATGATATTTATTTGATTGAAGTAGAATGATGATCAACTTTTAAAGTGATTTAGGATTTTAATTGTGGGTTGTGGACCAAATTGCCGATGCCTTTGCATCATTCGGCAACTTCAAATTGGTTGGAGCCACACCCTTACATCATTTGCAAGCTCAATTATAAGTTTATTCTTATTATTACAACAACAATTAGTTGTAGAATGGACATTCTTATGCCCTTAAGCCAACTCTTTCAATCAATCAATCAATCAATCAATCAATCAAACAAACAATCAACTTGATGATCATACCAATTTTAATGAGATGGGTGGTACAGGGTGGATAGGTAATCAACAAGATAGTCACGATCCAAGCAATCATTGTGTTATCATGGTGATTGAATAAACTAAAGTTGATATCTATCTGTCTTCTTAAACAATCAAACCATTCATTCGATCATTGGCATTGAGTGGACCGGTACTGAATGTGTGTGTTTGTCACGAACTACTACTTTTTTTTTCTACTTTGCATCGCTGAAGGGTCGTGCGACAACATTCGAGACTCTTGGGCGTTGTTGTGTTCATTCTTTGGCTGGGTCAGCGTTCTTGAGAAAAGACGACTAAAGAATACATTCATTCATTCATTCATTCAGGTCTTTCACATTCACAACAACGTCCACATCTCATTCATTCATTCTTTACACAACCATCAACTCTGTCAATCAACCGGTCAATCAATCAACATATTCATACTTAGTCAATAGTCAATCAGTCAATCATTCATACATCTGCAGCCAAACAAACATAGATATATACATATATACACAACACAGACCTCATTCATTGGATGTATTGACATAACACAAATATACAACTACAATATATATATAATAATAATATAGATAATATATAAGATAGAGATAGAGATAGATAGAGATATAGGTCAACTCAAGATATAGAGAGAAAGAGATAGAGATATAGAATATGGATGACTTTGAAACAGCGATCCTGTATAGCTATGACCCTTCTATATCAGAGGAATTGAAGCTAAAGGCGCTGGCATATACCAATACAGTTAAGGAGTCACCAGATGGTTGGAAGTTCTGTCTGGAGAAGCTATTTCAGACAAAGTCAATACACGTCAAGTTCTTCTGCTTTCACGTCTTTCAAGACGTCATACTACATCGCTACGAAGCACTTACCGAGCAGGACAGACTCAGTCTAAAGAGCACCCTAATCACATACTTGAAGGTCGTACTGGCCAACACAAATGAAGATACAGGTAAGCGTCAGGGGTGGCAAAGACTCATTCAATCAATCAATCACTCACTCATACCATACTTCAGCAATCAAGAACAAGTACGCACAGATCGTTGTGTTGTTGTTCAAGCAGGAGTACCCTGAGCAGTGGCCACAGTTCTTTAATGACTTCTTGTCAATGCTCGCGATTGGTCCCAATGTGATTGACATCTTCCTACGCATACTAAAGTCAATCGACATTGAAGTGGTGTCATTCAATGTGCACAGGTCAACTGCAGAGTTGGCACATAATACAATGATCGTTCGTATCCCTCTTCATCAATCAACTCACTCACCTGATCAATCACTCACTCACTCACTCTTCCACTCGTCCACTCATTCACCTGGATGGAACTATTCCACCACTCATATCAACATCACCTGGATAATACAAACCAATCAAACAGAAAGACACAATGAGGGATGGCGCCATCAAGGACATCGTATCGTCATGGTACGAGATACTGGTCCACTATCACCAAACCAATCCTCACTTGGCAAACATGGCATTGCAGAACATCAAGCATTATGTTGGTAAGGATTATTATTATTAGGATGGGATGGAATGGCATGGCATTGACAACATTCAATCATTCAATCAATCAATCACAAACAAACAAACAGGATGGATAGATATCAATCTGATTGTCAACGACAGGTTCATCCAACTGTTCTTCAAGCTATTGAATGTGATGCCTCTGCGCGAAGAGGTATGCGACTGTTTCAAGGAGATCATTTACAAGGGTATGGATCCAAGTTCAAAGTTATTATTGATCCAGAAGCTTCAGATCAAGGACATTGTCAACCTGGTGGCCCTTGACGATTTGGACTTTGTCGTCAAGATTGGAAGTCTGGTCAACCTGACTGGTATGGAGGTGCTCAGGGGTCTGGAATCAGTGGTATGTTATTGATGATGATTGATTGTTTCATTGATTGATTACCATAATCAGGATGATGGACTAACAACCTCGCGACACGTGTACACAGGCTGGAAACCAGGAGAAGAGAGTGGAGGGAGCAGACAAGCTATTGGACGACTTTTTAGAGCTGCTTGTCAAGTTCCTCAACAACGAGTACAATGAGGTCTCCACCACAGTCATGCCATTCTCTGCATTATACATCACAAAGGTAATTTCCATGCCTTCCACTCAATCACTCACTCACAGACACTAACTCACTCAAACATTACAGCTCAAGAATGTCAAGCCATTGAATGAGAAGCAGTTGCAACACGTCACATTGTTGGTACAGATCATTCGCAACAAGATGAAATATAAGAAGGAGTTTGACTTTGGCAATCCAGAGGGAGAGGATGAGGTTCAGTTTGCAGAGTTCCGCAAGGACTTGTCCAATCAGTTCAGGAACATCTTTAGGATTTGTCCAGAGATGGTGGGCTCCTTCGTCCAGACAATGATCGCCAACATCACACAAGACCCAGATCACTACCAGTTCACAGACATCGAGGTGGCCATCTACCTTTTATTCCAAATGGGTGAGGGTATCACCGCCACACCCGAGGACACAATGAAGCCATTCGAGAAGTTCTTTGGCTCAATGGTCATACTCCTGGCAGGCAGCAGTAAGTAATAATTCATTTGGATTGTGTGGATTCCAAGTATCACTCACTCAATCAATCAATCAATCAATCAATCACAGGGATCATCACATTTGAGCTCCATCAGATTGTATCGCTGACCTACTTTGAGACAGTGGTACGTTATGCCAAGTACGTTCCACATGATCCGCAGAACTTGGGAATGATCCTGTCGGCATTCTTGGATCAACGCGGACTACTCAACAGCAACACACTGGTGCGAAGCAGAGCTGGCTACCTACTAAATAAGTTGGTCAAGCAGCTCAAGACCCAACTCTTCCCCTACATCAACAATATAATCGAAGCGCTAAAGGTATGTCAAGCAACCACCAGTCCTCCTTCATTCATTCACTCACTCACTCAATCAATCACAAACCAGAACCATTTAATCATATCATACGAGATACAGAAGGAAGTACCATTCGACGAGCAACTCAACTTTTACGAATCACTTGGCTTCTTGATTGGAGGTGCCTCCCTGCCACCCCAAGAAGAGCAGAACTATGTCGAGGTATGATACCATCCATTCACCTTAAGATAGTCCACGAGTGACCATCACTAACCAATCACATCAGAAAATACTACTTAATCCATATATGAGAATGGAGGAGATAGTGACCAAGGGATTGTACAAAACAGATACCAAAGAACAGCCAATCCATGGCACTCAGCTCATCCAATTGATCAGTGCAATTGGAACATTCAGCAAAGGATTCACACCGATCAACAACTCGACTGGCAACCTCAAGCCCGAACCACACTCCTACAAGGCATACTTTATCAAGTCGCTCAAAGTCATTCTCCTCCTACCCAAGCTGCTTCCACACAATGAGGAGATCATCTCGAGGGTATGTCCATGTCTACACACAAACATCAAACCATGTTGCGACCAATCACTCACTGACTGACCATCATCCAAACAATCAAACAAACATATAGACATTCTTTTACATGCACAGAATGGTTGATTGCCTTGGCAATGACCTCAAGCCAATGCTACCAGAGATATTGTCAACGTTGTTGAATCATACAAACAGCATTGAGAAGTTGGTCGAGTTCATATTATATGTCAATCAGTTGATGGCCAAGTACAAGGAGGAGTTGAACACTTTGATCAACGATTTGCTGCAACAGATCATTTATAGACTGTACAAGTCGATGGACTTGCCCCGTCCTCCCGAGCCCAACACGGACGAGGGACGCAGCTACCTCGAGTTGCAAAAGTCCTACTACTCCTTCATCCTGTCCATCCTGAACAATGCACTGGCGGCCACGCTGACATCGCCGCTCAACATCAACACGCTGCCGCAGATCCTGACGTCGATCATCAATGGCTGCACGTGCAGCACCAGCGACAGCGTGCAAAAGACGTCGTTCTCGATTCTCAAGCGGCTCATCGACGAGTTTGGCCGCGGCGGACCCAAGCAGGTGGACGGCTTTGACAAGTTTGTCTACAGCCAGATCATACCGACGTGCTTCCAGGTGCCGATGGCGCCATCGTTCAACACTGCCGACTTTGCCTCGAATCAGTTGGTGATGGAGATTGCCAAGTCGCTCAAGATCATCTCGCAGCGATATGGCGACGAGTTTATCAACTACCTTGGCGGTGTCTATCTGGCCCAGATCAACATACATTCACCCGAGGTCGCTCAGCAGTTTGCCCGCCTTCTACCCGTCACAGTACCATTGAAGGATTTCCAAGACTTCTTTAAACTATTTATTAGGAACCTCAAGCAACAACAACAACAGCAACAACAATCATCCAAGAAGTAAATGGACCGGACGATAATATATATACACTTACACTTACACCTACACTTACATCATCACACCTCACATCATTCGACATACCGATGGACCAACAACAACAACAACAACAACTATCAAGCCAGAACAGAGATGTTTGTGCTCAAATAAACAAAGGTTAACAGTCAGTTGTCACAACAACAACAACAATCATCAACAACAACAACATTCGTATTTACAACAACTTGTCATCTACATCCACTCCACTTAATTGATTACTTTAAAAGTGGGTTATAACTGTTAAACAGATAGAACACTATTATATCTGATTGATGTTGTGAATATGTTGAGTTATGTGTTTGTTGGGTTAGTGGTGTGTTGTAGTGATTGGCATGATGGACAAGTGTGATGTGGTTGGTCAGAATCAACATATAATTCAAGGAACAAATATCTTCCTTTTGACGGATAATGACCTTATAAAGTATTTGTAGATCAATCAATTTTAAGAGTTGTGATAATCCAAAACATATAAATACTTGATTTTGGTATTGAATAATATCATCAAATCAATTAACTAATATCTAATTAACTAAATCAATCAAAATGACTATCATTGGTAAGTACTAAATAAAAATGAAAGATTTATATATATTTATAATTGTTATTCTAACTTTAATTTAATTCCTAATATTATAGCCGCTATGAAGAACTTGACCCCAACTGCCTCCTCGATGGGCATGTCCAACGCTATTATTGGATCATCTTCATCTGGTGTTACCATGCAAGGATCCAATAAGAGTGCCAACCTCCTTGGATGTCTCCCATGTCTTCCAGACCTCCATATTAATGCTGATGTTCATATCAATGTCACTGTCAATGGTTGCACAGTAGTTGACACATGTGTAAAGGCCAACATTTGTTAATATCTAAAGTTGCTCCTACAATTAAAATATTATGAACAGATTGTTCTCAACACTTTAAATCTCTCTTGAATAATTTTATTTACTATTAATAGATGGACTTAACCTTGACTGAAGTCCCAACTATCATTCAAATTCTTCTTCTGAGAGTCCCATTATTCTATATAATCTGGAACATTCCAATATGGGTATTCCATCTATACTAATATATTTAGATATAGAACATATTATCTTGTTCTCTTGCATGATATAAACTCCAAAATATGTTTCATCTCGTACTTCAGCTTCGAAGAATAGGAGAATTACCTCTTCCTTGTCATTACAAAATGCAGATTCAAATGGATAGTCCTTCCCCTGAAACGATTCAATTGAATGTCTTGTATATATATGTCTTGTATAGCATCCCCCAATTGGCGATGTGACGTTACTCTGATCTCAAATGATCCAACAAGCAAGAAACAGTTTGGGGAAATTTCATTCATGGAGACTACTCTCAAGCTATGACGGCGTATTGCTAATTCCTTCGATGTGAGTATTGGGCAAGTCATTGAAGTCTTAATCTGTTATGATAGGATTGTGAATTTATATATTAAAATATAATAATAAATAATATTAAATCATAACAACTCAGAGTTGATGGTTTTCAACCAAATTTATTTGTAAAAGTGATTCTATCCAAGTTTGATCAGATCCACTCTGTGACCTTTCATTTGTATAAGTTTCAATGGTATCAGATAGAAATATACTTGTATTTGGGAGGACTGGTAACATCTATTTTTTTCAACCTATTATACATATTAACTTAATACTAATTATGTTGTCAATCAAACATTTAAGGAAGTGGCAAGAGTACCCTTTGTAACGTCCTCTGTAACAACAATAATGACATCATCAGTGATGTGTTTGGTGAAGGCAATGGATGTAGAACACAGACAACATGTTATAAGTATCACTCGTCATCACTATCAATCGAATCAAATGATATTAGTTTGAATATAGTTGATTCATGTGGTCTTGGCAGTACTGGCATGTCCAATGAGGACATCATCAATGACTTGAATATTGCCTGTAACAAACTGATCAATGATAATGGTGGAATACATCAAGTGCTATTCGTAATCAACAATCGGATAACAGACTTGGAGATACAGGCATTCAACCTGTTGACCACCTTATTGTCACCTAACATTGCAAAGTACACTACAATCGTACGTACCAACTCATACTTCTTCATGGACAATGACAGAGTGCTGGCTGAACATCAATCCATCAAGAATGACCCAATAATAGTATGCATGTTTATACAGATATCAACACTCTGGAATCTATCCAACTCACTACTCATTCGATTAATCAATCAAACATAGAGCGACATTGCAAATGAATGTAACAGGGTACTGTTTGTCAATAACTTACCATTGTGTTGTGGATTGGATAATGGTTATCAATCAATCAGTGCACAAATGAGGGAAGCATCAAGACATATACTTTGGCAACATCTTATTACTTGTGACTCAATCTTTTGTCCTTCAACAAGCAAAGTGGACACTGTTGAAAGAGCTCAGGATCTATTGTGTCCTGCACCCGTAGTTAACAATGATAACGAAGTTGTGATGGAACTCATTGAACAATTGGAGCAGATGCAATCAATGCTCAATCAACATCGTGATAAGATATGTGAGCTTGATCAACTACTCCTCGAACAAAGTACTCGACAGACTATGAATAATGCTATTCAACAAGTCAACTATAGTAGTCCAAACATGATGTCACCTTATAACTATACACCTGGCAGTCCACCATACTCATTCAATGTCCCACAACAATCACAACAAGCTCAACTACAATTACAACAACAAAGTCTGAGTAACGATAAGAAGTTCCAAGATCGTGCTGCAGCATTGACATTGGACATTTGGAAACTAATCAAGAAGAATAGACATAAGATCATCAATGGATTGAACAAAGCATTGCCTGTGATGAGAATGTATCCACCTCTTGCACCATACGTACCACTGATAGCAATGGTCATCGAACTGATAACATTGATCAATGATCATTAAACACAATTAGAGACAAACAAACATATGATGATTACGTCTCCACCTCCTCCTCCGCCTCGTCCAACCCATTAGACATAAATTGTAATAATAACACATAATTGCCAGGACCAATTCACTCATCGGAGTTGCATCCATGTGTCTGGAATAATGATCTGGTTGATGGAGATAGTATCACTTTGGTTTAATGAAGCCACCTCTTCTGCCACCCTCCTTCTTGAATAAATAATAGGTTGGGTCGGAGAGAGGATTGATATTCTTCTGTTGCTCCAGACATGCTCTAAACCATTGAAGGGTCAGAACATTCTCATTGGTGATTCCATATTGTCGAAGTAGGTCCATATACTGTTCAGACGTGTTGCCATCGATTGATAAGTAGTAGGTAGGTTTCTCGATGTGTCGCGATCCAAAATCAATCGTGTTGGCACCATGGAAATGAAGCTCGCGATGATAATACTCCGCTAGTGATCTATGTTGTTTTTGTTGGCTGTTGTTGTTATTGCTGGTCTCCATCTCCATCAAAGGTATTACTGATATCTTAATGCTTGAGAGTTTGAGTCTGACCACTTTGAATATATAGTTATCGGTTGGCAGTAGTTCCTTCTGTTGTATATGATTGGTTTATATTGTTAGCAATCTATGTAATGGACGGCCAACAAGATAACTTACTTTGTGAATGGACTCTGTGACCCATGATGATCTCAAAGCTGTGCGTCTCTTCCTCTGGTAACATGTGGGGATTGAGGAGGAGAATACCAGACCATCTGAGACAATGTAGTATGTATCATTGTCTTCCTCCATGGAGTCTATGATTGATCCGCCATTGTTCAAGATGATCGTTCTCAGATCTTTGTCCAATGGTTGTACCAGGTAGAAACTCAGACCGTCCAACAAGCGTGATGATCCATCGGTCTGTGATTCAGTGTTGTCGGTTTCTGGTGCATCATCAGATGATGCCATCACATGATCAATTGTTTCGCTACTCTGTGTCTGTGTTGTTGTCTTTGTCGTTGTTGATTGTTCGTCATGTTGTTGTTGTTGTTGTTGTTGTCGATGTTGATTGATTGAAGGAGATGGAGATGGTGAAGGTGAAGGTGGTTGTGAAGTATGTACTGATGGCGTTGTTGGCTGTGGAGTTGGATCTTGCAGCATCTGTGCCAACGATGGTGTTGTTGTTGTCTTGGCAGAGGTTGTCATTGCTATTGATGGTGATGGTATTGGTGATTGAGTGGCTGGTGTAGTCGATGTTGATGTCGGTGTCGAATTAGAGTTGATTGCGGATGCTGATGTCGTTGTTGTAGTTGTCGTTGTCGTTTCGCCAGTTGTCGGCACACTACTACCAATGCCATCATCTCTGCAGTAATCTGAATGTCCACTACTGCTACAACTACTTGTATCACTGCTGTTGTTGTGTGAGTGTCGTCTTGACGAATGTTTTGAACGACTGCCAGACCTTTTGGAACTCGACGATGATGGCTTCCTATACTCTATAATCTTCTCCGTACTAATATCGCTTACTGATGATTGGCTAAGCACTATTGTATCATGATGGATTGGTCAGTATGATTGATTGATTGATTGCCAGAGTCACCGCGTGATTCATACATTGAAAGACGAATGTGCACTCCCTGATCTTGATCTGATCGCCAGTGGTAAGAAGGGTCTGCTCGAATACGATATGATTGTTGACGGCTGTTGACCCAAAGTCGACGGGTCTAATAGACATCACTCCTGGACTGTGAAACGAAATGACCGCATAACTCTTGCGAAATGTATCATTGATCTCCAAGTCATCGCTCTTCTTGCTGTTGTTTGATTGGTTGTTAGTCTCGCTCGGGTCGATCAATCAATCATTCAATCAATCATTCAATCAATCATTCAATCAATCATTCGCAAACATACCCTCCGATTGAGAAGTTCTTCTTTGTGATCATGTGCTCCCTGCTTGGCTGGTTGTAGGTGAGTTGGATGAGCTTGGCGTATGCATTGACGTATCGTTTCAGGTTAGTGTTGCTGGTGTTTATGCCGCTGATGCCACTTGGGAAGGCTACGGGTATGGCGCTATTGTCGTTGTTGTTGTTGTTGTTGATGTATGTTGGGTTGGGATCGATCGAGTACACTCTTTTGCAAGTGGCTACATTGTTTAAGTTGTTTAAGTTGTTGATAAGGTTGTTGTTTGAGTCGTCAGATGTTGATGCGGCGGATGATGGTGAGTGTGGACATGATGCTATTGATTGAGTATATATATTATTATTGTTGTGATGACCGAATGGAAACGGCGGTGACCTATCTATAAGTTGTTGTTGTTGTGGTGAACGATGTTGACGCAATGGAGTCGTTGGCAGACTTGACGCCAGACGTTTGTTGGGCGTATTTACAGGAGTTGTGTAATACGATCCTCCGCCGCTACCACTACTATAATCAGACTCATTATTAACGATGGGTCTATTATCTTGTCCAAATATATATTGTTGTTGTTGTTGTTGCTGTTGCTGTTGCTCTGGCATCTGCTTAGAGTCCGCCGCCGCGAACTGCTGCTGTTGCTGTTGTTGCTGTTGTTGCTGCTGTTGTTGTTGCTGTTGTTGTTGTTGTAACTTGAGTTGTTCTTGTCGTTTTAGTTGTTCTTGCTCATCTTTGATCATCTCTGATATTGGGACATAGAAGGGGAACTCCTTTCCTGTTATAAGTTCATCATCATCGATACATTCTTTTGATGATGCTTTCCTCTTTTTTGATCGTTGTTGTTCTTTATGTTGTTGTTGTTGTTCTTGTTTGGATGATTGTTGTTGTTGATGCTGTTGCTTATTATGATGTTTATGTTTATGATTATGATGTATCATTGTGTTGTGAATGACACACTGACACTGCCTTTGAGTAGAGCAGTGTGAATGAATGATTGATTGTTTGATTGATTGTTTGTTGCTATAATTAAATACAACATTAACAATGACAACACAACAACAAGCTTGTCACACTGTTTCAGACACGATGATGCTGTCTGTCTGCTTATCCTATCTTATATAAATAATATATATATAATGGTTTGCTTTATAACACTCAATCTTCTTAAGTTTATATTCTCTAGAGTCTCGTTTAAATGTATATATGTATGTATGTCTATCTGTCTAGATTAACAATAATAATGTTTAAGCTAACTATAAAATGTCTCAAGACGAAATAATGATTAAAAAACGAGTGAAAGCATTGTTTCAGTGGATTGCGAGAATAAGAACATCGTTACCACACACCCCACCTATCACATAATACTCATTATTATGTCTATCATACACAGTAATCAGATAATTGTCAAATATAATGGGATATATTATTAATCCATTATTATTATTATTATTATTATTATTATTTTAAACCTTATTGGAATCATTCCAAAATAAATAACATCAATGTCCTGGAACTTCCTTCAAAAGTTTGAAAAAAAACCTGTCTCCCATTTTCAATCTATTAATAGTTTTGTAAACTTTACAAACAAACTTCTGATCATAATTTATTATACAAGAAGAATAACAAATGTTTACTACAAATTATAATATATTACCAACATTAAATCAATCAATCAATCATTCATAGATTTCAATTTATGATGCCTTTTCACAATCTATGACGATGATTGATGGTTTGCCCATAAACCAAGTTGTTGAATCGACACCACACCCATTGAACAGATCTATTCACACACAATCAGATGGCAATATTCATGATCATATGAGTGTGGTGTACCCTGTGTAGAAAGGTGGTATGCATACCGATCATCTTACTTGTGTTTCCATTGTCACTCTAACTCACTCACTCGTGCACTATCTCACACCTTCTTCCCATCACTCAATCACACTCACTTTATTTGGTTATAACTACGGGCAATGATGATTGTGTGTTTGGTTGTGTTGGTTGTGTTGGTTGTGTTGGTTGTGTTGGCCGTGTTGGCTGTGATGTAGGTGTTGATGATGTTGACCATACCAGCAGCCAGTCGAGGTGGGCCCAAACAAGGGCATAGCTTAGAATGGCTTGGTTTTCTTGGCTGGCAGTTAATATTGAATGAATATATATTCTTCAATCCAAAGTTCAATCACATCTCGACATCATGTGATCATACTCCATTCAATCACACATCATTCAATCACATCGATCAATCAATCACTTACATACATCAAACATATAAATTTATATCATAATAATACATAATGAGTAAATCAATTATAAAGGAATTCCTTGGAAATGAATTGTTTGCCAATGTGTTGGTAGTTGGTTTGGATGGCAAGTTGGTAGCGTACAACAAGTTGCCAGAGCCTGGCGAGGTCGAGACAATGTTGAACAATTATAAGAAGCAAAAGAAGTTCGAGTCGATCAAGTTGATGGGCGAGAACTACAACATCTACGTCAAGGACAAGTCCAAGGTGTTTGGACACAGCGATACCAAAGGATGTATCGTAGTGCGAGCAAACAAAGTATTCATCGTCGGCATATTCCCCAAGAAGCAGGATGTCAGTCCGCGTCTATCCTGTCTGGATCACTACAGTCAACTGTTTGACAGCCAAATCGAGCCAATCGCCTGATGATGAGGTGGCCATCTCATCACAATCAACCGAATAAACATCCGAGTATCTTGTAAATATCTTATCAATCGATCAGTCAAACGATCAATCGTCCTTGTTGCTTGTATTTGTGTAGGGTTGAGATGTACCGGCAGCAGGTGGAGAGTCATGCTGTCGATGATGTAGCTGATGAGGCGGTGACTCTACCTCTGCCAGTGACACAGTCTCGAAACCAAAGTGATCGCCACTGATACTGCTTCTAATATTGAGACCAGGTGATTGATTGCCATCAGAGTGCACCACTTGTTCTGTGTTGTTGTTGTTGTTGTTATATACATTTGATGTTGCTGTTGTTGAGGACAATGATGGTGATGACGATGCTGGTGACATTGTCTTCCATGAGTTATTTGATTGATATCCTTGATTGAATGTTGTTGGTAATTGTTGTTGTTGCTTTCGTTTCCTGTATTCATGGTAGTGATGGTGATGGTCAGTCCAAGTCGTCTCGTGTCCTGGCCTGTCTGTCCTCGCCAGGCCACTACTCACTTTGATGATGAACCAAACTCAAACTGGAACCTCATGGCATTGTAAGTGAAGATGAAGCCACTGAGAGCAATTCCAGTGAAGAACAGGACGAACAGTCCCATTGTGATATCCTTGTCCTTTATCTGTTGCCATTTGTATATTAGATAAAAATGTTCTGGTTTGACTCCATGATGTTCTTCTTCATCATTGTCTATACATGTAAGTGTGTATGTTAGTAACCCAACTTGTATCTTTGTACTCTTGCTAGCATCCCATCCATCATAACTTACAATCTAGTATATACTTGACATCAACAATCTTGTCGTTTGAATAAAGGAATGTGAACTCGATGTGATTCAAGAATGTACCATTGCCATTTGCTACAGTGATCCATGTCGTTGGGAACTTGTCAAAGAAGGCAAACTGTCTACATGACAGGTGATAAGTATGTTAGACCAACTTGGTTGATTATAGACGTTAATGTCTCTGTTACATACATCTTATATAATGAGTGTTTAGTTAGATTAACAGAGGTCAATGATGCCAATGTGATTGTCTTGTCAATCTTGAACCTTGGTGAGTACTTGGCCTTGACATCAGTCCAATCAGTTGCTTTCTATTTATTGTTGTTGATCCCGTTAGACATATTATTATCATACGTTTTTGTTGTTGTTGTTGATGATGATGTTGTCAGGATCAACATACCATATCATGTATACTCTTCTTTGACAATCTAACTAGATCACCTGATCTTAGAGCATTGGTCATCTGGCATACTAACAACAGTACTATACCAACTGATAGTAATGTAGTTCGATTACTCATACCTCTTATCATCTTGTGTTGTTGTTGAGGTAGTATCTGTATTAATATAATTAAAAGTGATCAGTTTGATTCGAAATGACTTGTGAAACATTGTTGTCTGAAAATCATTTAATTGAGAGAGTGATGTTCACTGAACAACCCTTGATCAATGTTAAAGTTTATTTACATGAATGATGATTATAGTTATAGAGTCAATAGGAGGACACTTTCCATACATGTTAGGAAAGTAGAAAGTAGAATGATGGTGGTTGGTACAAGGTCATAGAGTAGTCTACCAAATTTCTTGAGCATCTTGTTGAACAAAGAGTTGTCAAATATCTTTTGATATTGAATCAACATCTTTTCCAACCGTCTTTGTTCCTTTGTACTTAAGATAATCCCAGCAGCTGACATCATGGCACCACCTGTTACCAATCTACTACTTCCATTAATATTTGTTCCTTGATGTCCCTGTAACTATAAAGTTAATAAATATTGTATTAATCCTGTTTATAATTTCTACTTACTCTATTTTGATTCTTATTATTCTTGGAAAAGAATTCCAGGTTACCTAGTATTGACCTGGTACCTCTTGGTATTCTAAATAATCTTTGGAAAATTGAAGAATTCATTGCTTAAGAAATAGATTATTATGTTTATATCAGTTAGGTTTGTTCTATCCTTCATCTCAAGGATCACTCCTTAAATAAGTATTATCCTGTTCATCTCATAATAGAGAGGTCAATAATTTAATTGACTTTGGTTACATGACAAGTCAATCAATCAATGACAAAATGAAAAGGTAGCAAGTCAATATTTTGATTGACCAAATGGGCATTTCTTATAAATAAGAGTTTGCAGTTTAAAATTTAATGAAACTCATCCACCAAACTTGATATTCTAATTCAACTAAAGATTAATCTTTAGTTAACTATTATAACTCTAAGTTAAAAAAAAATCCAAATTTTGTTACTACAAAAGTTAAAAAATGGGTATTGGGAAATCAATTCCCCTTTGGTCTAGTGGTGAGGATTTTCGCCTGTCACGCGAAAGGCCCGGGTTCAATTCCCGGAAGGGGAGGAATATTTTGAGTACTTCAAAGGACCGGAACTTCCGAAATCAAACAAGATCTCTGACATCAAAAAGTACAACAGTAATTACAAACTGAGTAATTTCAATCAATCATTATATCTAATTTATAATGTCTGAACAGATAACTCAACAACAACATACTCGTCCTCCTCCTGTTGAGCAGGGCAGGCCAAACAACGAATATGTACCCCTAATGCCAACTAGTGCTGCTACAAAGAAGAGGGCGGCACCTGCTCCATCATTCAGTCAAGCCAAGACTGAGACCTTTGACGATGACACTGAGGAGACCACGACCATCCTCTCCTCATCTGACATACCTACAAGCTCAAACAACATCCCCAGCAACAGAGCACCAGTAGTACCCAACAACAATGTCAGCAACATCAACAACATCGTCAGCAACAACAGTGTCAACAAGGGTCCATCACCATTCGCACAGTTTATCTCAAGTTATAGTTACCAATCAGACAAAGATGCACTTGTAAGCTTAATAACCACTTCACATTGATCGATCAATCAATCAATCAATCGAAGGCCCAGAGTCTGACGCACGTATACACAACAACATACAGCTACAATCAAAGGATAGGAGTGTGTTCAAGGGACAGGACGATGCGATAAAGAATGCAAAGCACGATAGAGGAGGCCTTGGACATGAGTTTGTACTGCCCAAGCCGTTCAAGCAACAGAAGCATGAGTCAGAGATGAGGGACTTCCCACACAAGATGGAGCTCGATTGGATCAGGTCTGACTCTGGCAAGCTCGCTTTGATGACGGTGGACAGACTGCGACAACAGCTATTGATTGGCAAGCCTGGTGAGCAGGCCAAGCGAGGTGATTTCTGTTCACAAGAACTGATCGATGAGTTGGAGACTGAGAAGAACAAGCTCAACGATCTTGACGATCGTATATTCAGGAGGGCACGTACAAGAGCCAACCCATACGAGCTGATTAGAGGTGCCATCTTCCAGAACAGAGCAGCAGTAAAGATGGCCAATCTAGACATACTTGCAGACCTGACCAAGACTCCGTCGGGACAAACAAAGGTATGTTGGCAGCCGCGGCAGGATGACAACCTCACTCACTCACTCACTCACTCACTCACTCACTCACTCACTCACTCACTCACTCAATCAATCAATCAATCATATCAGTTCCACTTTGCTGATGTATGCGCAGGACCTGGTGGATTCACAGAGTATGTACTGTACAGGACAGTTGGAAAGGGAAAGAAGCCGGACGATCAGAAGAATGTGGTGAAGGGATTCGGCTTCACTCTAAAGGGCGATTGCGACTGGCAATTGGACAAGTTCTCGCCAGACTCTGGTCTGGACCTGCGCGACAAGATCAACTTCCAGGTGAACTATGGAGAGGACCAGACAGGTGACGTGCTCAAGAGTGCCAACATCAGACACTTCTCGGCGCTGGTGGAGAAGGAGACGGGTGGCGGTGTGCACCTGTTCATGGCCGATGGTGGTGTCAGCACAGAGGGTGTGGAGCTTCAACAGGAGACACTACTAGGACATCTGATCCTCTGTCAGTTCCTCATGATGTTTGAGACATTGGCCTATGGTGGCAACTTTGTCTGCAAGATCTTTGACACATTCAATCCTTTCACCGTGGGTCTGCTCTACTTTGTCTACCAGCACTTTGAATCATTCGCCATCTGCAAGCCCTATACCAGCAGACCATTGAACTCTGAGAGGTACGTACCTGATGGTGGTCCATGACTGATCAGGTGATCACATGTATCATTCCATTCACTCACTTGATCACACCCTCGATAGATACGTGATTGCCAAGAACTTGTTGGTACGCAAGCCAGAGATCAACTCTTACATGTTTGATATCAATGATCGATTGAACGCTGGAGAGAACATCTTGAAGATCGTGGACATTGATGACGATAAGTTCAAGGATTACATCATGGACAAGTCAAACATGTAGGTCAATCAATCAATCAATCAATTAGCCAAGATGATCCAATGGACTGGTCCACTGACACCTCACTCACTCTTCGACTAGACAATGTTTGAACCAGATTGAGGCATTTGGATTCCTCACCAAGGCCATTGAAGATCAGTACTATTATGTTTGCGATCAGAAGGATATGGTCAATAAGTGTCTGAGGGAATGGGACATTCCAAACAGACCGGACAACATGCATCAGAGACAAGGTGGTTATAATAATAATAGAGGTGGACGTGGTGGACACTACAACAACAACAGACAGAACTATCATCCACAATATCAACCTTATGGCAACAACAACAACCAACATCAACAAAGAGGTGGTGACAACAACAATAGGCCACATAACAACTATAACAACAACAGATCTCATAACAACTATAACAACAATGGTGGTGGAGGTGGTGGTGGACATTACAACCAACAGCATCAACAACAACCTGGATACGACGCATCACTAAGGAATGTCCAGTTACCATCCAACTACCAACAGGGCCATCAAGGATCATTCCCCCAGAACAGCAATAGCAACAATCCAAGTCCAGTGAGACAGCAATCACATCCATACGCCAAGCCTCCAGGTAACTCGCCAGTCGGTGGTGGCACAAGGCCTCATCAACAACAACAACAACAAATGGTCATGGGTCAGCAACACGCTCCAGACAGACATTTTAACCAACAGTTTAAGCAAGCTCTTGACAACAATGGAGGTGGAGGTGGTGGTGGACATGTCGATCACTTGGGTAGAGTGATCCCACCTCCTACCGTCCAGCATCAGCCACAGCCACAACAATTGTTGCGCAATCCGCAAAACATTCAACCGCCACCACAACAACAACAACAATTACCAAGTCAGCCCAAGCCATCACATTCCGCCCCTGAGTGGATATAGTTATCATATCATATCATTCATTTATTCATTCAAACAAATACATTCGTTTCCCATCCCATCTTATCGTCTGATTGACTTTTTGGGTCAAACTGACAACTTCCAATTTGTGAGTTTTTGAAGTTGGCGCAGTTGTTGTGGACAGGTCATCGTGAGCTTGCACAAACATTCAATCTCTGTGTTGTTCAAGTAGTTATACAAGTAATATATATATAAAGATACAAGTAATATATTATATACAAGTGAATATAGATACAGGTCAAAGAGATAAAAGATGAAACTACTGCATTTGGAAGAAGAGTTCAACATATCTGTAGAGACATTCTTTACATTCTTCTTTGAAAGTCCTGGTTTCAAACAGCGTTATCACTCAACAAGAGTATGATTGAATGATTGAATGAATGAATGATTGAACGAATACAGTCAATGCTTACACTGAACGAATGAATGAATATAGGGAGATACAACTATTGAGGTCAAGCTATGGACACCAATGACTGATGGGCGATACACTCGCGAGATCATGTTCTGTTCATTTATATCAAATAATCCAATGATCAAGAAGTTAGTTGGAGATAAGGCAAAAGTCAGAGAGTTGCAGTATTATACAATGAAGGATAGGTATGTTGTTGTTGGATCACTCGATCAATCAATCAATCAATCGATCAATGTCACTCACACATCAATCACAATCAAACATAGTGTACTAAAAGTAACATCAGAGACTTACTTTGAAGGAAGCTCAATTGGAAAGTCATTTACATCAGAGTCTGAATGGAATGTTACACCATCGACAAATAGATCCCCTGGATGCAAGGTTGTGATTGATGTGAAGAACAATTACTCGGGATCAATGTTTAGAAGTGCCCTCGAGGGTTGGGTACACGACACTACAGAGGCATCTTTTAAACACTGGCTCAATCTTGTTAGGTCACAGGTCGAGGAGTATGAGCAGTCAGAGATGTTGAAGCGATCGGCACCGCCCACTCCTGTCAAGCCAGCGGCGCCATCAATGGGACATCATGTCAGGAACAATGGTCATGGAGCACATCATATCAATCACAGACAGGACAAGCGACCAGTTGAGTTCTATGATGAAGATGACTTGGACGTTGATGTCGTTGAGCGACATCCTACAACATCGACAACATCAACTACATCAACGACAAACAATCAAGTTCATCAACAACATCACAGACAGAATCAGCAACAGCAACAGATGCAATTGTACAATCCACAACAACAACAACAACTACAAACTCATGATGAGGATGAGGACGCCGAGGAGGAGTTGTCAGACTTCTCCGGCCCACCATCGATACATGACGATGACTATATTTCAGATGACGAGGAGGACAGAAGCTCAGACGAACAGTTCTTTGACTCGAACGAGGTGTGGACAAACAATGGCCTGGCCGCAGGCAACAGCGATATCAAGAACTACATGGTGGCGCTCACCAACGAGCTCAGTTCAATGAAGTGCGTGATAGAGGTGAACCACACACGACTGCTCGGTCTCGAGACGGCCTTCTCCCAGATGCAGACATCGCGATCATCTGCACTGACGACGCCCAATGGCCAGCAACCACAGCAGCGACAGTACCAACACCAATACAATGGTGCCAATGAGGTATTCACAACGACAACTACGACGACACACAACGCCACCAATGAACTCAACGCATACATCACCAAGCTGGAAGAGCTGGTCAAGCAGCAACAGGACGAGGAGTTGCGCACCCAGGAGAAGCAGAAAGAGTGGGAATCCAAGGTGGGCGAGTTGGAGAACAAACTGAGGAATGTCAACGAGTCCTCCAGGCTGACGCTCTGGTTCAACATTATGGCATTGCTCTTCTTCCTCATTGGCTGGCCAATCATTGCCAAGAAGCTGTGGAAGTACCTTCTGCCGTTGTTAGAATCCCTGATGAAGAAGTAGTAATCATTGACGTGTGACCCCCCAATAATATATATTATAATGATAATGCACCAATCAGTCTTTCATCATTGGACTTTGAAAGGACTTGGTTTCGCGAGTATGTGGGTGTGCGAGTGTGTGGAGGGGTGCGACTGGTCATACATCAACGTGAAGTCCTCCATTCATTGAAAAGCGAATCATATCAGACTGTTGTTTTATTTGATCAAAATGAGGTTTGTGGAGTGAGGTGATCGTTTTGTTGATTAGTTTGGTCCCTATGCCTAGACACTAAAAGTAATAATAATCATCATCATCCATCGAACTCAAATATCTCTCATACCACCTCACTCAATCACTTTCTAATGAACAACTGTATACGCTTTGATCCTCAACTGTGGAGAGTTGACGTTTGTAAACATTGTTTCAAAACAGAGAACGAACATCGATTAGTCAAGTAAGCACTTTATATCTGTCTCTGAGACATCTACATCTACACATCCACATCATCATCATCATCATCAACATCATTCACCACCATCACTAACACTCACTCACTCACACACTCACACTCCATTATCCGTATTGTGTTTCCAGCTCATCTCTTTCCTTCTACCGCCACACCCTTCGCCAGAGGGGTGTGTGTGGACTGGATGTTGTATCCAATCCTATCCTGCCTTGTTATAATAAATCAATCCATCAATATCAATCAATCAATCAATCTATAATAACACGCACCGCATTGTTATTATATATCTTCTTAAGATATAGATAGAGAGATAACTAACATAACAATATTGATATTGAATAGATCTACAGCTTCATCATTGTCCTTATTGGCACCGACTAAACAGGATGAACTACGACCAACGTCAACAGCATCATCATCAACAACAACAACAACAAACAATCAATATATAGTCCATTTGAAACCAACAAAGAACAATCCAACAACAATACTGCCACATCAAGAGCAACAACAGCCACAACAACAACAACAATCCACAACACCATCATCATCATCCACTTTGACAACAACATCTTCATCTACAGTGCCATCCCGCCAAGAAAACAAGTATAACACTGTTCCAAATTCATCAATTAAGGATAATAACAACGACGATACTATTGGAGGCAGCAACAGCAACAACGATAAGAAACGAAGGTCAACTATATTCAAGTTGTTCAAGAAGAATCGTGCGTCAACATCAACGACACCAACAACACCATCAAAGTCAAAGAGGTCCAATACCACAACAACTACAACGACAACATCACCATCAGCTGGACGACCAATATCTGCCATCATCTCCACTGATCAACCAAGAAGAAGATCTTCCGCAGACACAATGCAACCATCACTTGTACAGAAACACATCAAGACATTCTCTAGCGACGCCAATGGAGCGGACACTGTTGCCACTCCACCCAGCGCGCCTCCTCCTTCTCAACATGCACCAAATGGCAATAGCAAGGGCACGGTGACAACACCACCTCGTCGCAACGAACCATCGTCCCCTCCAACGCCACACCACCAACCACCAGTCGCGACAACCGACCAACAACAGACACCTCAAAAGGTTGGCCTCAACCATGAGAAGGTATGGATCGCTGGCAATGGCAAACAGAGCAAGATCAACGCGCACATGTCTCTGGCACTGCCGTCTTCAGTGTCGCCTCGCCTGCTGCCGCTGGCCAAGGGCATCATGATGATGAAGCGAAACAATGAGATCAAGAACAACAAGCAGAAGCGCAGTCTGCCCAACATCATAGAGAGCAACAATGAGATGCTCAAACTATTCAATGCCGTCCAGTCGATCCTCATTGCGCTGCCTGGCATCTCACCCACCGTGGTCATGGGCATCATGGACACGCTTTACGGACAGCATCTCAAGCTAGACTTTTCCACCTTTGTCGATGGCCCCTACTTTGATGGCCTGGTCAATGCGATCCAGACACTCGGCGCGTGGACCGAGCAGCAAGAGTACGTACGCAACGTCATCAAGGTGCAGAGCTGCGTGCGTCGATTCCTCGCCAAGAAGCGCTACGAGCGACTCAAGGTCTACAGCAGCTCGGTGCAGCTCAAGGAGCGCAACATTGCCTTCCGCCATCTCTACTTTGAGGAGCGACGCTACATTGACAACTTGGAGATCATACTCAGCTGTTACTACAAGCCACTCAAGTCATCAAGCTTGCTCAGCGACGACAACTTTAAAGACATCTTCTCGTCGATCGAGGAGATTCATGCCGTGCACAAGAAGATGCTGGCACAGTTTGAGCAGCTGCACAACAAGTGGCCGTGCATCGAGGGCGTGGGCGACATCTTCCTGCGCATGGCGCCAGAGCTGCGCGTCTATGGCAACTATGTCAAGAACTTTAAGAACGCCATCGACACTTTGGAGCGCTGCAAGAACAACAATCACAAGTTTGCAGCATTCCTCACGGATTGCGTAGAGTCCAATCTCAACAATAGTACAAACAAAGTGTTTGATCTGATGGCTCTGATTGCCACGCCCCTCAATCACCTGTCAGTGTACCAGAGACAACTGTGCGTCATCTCTACCAACACGCCAATCAACAGGCCAGACCTCCCCAGCATCAACAATGCAATGACAATGATGAAAGAGATTGAACAATTGATCCAGGACAACCTGGCACAGGCTCAAAACGCTGCCACCCTCATCAACATTTACAGGATGATGCATAACAAGAAGGCCTTGGATCCAGTAAGTAGAAATAGTTAGTGATCAATCATACCATGCTAACCTCACTCAATCAATCAATATCCAGTTTGTTATTCCAGGTAGGACATATTTGCACGAAGGTAGGCTGACCAAGTTTGTGACCAAGAAGCCAGACAGAGTGTACCATTACTATCTGTGCAACGACATCATCGTCTTTTGTAAAAAGACACCAAAGGAGAAGGAGTTAAAGTTCAAGAGTCTATTACATCTCTCTGAAGTAACTGTATCTGATCAAACAGATAACGCCAGTATGTAACCCAAAGTACAAAGTATTCCAAGATTATACATACTGACCAATCACACTTTAATCAATCATAGATCATAAGAACATTATATCTATATTACAAAAGGGTGGAGTCACTTACTTCTTCCAGGTGGACGATGCAGAGGAGAAGAAGAGACTACTGAAGCAGTTTGCACTACTATGTACAACAACAGAGAGATGTAAGTACATTCTCACAAATCAGTCTGTCCAAGGAACTAACTTCCAAGACCTAATCAATCAAAAGTATTTGGAGTATCACTCCATGACTTGGTCCAAAGAGAAGGTCCCAATGTGTTGGTACCAGCATTCATCATCAAGTCCTTCAACATATTACTCAATCGTATGTTTTAACTCAATCACTTTGGGAAGCGTAGACAAATGCTAACTAATATGGATATAAACTACTCAGATACGGACGTTGAAGGACTATTTAGGATATCACCAAATCAATATGAGGTTGATCACTTTAAAGAAAGCCTCAATCAATGTACATTTAGTGGATTGGATGCATTGTTGGCCAAACAAGGACCTCATCATATTGCCGCGGTAATCAAGAACTTCTTTAGGGATACGACACCGCCATTGCTCACATATGAACTGTTCAACAAGATTGTGGAGCTAGCCGATAGCGATGACGAGTCGAGCAAGAAGGTGCAAACTCTGCGGTCTATGCTGTCCACGATCCCGCCCTGCCATCAAGCCACCCTACAGATGCTTCTGCTCTTCCTACGCTTCATCGGTCAGAACAGCGATGTCAACAAGATGACCTACTCCAACTTGGCCATCGTGTTTGGTCCAAACCTTGTCAAACCTGTACAGCAAACGATCGAGACCTCTCTCAAGATACCTTTGATCAACAATGTAATCACCATGATGCTAAACAACTATCAACTCATATACAAAGGTAGGTCACCCTAAAAGTGTGGAAGAGGAAGAAGACAATATGTCAAATAATTGCCAACAAAGCACTTACTGACCTACTCATCTAATGCCATAACTCCATTCCACTCAATTTGACTCCATTCCAATTTATTAGAACGTCTAAACTCTATCAAGGTAGTTGACTCCAAGTTTAAGATAGAAGGATACATTACCACCAAATAAAACTTGTTGGTAGATAGCAAGAACCAAATATAATAACAACTGGATTGGATGGGCTGAATTCTAACAATATCTACACTGAATAAACTTTATAAAAAAAGTTTGTCGAATTTTGGATGCTATAAAATACGAGTTCGGTCTTTTCCCTTTTCGCACGCGCAATTGGTCTAGTGGCAGAATTCTTGCCTTCCAAGCAGGAGACCCGAGTTCGATTCTCGGATTGCGCAAACCTTTTTAAAACCCCATTGTCCAAGGACTAATGAGGTACTTGAGGTCATTCTTTAGCTTGGTGTGCATCACATTCTTCAAGTCCCTCCTCCGCCAGGAGTGGCGTTCCCTCATGTCCACGCTAACGAGTCACATCCTGGCCGGACGACCAGTCAACATCAAGAATGAGATGGCCGAGTTCACTACCAAGTGGCACCTCAGCACGCCTCTGCCGCCAACTATCAACAAATACCTGGTGGCCGAATTCAGAGGCCTACAGTAGAAAAGAAAAGAAAGAAAAAAATCAAGAAAATTCAAAATCGACTAACTTATATATATTATCCCGCCTCTTCAATGACGCCAATTTATTTGCAATAATAATAAACTTCCACTCTAGTCAAAAAAAAAAAAAAAAAAAAATCATTCTTTTCCCCTCTTCTTTTAAATCGGTACCCCATCTTCCCTTCCAACTCTTTTGTTTTCAACACAGAGTAAGTAAAGAATGATATTACCCAATTTTTAATAAGAACTTTTGATTCATGAAACTGATAACAATATAAAATAAAATAAAAATTGCCACCAGGGATTCAAATTCATTGTATCACTTTCAAGGAAGGCAACTGACACTGATACTCTGGACTATTCCAAAAGGGATATGATAATAACATATACAATCAATCAATAATTACTTTTATATTGACCATGTATAACAATAATGATCGTGGAGTCTTTTATCTGGTGCTCACCAATCGATTGATCATCAGGACCATCATCAACTCTCTGTCATTGAGTATTGTAAACAAGAGGACACTACAACTTAGGTTCAACGAGATAGAAAGGGAAGGAATTTTTAGCTCAACTCCAACACCTAAACCTTCATATCGATTCAAGTACCATCATTGGACAGACGCAGAGTCATTGTTCAAGTACCGACATCATGGTCTGTTGCGAGATCGTATCAAACGCAACCTATACATCAGCTTCACATACTCTACTCCCATGATGATGTTTAATCATGGTGATGTGGACAAAGAGACATTCATGGCGGTCTATATCAAGTATCAACGATACTTTAATCACAAAGATATTCTCAAGCATGCCGTCAATGCCAACAACACGCTCGCTGTCATGGTACTCTGGCATCAGACATATCCAGTGGTCTTAAAGAAAGAGATTTGGCTACCGAATAAAGCAATCAAGAATGAAGCATTCACTGTGCTCAAGTTCCTCTTTGCCGTGGGTCACATCAACATTGATCAGTTGATACTCAACATCAAATACAATGATATGATGATGCAACACTTTTACTCATCAGCGTCATCCATTCGATACATCTTGGATGCAAAGAACAACTTCCCTCTGGCACTAGTCAACATGATCAAGGAACGCGCTCATTTAAACTCTGGGCGTATTATATCCACTGGTGATCAACAACTCATTGAACAACTGTTGATCAATGATGGCAGACCATCCAAAACAGGTCACTATCATCGAGCAATAAGGGAAGATGAATTGTTTCCAAATGCCTCACCATCAGACCAGCTGGTACATATTGAAAGGTTGTTTATGTCTGGAACAAAGGGTGTCGATATCACCTGGGAGGAGAGATCAATCAATCATTTGGAATGGTCAAAGTGTAAAGCACAATCAATAACACACGATCATAGATTGTTGTTGACAACTCACTCAATTGGAGATGAACAACGAATGATATTTGTAAAGCTTGGCGAACTCAGGCTGCATGGCTCTGTAAAGTCACATTCTGTTATCATCAAGTACTTGACACGTGAATACATACTCACTGGAGATCATATGCTCATACCATTTATCATTGAACAACCAGGTTGGGGAATCAACGTGGATGATGTGAGTCGTTTGATCGAAATGATCATCAAACATGGCAATATCATTCAGATCATCGTTGCACTTGGAGTGTTGGAGCAATTTAATGTTGCTCCTAAAATTAGAATGGAATGCTTCAGTGGAGAAATGTACAACTCATTTATTGATGCAGATGATATTACCAACAGTTTGGAAGTGATCAAATATCTAAATGATAACAATGTAGTGGTACAGAGATTCATTTTCCGCCATCCAAGATTTGTACATCACCATCTGCAGTTGGAGTTCTTATTGTCAGATTACAACACGATATTCCCATTTGATTTGGTGAGAAGCAGGTTGATGCTAATGGAAATGGATCACATAGATTATGCTCTCAAGGTCAAACCATCATTCTTTCAACCTTTGAAATCGTACTATGATTGTTCTCATTACAAAGAGTTGAACGTAGTAGTATACTCATTGTATAGAGTTCAATGTCCACAACAACAAAGTGGTTTAATGGTGGATTTTTACAAATCAATGATTCAATATTCTCAATTCGATTTATCCAAAGCCATTACATTCTTTGTCCAACATGGTCGATCCAAACATTACCTAGAGGTAATCAAACATCTGTTTGAATATCTCGATACAACTGAGGAGGAAATTGGAGATTCTTTTATTAATTCAATCATTGGAACATGTCCTGTGGATGTATTTGAATATCTGATGCCACACAATCATATTCCCAGAATACTGGAAGTGGCTGTTGCTCATAACAATATGGATTTGATCAAATATATTTACAAATATTATATGGAGAGTGGCAAGGACAGAGACAAGGACAAACATCTAAAGTTTAAGAATTTCTATGACACTGTCCAGACTTTGGACGATAGATTCAATATCGTGAGTGATAAGAATACATTGTGTATTCAATCAATGATTGGCAATGCTTTCAGATTTGGACATGTAAAGGTACTTGATTGGATATTCCAACATATCGATGATGATAGGAGACCTTTTCTTGGTCTCTCTATTAAGACCACTGTACCAACCTATTCTGAAGACATGTTGGTAAACGAGTATCTTACCGATTATGATTTTTTATCACAACCATTGATCGTTTATATCGATAATAAAATGCAAGAAAAGTTATTATAATATTTCGATAACTACTTCGACACGTTCAAATTTATTATTAATAATCAAACTATTATCCAGACTACCAAGTGCACATATCTAACCACCTCTTTTGTACTTCATCTCTAGCCTTTTGGCGATCTATCTGTTGGTCTTGCCTGATAAAGTCGTCAAAAGAGAGATCGTTACGATATTTGATACCTCCATTATTCGTATACCTCTTACTAGCTACATATCTCATGAATTGTAATGGTATGAAGTAGCTCATTAGATCCGGGTGTTCTTCTCTTGTTTCTCCGCTTGTTTGAACATATGCTTCCTTCGAGTCGATCTTGAAGAGCAAGATGTACACCCTCCTTCTGAAAAATGATCCCTAAAAGATAGCGATTCTCTACAGATGGTAATGATCTCTGGTATCTCAGATCACATTCCACCAATTTAGCCATCTGCTTATCATTGAATTTGTAGCGATTGTTAAGCTCGAGAATAATAAGTTGGATATTCTCTTTGATGTATCCAATCTTGTCGTCAATCCTATCCGGAGAGGCACCAGTGGACAATGTATCCACATACCATGGGGACACCTGTAAAGGAACATCTACGTCCTTGTTGATTGAGAAATAATATCCTCAACCACTTTCCATCAACATATTGTTCATTTGGTCGTGGAGTAGGATGTCTTGAATGTCTTAGACCCATTGAATGTCCATTATGAGTGTCACTCAAAGTTGTGTCGTTTGGGGGTGGGTGTGTCTGGTTACTGACGTTTGTCGTGTCTTAGACCCACAACTTGCAAGAACTACCCTTCAATAACCCCATACTTTATAATGATACCTGAAGATCAAAGAACTTACACAAGAAAACTTTAAACAAAATACCATTATTTATTTCATAGTAATAACTTTAATTAAATAGGGATAGAGATAGTATAATCTTTGAATTAAATTGGACTGTATTTTTGAAAAATTATGGCGAAAAAAGGAATTTGTGGTTGTTTTTCCAAAATGTCATCAGGTTAGCTCAGTTAAAGAAAAAATTGAGGTCATTTTTTACAAAATCAACGTTGAATTGAGTTTTTTCCGACATGTCATCAGGTTAGCTCAGTTGGCAGAGCGTAGGTCTCATAATCCTAAGGTCGTGAGTTCAATCCTCCCACTTGATATCCTTTCTTTTGATTTTTTTTGTTTAACTTGAGGAACTTCCTTTTTTTTTTTTGCCCACGTAAGTTATACAAATACTATCTGTACTCGTTTAATTAATTTGCCCTCTAATGACTCATCGTCAAAACACTTCGGGAAACCAATCATTCGACTCTGGAAGCTGTGTTACTGCTTAAACGAAAGAAATACAAATGTTATCGACAAAGGATATTACATTAGTTCCAAGTATTCTTTTGTGATTGCCTTAAATCAGAAAACAAAAATTAAATTATTATTATTAATAAAAGAATTTGATTGATTTAATTTGATATCTTTTGTTTCTTGTTTGTAGCAGGTGATGGTTGTTGACAAACAACACCAAATGTCAACTTTTGATCCTTCTCATCAATGTTGACAATAGAGTTCTCCTTTAGATCACCATTGAGAATCAACTTACTCAACTCTGTGACTATGTGCTTCTCCAAGTACCTCTTGATTGGACGTGCTCCATAAGATGGATCATAGGAATTCCTCATGATCATTGCCAATGCTGGCTTCTTGACATTGACCACAATGTTTTGAGAGTCCAATCTACGAGTGATACTCTTGAGTTGGAGTGTGATAATGGACTCTAGGTTGTTCTTGGTCAATGGACTAAACACCACCATGTCATCCAGTCGATTGAGGAACTCTGGTCTAAAGTGTTTCCTAACCTCGTTGATCACTTGATCCTTGACGTGCTGTGAGAGACCAGTGTTGAATATCTCTGGGTTGCTCTCGGCCAAAAGATACTGTGAACCAAGGTTACTGGTCATAATGATCACTACATTGCTAAAGTCCACAGTCTTTCCTTGACCATCGGTGAGACGACCATCGTCCAACACTTGCAAGAGGATGTTCCATACTTGTGGATGAGCCTTTTCCACCTCGTCAAATAGTACGACAGAGTATGGTCTTCTTCTGACTGCTTCGGTGAGTTGGCCACCTTGGTCATAACCAACGTAACCTGGTGGAGCACCAATCAAACGAGCAACAGCATGTTGCTCCATGTATTCACTCATATCCAATCTGACCATATGTTTCTCATCATCAAACAGTTCAAATGCCAATGCCTTTGCCAATTCAGTCTAGTAGTTGAGAGAGTTGGTTAATACAATGAATAGATAACCTCTACTATTATTATACATACCTTACCAACACCAGTTGGACCCAAGAATAAGAATGAACCAAGTGGTTGGTTCTCTCTGGAGAGTCCTGCACGTGATCTGAGCACTGCCTCTGCAACGGCATCAACGGCATCATCTTGGCCAACCACTCTCTTGTGGAGATGTTCACCAAGTGTGAGTGTACGCTGCTTCTCTGTTTGAGAGAGTTTTGTCACTGGAATGCCTGTCCATCTTGAGACCACCTCGGCGATCTGCTCTGGTCCCACCACCTCACTGACCAATGAATTGTTCTTGGCAGACTTTCTCTCTTGGTTGGAAGCCTCAATCTGCTTCTCTAGGTCTGGGATGACGTAGTACTTGAGATCAGCGACGAGTTGGAGGTCATAGCGACGCTCGGCGTCGGCCAGCTTGACCTTTACATCCTCCAACTTCTTTTTGAGGTCTCTGCTCTTGTCAACTCTTGCTCTCTCCTTTTGATAGATGGCCTGAAGTGGCGTCAACTCATCCTTGATCTTGGCCAATGATTCCTTGACAGTCTCGAGACGAAGTTTTGATCCATCATCTTCCTCCTTCTCCAAGGCAGTCTGCTCAACCTCCAACTGCAACTTCTTTCTCTCGAGTTGGTCAATGGCCTCTGGTTGTGAGTTCAATTGAACACGAATGTTGGCACAGGCCTCATCGAGCAAGTCGATGGCCTTGTCTGGAAGGAAACGGTTTGTAATGTAACGAGCAGAGAGTTGTGCAGCAACAACCAGTGAGCTGTCCGAGATCCTGACTCCATGATGTGCTTCATAACGTTCCTTTAGACCACGGAGAATGGAGATGGTGTCATTGACAGTTGGCTCGCTGACCATCACTTGTTGGAATCGACGCTCGAATGCAGGGTCCTTCTCGACGTACTTTCTGTACTCATCCAGTGTTGTGGCACCGATACATCTTAGTTCACCACGTGCCAACATTGGTTTGAGGAGGTTGGCTGCATCCATTGCACCGTCAGTCTTGCCCGCTCCAAGAACCAAGTGAATCTCATCAATAAACAAGATGATTCCACCGTTAGAGTCCTTGACCTCCTTTAGTACGGCTTTCAAACGTTCCTCAAACTCTCCACGGTATTTGGCACCGGCAATCAATGCACCCATATCCAAAGAGATCACTCTTGCATTCAAGTTGTCTGGAATATCACCACGTACAATTCTTTGAGCCAAACCTTCAACTACAGCAGTCTACAATGTATTGATTGATTGGTTGTGTTAATAATACATTGATTGATTGGAATGAAAGTTAATTGAATAGTTACCTTTCCAACACCTGGCTCACCAATTAGTACTGGATTGTTCTTGGTCCTTCTGGAGAGCACTCTGATCACTCTTCTGATCTCCTCATCACGACCAATGACTGGGTCCAACTTGCCAGAGGCAGCATCGGCCACCATGTCATGACCATACTTGGACAATGCCTCGTATGTTGATTCGGCAGTGGCAGAGGTGATCTTTTTGTTTCCCCTCACCTCTTTGACGGCGGCCTGTACCTGGTCCTTCTTGGCACCTGCGTCGCCCAGTATCGACAAGATGGACGATTCCTCCAACAGGCCCAAGATCAAGTGATCCAATGCCAAATGGGAATCACCATTATTCTTTTGATTCTTGGCCGCTGCTCGAAGTACATTCAAACATGCACTGTTTGGTGTAATATCACTTGAAGTTTGATTTAAATGTTAATATATCAAAGATTGATTGATTGAACGGTACCATACTTACTTTGGAGGTGGTTTCTGAACTGGCAATGATGTTACTAAACGCTTACATCCATTCTCGATTTTGTTTAGGTCGCCACCAGCCTTTTCGAATATTGTGGCTGCGAGACGATCCTCATCCTCCAATAATGCCTGCAACAAATGTTGAGGAGTCAATTGATTGTTGCCCTTGTCTCTGGCCAACTCCTGACTGGCCAACAATATCTTGTTGGTCTTGTCCGTAAAAGTATCTGGATTCAATGACATAGTTTAAACTTGATACTATGATTATTATTATTTTTGATCAATAATCCTAAGGTATTTAATAATAATTCTAATGAATTAAAATAATATAGAGTGAGGTATGTATATTGATTGTTGTGTATGTATATGTATGTATGTCTATTTACAAGTCAAGTGAGTGAGAGTGAATGAATGACCTCACTCATTCCTCTTGTCTTCATTCATTCATTCATTCGGGTGTAATATGTGCGTGAGTGTGTGTGAGGTGTTGAGTGGGTGACGCGACGAAGTGGATGTTCAATCCATTATCGAGATGTCGACAATGAGGATGCGAGTGTGTGTGTGGTAGGCCCTCGTGTTGTAGTGTCTTGAGACATTAGGAGGTAGTATACTCCTTAAGGAAGGCAGATTGAGATGGCTTGTTCAAGTATGCCGTGTTGTTGTTTAATCCAAGTCATCCACCCATCCATCCATCCATCTGTCAACCACCCGATATCTACAAAAGGGTGTGTAAAGTGTTGCACTTCACCAACATGTCATTGTGTTTCATTCATGTCACTCCTCATTCACCTACACATTCACGCATTCAACTTGAATGAATGTAATACATGATGATTTGATGGAAGCCCTGACATCCTTAATAGCCTGTAACTGTCAAGAATGTATATATTTATGTTTTATATGTATGAATGAATGGATTAATATGTGATTACCAAAAGACTGAGGTGATTATTGTGTTTGGTGTACATCCCATAATTAAAGAGTTTGAAAAAAGGATAAATGGAACATCGATGTGGTACCTTCAACCCCACCCCTTTCCCAAAACATCCAACTTAGCAAATTGATTGAAAGTAGATGAGTTCGATTCCCAGACCCTGAACAGTGAACCAGATATATCAAGCTTTCATTCATTCATACTCGATATATATAGATATATACATAACATAGAACACATATAACACAGCATATATATATATACAAGTCTACTTCTAGGTTGGTGGTGCCATTGACACACACTCACAGCACCAACAGCTATGAAGGACAAAGAGAAGGACAAGAAGTCTGCCAACTTCTCAAGCCTTCTGTTTGGTAACATCACAACATCAGGTGAATTAGATGTCGAGGAAGACTCATTCTTTGATAAGGTATGATCAATCATTCAATCAATCAATCAATCATACAATCAATCATTCAATCAAACTTACACCATTCAATCATTCAATCACATAACATTATAGCAATTGAGGAGTGATCTAGATGCAATAACAAAGAAAGGATCATTGTTTAGTATAAAGAACTTGGGTGTTGATGCTGATGATACTGATAAGAATGCAGTCGATGATAATCAGGTCTCGGGCAGGACAGCCGGTGTAGACTATGAAGATATTGATGAGCTGGCAGAAGAGATCAATTCAATCGAAAACCAGATCAACAAACAGAATGCAGAGAAGCTTGCTAAGCAGGCTGAGGAGAACATTGCAAAGTTGGCACAGCGCTATGTTCTCAACAACAACAACAACAACCAGATCAACAATGGTGCGACAGGAGGTCTCAAACCATATACTGCGACAACCTTTGCCACACCCGCTCCACCAGTGAGGCCCAAGAAGATTGAAGACGACTTTGACTTTGATGCCGATGAAGAGGAGGCGACTACAACAACCACGACGACGACAACAGCATCATCAGCAATAGCCGCAACAACAGCCGCCCCAAAAACAAAGGATGACGTGGAGATGGAGGATGAGGATGAGGACGAGACAGACGACGAACAAGAGTCAGCAGACGAGTCTGACGAGGAGATGCACGAGCAGAGAGTGACAGAGCTGGATGGCGATGACTTGCAGACGACAGAGAGCATAGAGAGCAAGAGGAAGAGGAGACAAAAGAAGTTCAAGCCGACCGCGGCAGCTGTACTAGAGGCCATCCGAACGATATTGGACAAGCCGTCCAACTTTAGCTTTGAAAATGCAGAGTACAGGACGTTCTGCTCTGGCAACAACCCGGACGGCGACCCCATCTTTAAGTTCTCCAACCTGTTTGCGCCAAAGTTCCCCGCCAACCTGAGGCGGCGCGCCAAGCGACATAAACAGCCACCACCTCTGACGATCACCGAGGAGATTTTGGAGCCCGACGAGCAGACCAGCTTCAACAGCGCCGTCCCCACCACGGCTGGCGAGCCAACCACACTGGCAAAGACGGCGAGCGCAGTCAGCTCCCCCATACTCAAGTCCACGTCGGACGATCGCAAGGACTACTACATGCTGCTGTTACATCATCAGAAGCTTCAGCAGCAGCTGCAAGACGACGAGCCCCTGTTTGAGCCCATTCGCGAAAAGACCGAGGAGGAGCTTATCAAGGAGTTCCAGCAGTTGCCCGATGAGAAATACAATGCCCTGGCATTCGCGGATTGGGAAGACCAGATCATTTGGGAGGAGAAGGAGGATCTGCCATTCTCCAAGTCCAAGCAACAGTCTGGCGGCACTCATACACAAACTCCCATCTTCCTGACCAACAGTGTCCAGATTGATGTGCCCGATGAATATCAGCTCGTCGACGAGAAGAGCAAGAAGCGCAAGAGATGGGGAGAACTGGTCGAGACGACAACGACCAAACATGACGACAACAACAATAAGAACAGCGGCAACAGTGGTATCGACTTTGTATCCAACATCAATGGAGAATGGTCATTGTTCTCACTTCAGAATAGTGAGCTGGAGAATGGCGACTGGGTCAACGACATCATCTGGGACGAATCAGCGATGAACTACAAGCCCAAGATCAGTTGTTTGATCCTGGACCTCAACGATAAGAACATGCTCTTTGAAGAGAACATTGTCAAGAAGTCCGAGACAGCCGAGTCATCAGACGCAGCGGCAGGTGCCACAGGCAAGAAGGGCAAATCCAAAAAGAAGGCTGCCCTCGCCGCAGCCAGCGACCCCAACAACAACAACAGCAGCACCAACGCACTCACACACCAGCTGAGCAACAATGAGAAGTTCAACCTCTCCAACGACAAGTTCTACAAGACGGTTGGCAAGAGCAAGGTGCGCCAACAGAGTGGCAAGGTGTCGATCCATCACTCAGTGCCAGCACTCAAGCTCTCGCTGGTCAAGACGAACCTCACGATCGAGGACCTGATCAACCTGCATCGCCCGGTCATCTTCTTCCCGCCCGGCCACTCATTCCGCGTGGCCCTGTTCCACAAGGACCGTCTGGAGGACAAGACCAAGCAGCGCGGTGCCAATCGCTCGGACCCTATGCGACACAAGCTGGAGCTGTCGGCACGCGAGGGCCGTGTCGTGTTTGTCGAGTACATGGAGCAGCATCCACCACTGCTCAGCAACGTGGGCATGGCAACGCGCATCTGCAACTACTACAGACGTAAGCCAAACGATGACCAATTCCTCAACTTTGACGATGGAGAGACCATCGTACTGGACCACAACGACGAGTCACCATTCCTAGGCGAGATCAACCCGGGTATCGCCATCCAGGGCATGGTCAACAACCTGTACAAGGCGCCCATCGCCAAGCACAACCCCAACCCCAACGATTTCCTGCTGATACGCTCGCGCGACGGCAAGAAATGGTACATCCGTGAGATGGGCACCACCTACACGGCCGGTCAGATGATGCCCGAGCTCGAGGTGCCCGCGCCCAACAGCCGTGGTGCCAACATGTTCCTCAAGAGCAGGCTGCAGACGTTCATCTACCGCATGTTTATGAAGAAGAGCAACGTGCAGAAGCGTCTAAAGATCAGCGACGTTTGCAACGCCTTCCCCACACAGTCCGAGACATCGATACGCAAGCGTCTCAAGGACTGCTCCGACTTCCAGAGGGGCGGCGACGACAGTGGCTCGTGGACCGTCAAGGACAACTTCCTTTTGCCCACCGAGGAGGAGCTTCAGAAGCTGGTGTCGCCCGAGCTCGTCTGTTGCTACGAGTCCATGATGTACGGCCTGCAGTTGCTGCAGGACAAGGGCATCATTCACTTTACCAACGCTGGCACCATCCCAACGATGCTCAGTGGCCTGGATGAGAATGACGCTCTCAAGAAGAAGTGCAAGCCCGTCGAGGACGAGCTCAACCTGACACCGTGGAACCTCACCTCCAACTTTGTCATGGCCACACAGGGCAAGGGCAAGCTGCAGCTTGTTGGCGACGACCCCCGCGGTGAGACCTTTAGCTATCTCAAGATGCCCCAAAAGGTGGTCAACCAGAAGCAAAAGGCCATCAAGCAGGCGCTGCAAAAGAACCAGGTCACAGGCACAGACGCCGATCTGAGGAAGCTGTCACTGAAAGAGTCGCGACTCGTCCTGCTCAAGCTGGGCGTCACAGAGGAGGTCATCAACAGTCTCACACGTTGGAAGCGTATTGCGCTGGTCAGGAAGAAGTCGTCCGAGGCCGCCACCAATGGTGGTAACGAGGACGGCATGACCAAGTTTGCCAGAGGCTCACGTTACTCGCTGGATCATCAACAGCTACAGCACAAGGAGCAATGTCAGGAGATCTTCAACACACAGATCAACTTCATCTCGAGCAATGAGGCCGACGAGGCAGACCTTGACGCCGACCTCGAAGAGGACCTGCAAAACTTGGAGGAGAGTCTGTTCGCCGAGGAGGAACCGAAACGCAAGTCGACAGGCAAGCGCGATAGGTTTGGACGCAAGATCGACGAGGACGAGGAGGATGAAGAGGACAAGGCCGAGTTCAACAAGCTCATGAACGAAATGAACTCGAACCCACCATCACCAGTGAGCAAGCAGAGCAACAGTCAGGCGGCCACCACCACAACCACAACAACCACTTCAACATCGTCCGCGCACGAGCGTGATCACGACAGCAGTGGAGACGAGTCAGAGATGTCGTTCATGTCGCATGGTGAGATGGAGTTTGTCAAGCGTGTGACACTTTTCCCCAAGCCCGACGGCAGTCTCTATCGCAGAATAGAGATCATCAGAGACCCAGCCGTCATCAGAGAGTATCGCAAGCGCAGAGCCAAGCGCATTGCAAGCGGTGCCATTCCAGACGAGGACGACATGAGACGACAGCGCAAGAAGCTTCAGGAGAAGCTTCGTCGATTGAAGAGCTCAGGCGTTGGCATTGGTGCCAACAAGCCACCCACACCAGGACAGGGTCCCATCGTCGACTTCTCACCATCAGTATACAACATGCCCATGCATCAACAACAACAACAACAGTATCAGCAGCCAATGATGGGCATCAGCTCTGGAAACATATCAATGCGTGGCAGCGGTGTGTTCCCTGAGCCCGCACCACTGGCCAGCCCAACCAACGCGCCCACCAAGATCAAGATCCCCTCCAACATCATCAGGAACAGCATCGATAGCATGCCCCACCACAACGACGATCACAGCCCCGTGCCCAGCCCAAGTCCAGTGCTTTCACAGTCTGGATCGATCATCGTGCGCATCAAGAAGGAGGACCTGCCGCCCCTGCACAAGAAGAAGAGCAAGATGGACCTGTTGGAGGATTTCGACGACGACATCCCCATACCGATCAAGACATCACAGCGCAGGACCAGAGTCAGGAAGGATGGCATTGGCGCAGAGGTCGAACTATCCAACATCTTTGAGAAGATTGTCGAGAAGCTACGTAACATGGACGAGTTTGTGGCATTCCGAGCCAAGGTAATTCCCAAGATAGCACCAGATTACCACTTGGTAATCAAGAACCCAATAGACTTAACAACAATGAGAGATGTAAGTTAAGACAAGACAACCATGATCGATCAGTCAATCAAACAAAGTATAACTAACACACACACAGAAAGTAAGACATTGGGATTACAAATCCAAGAACCAGTTCTTGGACGCGATTAGACTGATGAGGTCCAACTGCTTTGAGTATAACGAGAAGAGGAATCCACATCTGTTGCCACTGGCCGATAAACTTTTGCGCGACACTGAGCAGGCACTCCAGGAATATGTAAGTACTTAATGAAGTCGAGGGGAGGCAATCAATCAACTTACTAACTTATGACATCACTTATTCTAGGCCACTCAAATCGATACATTGGAGAAGTCGATCGCACAGTCAAGACACTCAGACTCCAACTCCAATCCACAAACACCAATATCCAACCCAGCAACACCTCTGAGTCCATCACTCCACTTCTCTGTCGACTCTCCATTCTTCCCACCAGTGTCATACCAGTCTGGAAAGCACGAGGACGAAGACATTGACATCATGTCACTGTCTGGCGTGTCGCCTCCACCACCCCCTGCCCATCAATGACCTGGCAGGCAGTGTAAATTAAACCATTAGCGAATACTATATATAGTATACCTGTATCTATCTATCCATCCATCCATGGATGAACTGTGAGTAATTTATTGCTTCTTCTTACGACTCTTCTCCTTCTGGAGGGAGCTGACTGGTGTCTTGTGAATGGTGATGTACTCCTCTATCCTGGCAGAGATGTCCTTTGATGTGTCGCGCAAGATGACAATCTCGTCTCTCAAGTCAGTCGACTTCTTCTTGCCAATCTCTGTAAGTATTGGCAACATTTGAACCAGTGCCATATCCCTAACGTTTGGTTGGAACTTGCCCAAGTTGATCACATTGGGATTATCATAATCTCCAGTGCTATCGATAAATAATACCTTTGATGGATCTCTGTTCAATCTTGGGAAACTCTATATATATGTTTGTTCGATTGATTGGAATGTTGTTAGTTCGTTGATGTAATCCAATCAATCAACCAATCGAGCGATCATACATCAATGGTGAAGTGTCCTTTCTCCTTGATTCCAGAGCTACCATAGAGGAGTCCAGAGAAGTATGAGTTCCTTGGATCCAGTTTGAAGTGAATGTGTTCAGAGCATTTCTGTTGTTGATTGAGAGAAGTGTAAGTGATCGATCAAACAATCAATGGTCACATGACATGTCAGCCAGATCAGCAGATCTTACGTTGTGATCCTTTGAAGAGTAGAGAATGACTTCAAAGTGTGTTGAAAGGTTGGTGAGGAAGTAGTCCAATCCACCTCTCTTATAGACGGCTGGGCAGTTCTTATCGTCAGTGACCTCAGAGATGGTATCGATATCAATAACAATTGTGTATTCTCTGCCAACTCCCTCTGGCAGTGGAGGTGGGAGTACGGTTACAACCTCTGGTGCTCCGAATATCTGTATTCATTGATTGATTGATCGGTCAATAACATTCTCATGCAACGCCACTTTGTGCACCATAACCTACTGAAGCAAACAATGAGAACTCGCGAAGATTGTTGGATACATTGTTGAGGAACTCTCTGAATGGGTCAGCAAAGTGAATCAACACTGTACTCTCTGCTGTGTTTAGTTGGTATCTATCGTCATCGCTAATGTTTCGTTTGAATTGGAACACTGTCATTGTATCATTCAAGCTTGTTGTTAGTGAACTTGATCGAGTGTGACCTCGCAAGGTCCAATCATTCAATCATTCAATCAATCAATGACAACACATACAGGCTATACATGCTGATGAGCAAATGATGGCTGTTYCCAAGAACTGTTGGTGAGAAGAGTGAGAATCCCTCCTTTGGTCTCTGTTGCTGTTGTTGGTCCTTTTGTTGGTCTTGTTGCTGTTGTTGTTGATCGTCCTGTTTCTTCTCGCCACCCGATGTTGATGATGATGTAGATGATGTAGATGTACTATAACTCTTGTTGGTACCAAACAATTGGCCACCTGCACTGAATGGTCGTCCATTCAGTGTCATTCTCGACATCATGATCGATTGACTGATCGTTCTGGAACGACCCAAATAAAGTCTAGACATCATCTTGTTGTTGTAATATATATATATATATGTATAGTGTTAATAATAATAATAATGTTGTTGATGCACTCTCATAAGTCAATCAATCAACCAAAGACGACAAAGCCGCAACTCAATACTGATGTCACGAAAGGTCCATTCATCCAAGTTTGTTTTTTTTTTTCAAATCGAGCATCAGGACTGGATGATCTGACACAGTCAGTTGGAAGTTCCAGGCCTGTTGACAACAAGTCTGGACATATGATGGATAATGACATGTATATGTATATTGTATGTGTATGTGTTATAGCTTGTGGAGATAATAATAGTACGATACTACTATTCTCTCCTCCTTTTTGGTAACGGTAAAAGGTTGGGGACCAATTTAAACTTCGAAACCACCAAGGTAATGTGATCCTTTCCTGTTGGATCTGTTGTATCCGTCGTATCTCCTGTCTTGCTCGCAGTATCCAATGTGAAGGTCTCTCATTATAACCCATGCATTGCTTGTCATTGGTGATCCTATAAATGATTGATTGATTGATCGTGTGAGTGATGTGATTCATAGATTGATAGATTGATCGATTGATCATGACCAAGACACTTACTGTCGAATAGAGTGGATGAATCCTTTCCAGCGTTCTGTTATTGTGGTTGTTGATGATGATGATGAAGGAGGAGTGGGAATGGTCAGCATCATTCATGTGATGAAGTGGCAGGGATGAGGAGGGATGTGCTTGATACATACAGCCATGATTACGAGACCGCCTGGATGACGATCGATATATGATGTTACATTGTACACTTTTCCGTGGATGATGACCCAACAGTCCTCTCTCTTGTTGTGCTTTGCCACCTCCTCCAGTGTGAACTTGGGTAGTGTCTCATCGACCAGACGTGAGTATGGGTAACCTGGGTCTATTATTGTTGGTTGACAGGTCATAAGAGTGTGAGTTGATATTCGATTCAATGTTAAGTGATGATGATGATGTGACACGTACGATCATCTCTGAGTGCCATGGTGTCTGCATTCTCGACCATCCAAGCCTCGGGTGGGACATCCTCCTCGTGGTGATGATCGTCATGATGCTCGCCTTCCTTGTGCTCGTGCTCGTGCTCGTGTGCATGTGCATCATGCTTCTGATGCTTGTTGTTGTTCTGTGGTGGGTGAGCACTGCCGTAGAACCTGATGCTGCTACTTGAGTAAGCTGGTGCCACCAAGTTCAAAGCTTTGCCACTGTTTCTAGTGATGCTGTTTCCAAAGCCCTTCTGTATATATATGTATGATTGATTGATTGATGGTCAGAGGGATGAACTACTCATTCTTGATCAACAACTGCGTCTGTCTGTCTGGTCCGCTGTTTGATCGATTGATTGATTGATTGACATTTACGTAGGAGGACAGGAGCACTCTTGATACTGATCTGCTGAACATCTTTGGTGGTATACAATATATAATATATAACTTAAGTTTGATTGAATGAATGATAATGAATGCGAGACGAGTGTAAGTGTAGTAGACACAAAGTGATCATGCGTCTGGCAACACAACAGGCAGCGTGGAAACCTGAAAAATGATGAAAAAAAAGTGATCAAATGATCCATTTGGACTTCCCTCCTCCTTCCAATGATCAATCAATCCTATCTCTTCAATCATATGACTATCATCAGTTACTGACGAGATGTCTGTCGAGGAGGACACTCAACTAAATACCCAATAGACAAGGATTGTTTTGTTTTCTTTCTTTATTATACCACTGTTTCGTTATTTGAGCTTGAGCTTCTTTCTGATGCCATCCAACTAGTTTAATGTGTAGGAAGGGATATTGGTTAGGTATTGATTGATGTATTGATTGACTGATTGAGTGACGGGTATGCACTTACAACTGATTTAACACGCTCAAGAGTACCAGCGGTGCCTCCAACACAATTGTCTACCGTGTAGGGACTGGTGATTTTGACCTCATTCATTGCAACAATAGTCTTTCCTTGCCACTCGCATGGCATAATTCTGGTTTGGATGGGATTGGATTGGATTGATTGATTGAGTGGATGGATGGGTAAGTGATCGAGTCGATCAATCAATCAATCAATCAATCAATAGTTTGGATGGACTTACGCCTTTGACAACATAAAAAATATCTCTTGGGCCTCTGGAGTGACTCCAGTGTTTATCTTGGAAGCCTGTTTCCTGGCGTCCTCTATGGCCTTTTCGAGTCGCTTCTTGGTGGCATCGGTGTTGACAGAGGGCAGTGAAGTCATCTCCATGATCGATGGAGACTCACTTCCACTGCTGTTGCTGTTGTTGTTGCTGTTGCTGCTGTTTGATGTTCCGATGACTGTTACCTCTGTGATTGCTGACTCCAACAATACTCGAACAATATGCTTCTTTGAATGCGCGTATGTCAATGATCCATCTTCACTCACTATAATGATGGTGATGTTAAGTGTAAATGTAAGTATGATTGAATCAATGTTGATTGAATGAATGAATGATACTTTACATATGGTTACACATGTTGTTACTGGATCATAATTGAATATTACACCTTCATACTGTTCAGACAGTGTTGTCTTTACCCTGACCCTGACACCAATCGTCCAAGTATGCTTGTCCTGCTGTGTACTGTCCATTTGCATCCAACTGTACTTTTATATGTTGTATGCGAGATATATATATATAACTACTACTACTACTTCTACTTCAATATATATACTTTTGATGCTGTTATTACTTCAACAGCATTGATCTCGAGAAGCAAGCAAATATATATATCTATCTATCTGTCTATCTATCTATTTAAGATCTGTCCTTGTGTTCCCAACCGACCGACCGACCCAACCTGTCTTCCTTCTGCTGTTATTAATAGAGTTGATGATGAATATAATGAATGCTGTTGTTGTTGGTGTTGTATTATATATATAATATATATTGTGAATGAATGAATGAATGAATGAATGAATAAGGTGGTGTTCACGTGATTATAACAATCTTAATTACAGGTTGTTTGTGATGTTGGTCAGGTCAGGGCGCCTTGCAACCATGCATTCATTCACTTCATGATCATCAACATCATCAGAAGTGTGTGTTTGAGTTCAGAATCCTTCATTTTTTTATTTTTAATTAGTTGTTGTGTTGGTTCGTCAAAGACCAAAGCTTGAGCAAGGGTTGAGGGTGTGTCACATATGAGTCCAGACTCATTGAACTTCATGGCCTTGATGAACATGGAACAATGTTGGAAATTAGTTGGGGATGGATGGACGGATTATATATATGAACAAGTAGAAGTAGTGTTATTTACTATCTCCTCGAGGAGTAACGATCATCGTAGTTGCTGCTTGAGCGCTTGCCACCTCTGCTACTGCTACTGTTACTGCTACTGTGCTCATGGTCACGTGATTGAATGTATCTATCACGCTCCTGATCCCTCCTATCTCTATGCTCACGTTCACGTTCGCGTTCGCGTTCACGCTCACGTTCGCGTTCGGAATCATATCGGTCACTTCTGCTTCCACTTCCACTTCCACTTCCTCCGCTTCCACCTCTGCTGCTACTGCTGCCATGCTCTCTTATATCTCTTTCTCTTTCCTTCTCTCTTTCTCTCTCCCTTAAGGCCTCTCTCTCGCGATCATACGATCTACTGTCTCTGTCTCTGTGGTCTCTGTGGTCTCTGTTGTCACGGCTCTCCATTGGAGCGGAATACCTGTCTCTGTGGTCTCTATGGTCTTTGCTGTCCCGATGATCACGATGGTCGCGATGGTCACGATGGTCACGGTTGATGTCTCGGTGATCACGGCTGTCACGGCCAGAGCGCTCTGCACTCCTCCTTCTGCTACTGCTACTTCTATGGTCTTTGGTCGACTGCTGGTTTGTGTCCTGTTGTGATTGAGGTGGGGAAGGGAGGGTGGAAGGGTAGTCGTGTTAACAAGCATGTCCAATGTCGTCAGTTGTTGTGGCGCTTGTTTATTATAGATATCTACTCTAGTGTCATTATCAGTCCTGTGCTTCTTGCTTGATTGATTGTCATCATTGGTGGTGGTAGTGGCCGACTCCTCCTGCTCGGGGGCAGGCCTCTTCTTTTCAACTGGTCGGTACTTCAACTCGTACTCCTCCATCCTTGACTGATCGACGTCCATTGTTGTGAAACAGTCAGGACACAATGGCTTCTTTGCCACGTCTCCATCAGTCACCTTCTTAATATACTCCTTAATACCTATTATATGATTGATTGATTGATTGAGTGTGAGTATGAGCATGGGCATGGCAAGTCGGATGAGGTGACATGTCCTTACATTGGAAACAGAACTGCTTGTTGCAACATGGCGATACAAAGTAGGAGGTCAGATCGACTTGGTTCTTGCATTGGCTACATGTTGATGGGAATGCAGGCGCTGGACCTTTGGCAGATGATGTGCCCGAGACGGACTCACCCTGGTTGTCCTCCTCGCCAGGCACCTCGGACGATATGATTGACTTGGCCAACTTGGCAAACTCAGACTCATGTGTCAGTACGACGGCCACACCGCCACCTGGCATGAGCACAGTGGATGAGCCAGCGGCACTGCCTGGGTTCTGGACGGGCTTGAGGAAGATCTTGGGGATGCCCGATGCCTTCTTCGACTTGTGATGATTGAAGTTTGGATCGCCGTTGGTCGGACACTGATTGATGTAGTGTCCAGGCTGATTGCAACGGTGACATATATAAGTTGGAGGTGGGGCGACAATACGTCCATCAGTTGGGAATGAGTTATGTGGTCTATGTTCTCTCATGTGTGGACGGTCACTGTGTATGGTCAATGAGGATGTGTTAGTATGTTTGTTGTTGTTGTCGATGTTGTTGACACTTACGCTCCCAATCCAGCATGTGTTGATAGTAGTGCGTTGATCTTGGCATTCTCATCATTGGCCAATTCGTCGTCTGGCATACCCGAGCTGTCCTTGGCCACAAGGGGAGCGGGTGTGAGGGCAACAGGCTTGGATATCACTGGTGTCATATTATTTCCACTTGGCATTCCTCCATGTCCACCAGACTTTGGTGCATTGGTAATTGGCACTCTCCTTACAATCAATGATGTATTCTTTGGAATCTGGTATGATTCATCTCTATACTCTACATTGTTGATCGTTTGATTGATTGATCGTGTGATTGATTGATAGTGGGTGAGCAGAGAGAAGAAAGAGAGAATGATTGAGTGATTGATTTAGAGTTAATAATAATTCGATTTGATTGGTTTATTGAATGTGATGGGCAGTCTGCTGTTGCATGAGCTAATGATTGTATACCTTCGTTTGTCTGAGCGTTGGAGATGACGAGGTCAGAGTCGGTTGACTTGCCCATGTTAGACCTGGCCACAATGATCTTTTTAAGATCAGCAACAGATATATGTGATCCTTCGAATGTTGCTGTGTCATAGTCCTTGACACTCTTAAATTTGAAATGTACAGACATCTCTTTTCTATTTCTATATCTCTATCTCTATTTGATGAGATTGCAACCCTACTTCCTTTCGCAATACAATAACAACACAACGAATACTACTACGATAAGCGTAACTAACTAACTAACTAACTATGACGACGTAACCTAACCAGCAAGGTTGTGTGTTGATTCAATACTACCTCTCTCAAGAGTTTATAAACTCTTTGTTTGTCTTGATGGTGTTGGGTGGTCACTGATATACTTAAACTCTTTTTCTTCTCTCTTGAAGTAAATCAATGTTTATTTAACAAGTGAGCGATGATGATGTGCGTTTCCTCTTCTAATTGGTGTTCGCGAATGTGCACGTTGAGATTTTTGTTGATGTATTTGTGTGTATTTGTTTGTTGATGTTTGTTGAATGTTGAAAATGAACAAAAATTGAATGTTTGGGTGGGATTTATCATGTTGGTTCGAGGAAATATTATTATCTGTACAGCACAACGATATCAATGTTACAATTATTTATATTATATTTTATTATTAATTACATGTAGATAAAGAAAAATAGTAATAATTAGATTTATATTATAAATGGACCCGTTTCAAGATAATGGACATAAACATAACAAACAACAACAACAACAACAATTAATCAATGACGACGACGATGTAGAGAATGGCGAAGAAGATGATGTTGTGATATGTGGAGAGAATCTACAGGCTGCAATCAAAGTGTTAATATCTGCTCATTCAAAAGATGTATTAAGTATGGATTATATAATCCTTTGCTCCTTCGTTCCCTTACTCACTTAATCAATCAATCAACTCAATCAATCAATCATTGTAGAGATTGAGCGAGAGTTTCAAAGACAGAAGAATATATGGAGCGAAGAGAAGACAAAACTGATACAATATACAAAGAGACTGAAAGAGAAGAATAGGTTACTTATTCAAATCATTAAGGAGCATGGATTACAACAACAACAAGGCCATGATGTTGTAGTTGTTGATGATACATTATCACATCCTCCTGCTCAACAACAACAATGCACAGTAATATCATCTACGACAATGACAACCAAAACAACAACATCATCAATGACATCATCAACCAAAAGTGTAGACGAGGAGGAGGAACAAGACGAGATGAATGAAGAAGGAAGTGAAGGTAGTGATGATGGATTCTCTGACTTTAGACCAAAGAGAAATTCCCTTAAGAAAGGTGAAGACCAAGGCAGCAGCACCACCGATAACAAACAAAAGAATAAGAAGAGAAAGAGTAGTGAGCCATCCAACGAGGTGAATGATGACCTGGATTTACCATTGGTGAACGATCGACATCTCGAGGAAGAGGAGGAGTTGCGACTGCTTCAAAGTTCACAACCTGGAAAGAAAACACCAATGATGGCCAACAAGTATGGTGACAATGGGGCGAGTAGGATCGTATCCCCAACACCATCAACTGGCTCATCCAACGGCAATCAGAAGAAATACAAGTATCGCGAGGTAGTTCGTAACAAAGCCGAACGAGAGAAACTGAAAGGTTTTGAATGTGATCATTGTAAAGAGGTATGTATTGTATTTGATTGATCGATCGAGTTTGATTGATTGAGCTCACTAACACTCGGATGATGATAGTTCTACAAAGCAGTACTTGGTGACGACTTTGACCAAAAGATGTTATTGCTCAATCAATGCTCGAGACATAGACAACAAGACGAGACTCCTCCAACTCCACCTGGATATTGGGACTTCAACTTTGGAGACGAATCAGATAATGATGAACAGAAGCATCAACAGCAGACACAGCCACAGCCACATCATAATATTATCGATTCGTCTTTCTAAACGGAATGAATGAATTTAATGAAAGAAGGAATTGAATGGGCTCTCGGCTCATTCAATTCACCATTATCCATTGGTATCTTTGCAACACTCGCAACATTTATCACTCAACTTTGTTGTTGCCCTCGCCCATTGGTTGTTTCAGCTTGCACACAACACAACATACACACTCAATCAATCAATCAAGTCTTGCTCAACATAGGCTATCTGCTCGTGAGAGTAGGTGCCCGACGCATTCCCAAGACACACGAACAACCTTTGGCCCTCGGAGAGTGTGTGGATAACCCCACGCACTCACCTCATTCAATCCAAAGTACCCTTGCCCGTCGCGCATCACATCAATTGATGTATTTGCAACATCCATGAGAAAGAAATATCCTTGTTGTGACTTGTATGTGTGTGTGTTGGTGTGAGTGTGAATCATCAAACAAACATGCCTGCCTGCTTGCTAGCAAGAATGAGTGAATGAATGTGTGGATGACTTTTGCTTTTGCGTCCAGCCTCACATAACTTATGAGTTGTAAAGACAATTAATTAGGCTTCTTTTACACACACACACATACATAAAGTTTATCTTCCTTTTAGTTTTAGATATCTTTTTTTTTTCAAACAACCTGGTCAACAAAACGGACAGACCCTCACGCTCAATACCCACCACCAATTCACCATCTCTGGAGATTGACTCTAAACAACAAATTGCAAACATAGAGTCGCATAGATACACACACAATAATATTCATTCATTCATTCAACTTTATTCAATTCAACTACCATTCATTATACTTTATTAGTTAGTTAGTGACATCAATGATACTGTAGTAACAATCATTCAATCAATCAATCAATCAAAATCAATATCAACATCAATCATTACATTACATTAATAACAACAAACAATGGACGAGTTTGAATCATTCTTCTCACAACTCATCCCGCCACCTGAGCAGGACTTGTGGTTGATGACACCTCAAGACTTCAATCCATTGACATGGTCACAGCCTCCATCATTGAACTCATCTCAGAATCAACTGTTGGGTAATATAATTGGCAATCAACAACAACAACAACAACAACAACAACAACAACATCAGCAACAACAGCAACAACAACAACAGTTACAACAGCAGCAACAACAACAACATGATCAACAAGTAGATCTACTTAACTCATCACTTCAAAAGAGTTTCGCAATGAGTCCAAATGCCAACCCACAGCAACAACAACAACAACAACCTGGTGGCACTGATATGTTATCACTCAATGTACCAGTCAAGGTCGAAGGACAACAGGGACAATCACCACAATGTATCGATGAACTACAAAGACAACATCATCAGTTTGTTCAGTTCCAACAGGACTACTTACTTAAACAACAGCAACAACTTCAACAACTTTCACAGTCGGATCAACACTTGTCCACAGCAATACCATCACCACAAGATCTACTCAGCCATCTAACGCCACAACAACAGCAGCAACATATATCATCATTCGTACCGTCTCCAATCAATGTAATGTCTCCACAGCCGTCTCTACAACATCAACAACTACAACAGCAACAACAATCCCAGTCACAACAGCAGCAGCCACCACAACAACAGTTCAGACAGCAGTTCCAACAACACCTTCAACAACATGAGCTGCAGTTCCAGCAACAGATGCAGCAGCAGATGCAACAGCAACAACAAATACATATGCAAATGCAGCAGATGCAACAGCAGAGGGGAGGCAGTGGCAGCGGCAAGACAAAGAAGAAGGGAAAGAAGTATGAGGACGACGAGGATGACGATGACAGCAGCAATCTATTCTTCAACGAGTTTGGCTGCTTTGACGACGACAAGAACCCTGGCATGCGCGTCAATCAGAACCTTGCCAGCAGGAACTACCGACAGCGAAGAAAGGACTATATCAAAGAGATCGAGGCCAAGCTTGCCTCACTCACCTTTGAGAACCTCCAGCTCAAGCGTGAGAATGAGACACTTAAGGTATGCACACGGGACAAGTCCAATGTCTCTCTCCCGTTCTCATTCATTCACTCACTAACTCAAACTTACTTTAGGAAACTGGCGGCGTTGATGTGATGAGACCTGAGCCCGAGCTACTTGCCATGTTGATGGAGGGCAAGCAGATCATCATCCAGATGAGCCAGGCTATAAAGAAGAATGACGAGAGGACGCTGGTGTACCTGCTACATCTCTTCCACACGGCAATTGGCAAGCGTTACGCCATTGCCGAGAAGGAGGTAGAGAAGATCGTCCACCCCTACACGCAATCAAAGCTGGCATCGATGGGCTACGTGCCCAAGGGCGACCGTCCACTGTTCAACATCAGTGGAAGTGCAGCCGACGGCTGGTTCGCGCTGTTCAAGAGCGAGGCCAACATCAGCGAGGAGCAAAACGTAAAGCTGGAGGCACTGCGACAGGACCACGACAAGCAAGAGCAGGTGCTGCGCATCGAGCGCGAGCAGCTGGACAAGGAGATCAAGAACTTCTACTACACCAAGATCCTGGTGCTGCCCGACACAAGCGAATGCTGCAGCAACTCAGAGTTCAACACACCCACGATGTCTGGCATGGCGGCCACTGTGACGCTCCCACAGCCAGCCGAGCCACACATTGTCAACAGTTCTCCTCTGGAGATCAGCCAGATACTGGACTTTGCCAGGAAGCTCGACATGTTGAAGAAGAACTTTATATGCTCACGAAACCTATCATCGGACACCATCTCTGGTCTGAGCAACATCCTTACACCACGTCAAGAGGCCATGCTACTCGTCCGTATACATCTCAACACCACGTACGACTTTGCACATATGGAGCTGCTCAAGGATGTGTGGACCAACATTGCCAATCAGAACAAGTCTACGGCGCCCAAGAACATTGCTGAGGCTTTGGCCAAGTTCTCGGCGTCCGAGGCAGCCAACGTCATGCCAACCGTTGAGCAGATTGTCAAGCCACCTCAATTCCATCAGTACAATCCAAATCAGGTCAAGAAGGAGCGCGCTTCAAACTCGGACAAGAAGAAGAAGGCGGCAGCCGCTGGAGGTGGTTCGGCTGGAAGGAGTAGTGCCAAGTCAAAGGCGACCAACAACACATCATCATCAAACACTATCATCATCAACACTTCCAACAACATCACCAACAATAGCAATACCAACAGCGGCTGTGGAAGTCTAGGGAAAGAGACATCGTCCAAGAGTCCACCCGACCCAGTCTTCCAACCACCACCCCCTGAAGCCATACCATATACAAGTTCGAACTCCAAGCAGTACCAATGGTATGTCTATCCGAGTCCCCAGTAGTACTATATTCTCCAGATATCTGTATATTATATTAAATTATATAAACATATATATATTGTTTATTATAACATCTTATTCATTCATTCAATTCATTTTTGGATGATGATGCTTTGACTACTCTCTCCACACTGTACTTTGACTCATCCATTCGCTCCCAATGATAGAGGGAGTCGCGTAGCCATGCATAATGGACGACCTTGATGCCACTCTTGACAGCCTGGAGCACTTTGGAGGTGCCAGCCTTGATAAAGATCAGATGTGTAGTGTTCTCTGTGATGTCCATTTGTACTTTGGCACCAAATGACTCGGCCATCTGAACAATTCGTGTAGTTGGCAATTTGGTAGCGTCCACCTGCTTTGGGAATACACCACTGAATACAATGTTGCAGTTGTTCAATATCTGTTGACGAATGGTCTTGATGGCATTCTTTGATCGCACAAGGTTGGTGTCATTGTCTCCACCAATAGAGTTGTCGTTGTTGTTATTGCTGTCCACTTGATGGGATGTCAGTGTGGACATGAATGAGCTTTGAATGGAAATGAGTAGATTGGAGAATAGTTCAAGGTAGGGGATTGGTGTGTCAAGCTTGGCATAATGGAACTGCTTTGATAGTTCGTGAATGGAGAATGGATAGTTATAAATTGGGATTGAGGCATCCTCAGAGTCCTTCTGGAAGTGAGTGAACTTCTCCACGATCACCAAGTTATCCCTGTATTGTCTCCCTGGTTGATTGATTGATGTGATTGATGTCAGTCAGTGAGTTAATTCCACTTGGATTGATTTGATTGATCAATCAAACATACATATATCCTCACGATCATCAAAGATCAGTAGTGATTCGTTCGGTTCAATGTTGAATATCCTTGTAAAGTCTGAAGGAGTGAATAGCGTGTAGGGTCGATTTGGTTGCTGCTTGGGTAGACAACTGCCAAAGCAATCAATCGTTACAATGTGCTTAAAGAGTGTCTTGTTTGGATCAAATATCTCCAGTATCTTATTGACATCTGATTGATTGATTGTGTTAGTCCATTGAACATTGACATCTGATTGGATGATTACATACATGTTCTGGAGTTTAACGAGAATAGAGTGATGTTAAAGAATGGATGTAGTGTCTTTAGAAAAGTGACGGCATATGGCCGTATCTTGATCCAATGTGTACATCCATCAATGATACACTTGATGACGCCATCGCCTTTTTCCTTGTCCTGTGGCGTGTCTATATCGGTATAACAATGAGTTAATGAATGGAGGTGGAATATGATTGGGCAGGACCATCAATATATACCTTTGGTTGAATTGAGAAGGATGTGATCGATATCGATGATCAAGTTCATCTTGTGCTCATTCTTGACCTTATCGCTGATGTGCACTTCCTTTCCAACCCATTGTGACACTCGCATTGGTGTAGTGGAAGGTTGCTTCTTAGGTGTCAAGTTTGATGATTGCGTTGTTGTGTTGTTGTTGTTATTGCTGATATTTACAGTAGTTCTATCGATGCTATCTGAAGACTTATTCAGTAGCTGGCCAGTATTATAGTTGTAGTTGTTGTTGTTGTTGATGATTGATGGTGATGATGATGTGGAAGTTGATGTTGACGATGATGGACTGCTTGGAAATGGAGGAGGAGGAGGTGGAGGTGGAGGCGGTGATTGAGGTGGAGGAGGAGGAGGTGGTGGAGGTGGAGGTGACATTGGAGGAGGTGGTGGAGGTGGAGGCGGAGGAGTCTGAGTCTGAGTCTGAGTGGTAATGGATGTCCTTCTATATCCTCCATGTGATGTGTTCATTGTACGATTGCCATGACCATTGTTATTGTTATTGTTGTTCCTGTACGATCCATTGTGTTGCTGGTCATATGGCGGACTGATACTGCGACGTCTGTATCTATCTCTGCTCCAACTCCTTGACCTGCTCCTCGAGAATCTCCTGATGATATCCCTACTTCTACTCCTACTTCTACTCCTGCTCCGACTGTATCTTCGTCGTTGATATCGCCTGTATGTCGGTCTGGTCGTGCGACCCCTACTACCACTTCTGCTACGACTTCTACTTCGACTTCGGATCCTGCTTCTACTCCTACTTCTACTCCTACTCCTGCTCCAACTCCTATCTCGCTTCTCCTTCATCTTTTCATAGTCACGCAATGATTCTTCAAAGTCATCCACGTCTCTGTTGCTTGAATTGACTGCTGCGGCAGCCTCACTGTTTGCATAAGGTACGTATAGTCTGCCTCCAACAATAGAGGTATATGGGGCTGTTGCTTGAAGTTGATCATACACTCCTGGATATCCATATATTGATGCAGCAGGTTGATATGGATGATATATCGTATCATCGTCATCATCATCCAAATGGTCATGATGGAGAATGTGTTGTTCAAGTTCAAGGTCATGGTCATGGTCGTGGTCGTGGTCCAGGTCGTGGTCGTGTTCGTTAACAGAGGCGGATGAGGCAACATGTTGTTCATTCTTCTTTAAATCATCAACAACATGATTAAGTTCAACGATCTCGCCATCGTCAATCTCTCCATCCTCTACATCATCATCTTGATCATCGCTCGTCTTTATAGTTGTGGTTGTTGTCGTAGTTGATGTCAAGTTTGTATCCAGTTGCTGTTGTTGTTCTTGTTGTTGCTGCACATGCAATTGTTGTTGTTGTTCCTGCAGTTGTTCAGTTGACATTTCTCATATCTCTTCCTCTATTATCTCTATCTCTATCTCTAACTCAAACTCTCGCTTTCACACTATCATTGAGGGTTGAAAACAATCGATTGAATTTACAACACTCGTCTTTTGTTGTTGAATTTATTTCCAAGTCGTGTGGGTCTCACCAACCGAGTTAACAAGGGACGTTTTTGCCATTCTGGAGTATTAATAATAAGTTGTTGAAGTAATCTATGAAGTAGAGATGTCCACGTTCATATGCCAATTGGAGTAGACATTCGAGGTCCACCTCAATGTATGGTAATAATAGATGTTCTAATAGGTATTGAAAACATATTGTTGCATTATATCCATGATCCATGCAACTTCCATACCATTCGCGTAATGTACCATTAGGTTGTCGTTGTTGAAAATTAAGTAATAATCTATTGATGATCACTCTTTGTTCATCTACTGTCTTCAATGACAACGACAAACTATCAATGAATGCCTTGACCAATGGTAGATATCCATATTGAACGCCTTTGATGATATTTGTCAAGTTCAAGTCAGAATGTTGTTGTTGTTGTTGTTGTTGTTGTTGTTGTTGTATGATATGATCTACAACATCAATATTATATCCATATAATAAAGATTGACCTAGATGTGTCAAGTTCCACTTGATGCCATTGATCTTCTCAAGTAGATACTTGACTACATCCAAATGTCCTCCCCATACTGCACCAAGTAATGCGAGATCATTACATTCATTGGACGGTCTGTTCTCATGGATGTATCGAACGATGTCAACGTTGCCAGTACTAGCCGCTTCGGACATTGCCCGATGTGATGAGATTTTCTTGATATGGCCGTATTGTTCATGGAACTCGCTCAACAATGACAAGTCATTTAGGCGAATAATAATCAAGAGTGGAGGGTTGGGTAAGGTTGGACATCTCTCGGACAAAAGGCCAGAGTTGAATAGACGTCGTACTTGAGCGACTGAGGGCAGATTCTCCAATATCTCCATTCCAACCATGTATCCAGTTTCCTCAATCACTTGGAGAACATCATCACGTTCGGCCTTGATAGCGTTGACAACCACACATGGATGTAGCTCTCGAACATGTCGATCAATCAACTCACTGATCAATCTCATGTCCTTGATCATCATGAACTTTGGATTCCACATCAAGTCCACTTCGACAACACTTTGACCATATATGCTCATTTGGTCAAAGTATGCTTTGGTTAGGTATTCATACATTTCCAGTGTCATTCCAGGCGACAAGAATATCTGTTGATCAAGTTGGACATTGAAGTGAGTGGCCAGTGTCTGGAGTAGCTCCATAGAGATGATCGTGTCGTGTATCTGGCACTTTAATAGCCACTTTGATGACGTGGTGTTGCCCACAACACAATAGTCCATTAGGTGGAATGCGACGTCTTGATGTCCTTGTCTCAGTGCTTGGGCGGCAAGAAGTTTGAAAGTGGGCCTCTCTGAACAATGAGCACTTGTCCACTGCGCCAGCTCGAGGTCGCCATGGGTGGCGGCGGCAAAGTACAACACGTCGGCGGGAAGGTGATCACGATATCTTTGAGCAAAGTGAAGACCATCAAGTGACTGTAGACGATCAGAGAATCCATATGCTTCTATATCATCAAGGTCCACATATTTAAAGATTTCATTGGCAATGAACTCTTTGTTTAGATCATGGGTATGTTCAAAGAAAAAGTCAAGGAGATCATGTTTATCCATATGATATAGAAGGATATCCAGTGATTCTCGGTCTACATTGAATCGAGGTCCATGTTGACTTTGAAAGATGAGTTTGATCAAGTCTGGAAACTGGTCGTTTGACAATGAGAAGAAAACATATTCTGGAATGGTTATCAACTCACCATCATCATTATTGTATGATTGAGAATGAACAAACTGGAGCATCTTGAAAGATGAACATTCTTTGAAGATTGTAGCCATATGTAATGGCTCACCATCACTGTCATAGATAGTGCATTGATTGTCTCTATCTTCATCGCATAGTAGACTATTGTTACTGGCCAACTCTTTCAACAACAAGTCCAACATATCATAATGATCACTTCCTATAACATCCAATAATATTCTTGAAATTACCTCCACTATGTCTGACCTTGATGATAATGATGATGTTTGATTGAATTGTAATAGATGTCTCACTGCAATGATGTTATTAAATTTGATTGCAACTCTAAGTAAATGTCTAACATCAACAACCTTTTGTACACTAGAGATCAAGTCATTGAAGTACTTCATAAATAGATCAGTCCTGTTATATCTTAACATTGTTGACAAACATCTCTCCTTGGTGAATTGATCACCTCGCATCACTCTTTGAATTGGTAGGTATGTCTTTACATAATGTATCCGATGTATATGATTAAATACAACACCTCTTATAACCTTATTTCTTAATAATGTTTGGTGGAACAATATATCCATTATCTCTATCTCGATCTCTATCTCTACTCTATCTCTATCTGTATCTCTATCTCAAACTAAAGTTAAAGTAAAATTTGAAGAATGGACAAAGTAACATAGTTGGTACAAGCGGTAACATGTTGGTTGTGCTCGGGTGTTGTTGTTATTATAATAATACTGTCGATCAATCAATCAATCAATCAATCTATCTATCCTATCTCCTCCTGATTAGACTGCTTCCAATTTCGAAACCGGTATGCAGTTGTTGTTGATGTTGATGGTGTTGTTGTTGTTGAAGTTGTAGTTGATGTTGTTGATGTTGTTGTTGCTGTAGTTGATGTTGTTGCTGTAGTTGTATCTGATGTTGTTGTCTAAAGTCCTCTAAGTATGTACATATCTTGGTGAAAGAGGGTCGGTGTGATGGCTTGTGTGACCAACATTTCCTAGAGGGAGGTGATTGATTGATTGTTCATCCATGTTAGTATGTCGTACAACTATCCTATACAATGGACGTTACTACATACTTTATCAACTTTACAATAGGTGAAGGGAAGTCTTTGGATAGCTCAGGTCTCTCACCTTTGGCTACCAGGACTGGAGCGTTGAATGGTACGTTCTCATCATAAGGTGCCTTCCTAGTGAATATCTCCCATAGTACTAGATCAATGGGTCAGTTATTGATTGGATTGAATGGATTGAATGGTATACCAATACTTACTGACACCAAAAGAGTAGACGTCCACCTTTTCTGTGTAGTGTTTCGAAGTGAACAACTCTGGAGCCATCCATGCCTGTGTTCCAACATGGCTGGTCATATACTTCTTTGTGATCCTCGAGCATCCAAAGTCAATAATCTTTATCTTGTTGTTGTCGGTAATCTAAAGTATGTTGTCAGTTAGTTGATTGATCCAATCAAACTTGGCATGTCTGTGCGACACTACATACCAAGACATTCAAACTCTTTAAATCTCGATGGATAATTGACATTGAGTGAAGGTATCTCATTCCATAGGCGATGTCCAATGCGAATGATAGTTGGGTTTGGATGTCCAATATGTTTGAAGTGTTCTTTAAATATTCAGTGAGGCTGTGATGGTAGCGAAATGGTAAGGAAATGGAAGAGTCAATGATGGAATGAGTGAGTGCGTGAGTGATCATGATTGATAACCTACCTTCCCTTGGAACAGTACTCTGTTAGATGGAAGAAATTGTTTCCATACGATCCTGAACCATAACATTGTACTAGAGAGTCGTGCTTGAGCATGGTCATCATTGCAACCTCTTTCCTGTACTCGCCAACATCAAAGAACACGTTCAACTCCTCTCCAAATATCTTGACCGCAACATCCTTTCCCTTCCAGTTACCTCTGTAAAGTTGATTGATTGAAGGTTAGTATAATATTGATGATGTCACGTGACTTTGATCAGGTCACGTGATCAAATCACATGACTGGCACTGTGTCAGCTGATCACTTACAAATACACTCGACCTGACACTCCGGACGCAATCCAATTGCTAATGGCCACGTCTGTGTAGGGGATCTCGGTTTGGATCGACAAGTTGTTCTTTAGTACCTCGTCCAAGATATATTCGATCTCGGAAGCCTCTCGCTTGACTGTACCATTGGAAGCCTCGCGCCCCAGGTACACCTCTGGATACTCCGGGGACGACACCACCGATACACATACAGGGCTAGGTGATGTTGGTGACACTATTCCATTAATACTACTGCCACTTCCATAGTTGTTGTTGTTGTTGTAGTTGGCACCTGGTGAGTTATACTGGGGTGACTCCATTAGGTTGATCGAACTTGGCTTTGACGACACTCGCCATTCTTGATTGAATGGTGAAGAGAGGAAGTGCAGAAAGGCATCGCACACCATGTCCTCGAGCACCTGGTTCTCGACCTCATCGAATATGTCCATGCCTGGATGCTCGGAAGTGCGCATGGCCTCCTCCACACTGCGCTTCAGACATGACTCGAGATTGAGCTGGGTAGAGGCATCGTCTACAAAGAATCTGCGCCATATATCTTGGGCTGCATAGCGCCGTTCTTCGTTGGACGTGATCTGCTTGTATCGCTTGATCTCCAGGTAGAAGGAGAGGTTCTCCATGCTCTGATAGTTCTCCATGTAGCTCTTGAAGCGCGAGAAACTCTTGGGTTCATCGATCATCTTGTAGAAGTTCTCCTTTGTGGCCTTGGTCTCAAAGTTGATGGGCATGGTCGACTCGCGGTCGGGTGCCGACGCCGACTGATGCTTGGGTATCGAGGGGAACGAAGTGGACTTGATGAGGTGTGGCGTGGACTTGTTGTTGTTGTGCTTGGGGAAGGGTATTGGCGCGCCTTCGATTGCAAAGTGTGAGTTGGATGCTGGCGTGCTTGACGACGAGTTGTTGTTGGATGATTGGTTGAGTGGCGATATTGAGCTGATCGGTGTGGCGACTGGCGAAGTCGACGAGGACTCTGAAGACTCGGATGTGTATGATATCGATGAGTGGCTGAGGTCGTCGTCGTGGTCATGGCCACCTCCACCTCGTCCACTACTAGTACTACTACTATTACTATTTCCGTGTATATTAACTGCAGCTGTAGCAGCAACTGGTTGATAAAATAATGATGGTAATGAGCTGTGAATAGATTGTTGTTGTTGTTGTTGCTGTTGCTGTGTCTGTTGTTGGTGTTGTTGTTGTGAAGATGAAGAATGTGACCTGTCTTTTGACTTCTTGATTGTGTCGAACCAATGATTGAACATCTTGGCCGTGCGTCTTGTCAATGTCGAATTGTTTGCGTGTTGTTTCGAAGGTGTGGTGGTGGTCGTCGTCGTTGCCGTTGCCGTTGCTGTTGCTGTTGCCGTAGCAGTAGCAGTGGCATGAATTCCAATTTGTATATTTATATTGCCAGCGTTGTTTCCAGCGACTGGATGTTGGCCATCACCCTCCAATACCTGTATTGAAGATGTAGACATGTCCTCCTCCTAAAGTATATAAAGTATATATTTAATGTAATGTAATGTAATGGATATATTATATTATATATTATAAATTGTATTATGTTATATATTATCCTTGATCAAATCCCATTAATTAAAGGTATATATATTCGGGACTATAGTCAATATCAAATATGATTTGTTGAGAGTAAGTGGAAGAGAGAATGAGACTGAGCTAGAGAGAGAATGTGAGTTGAGTGGAGTGGAGTAAGCGCGAGCAAGACAGAGTGATGGTGATGGTGATGGTGATGGTGATGGTTGAGTTGATGGAGTTATAAAGTTAAACTATGTATATATTAATATATACACACACTACAACGCACACTTCCATCCATCCATCGATCACACACACACACACACTTAATGAATCAATCAATCAATCAATCAAACACACACACACTAACTCTAACACATTGAGTGTGTGAGTTTGTGTTTGTGTGTTTGTTGTGATTGATCAATCACAATCACAATCACACAACAACCTTTGGTGATTGATTGCCATTCAGAGTGTGTGTGGGTGTAAGTGAGTGGATGAGGCATTGGATGTTATTGTGTGGACCAACCCGTCGGGGTTGAGGTTGATCGAATTAGCCTCCCTCTTCGGCACTCCCAACCTACATCTTCTGTTGCAGGTCAGTCAGTCAGTCAGTTGTGCACCACCATAGTATGTGAATGAAAGAATGAACACCTGATCTGTTCAGACCAGACCTGAACCTTAAACTGAACGTGACCTTGCAATCATAGTGCAATCATGATGGTAGATCAAACAGGCGGTTGTTCGTTGGTCGTTGTTGACCTGCCTGCTTGCCTGTCTGATTGCTTTGATGTTATTGTTATTTGATGATCACCTTTGAAGTGTGTCAGTCAGCCAGTCTAGATTTGATTTGGTTACATACGCACAACACACATTCACATGATTCATTTTACCTTAAAAGACTTGTAGAATAGAATAGAATAGAATAGAACACAGATATGTTTTGTCAACTATTCATTCATTCATTCATTCATTCATTAATTCATCAATTATCTGGGAGGAGATCTATATATCTCGATCATTGGGTGACCTTATTAATTTTCTCTTGTTGTTGTCATAGACCAACTTCACATTCTATTAAGAGCAATCAAACACAATAATAGATATATATTCAATTACTGTAATGAATAGATATCAAAAGTGGTCCGGACCACTTTTAAATACTTTAATGGCTTGATTGGTCGTAATCAGAGATCAGATCATTCTAGAGAAAGCGAAAAAATAATGGCTTTTTATTCTTTTGTAGTGAAGTCACTCAGTGAGGATGTTTCCCTTGTTTGGAAACCGACTTGTCAAATCAAGATTTGAAAACAAATCTGGCCCAATCACGATCGTTGTTTTATTCACCACATGTTCAATTAAACTGACCAAGTCACTTGTTTAACTTTTTTGCCTCAACAAGCGTGTGCAGTGTTGGCATTCAACACACCACCTTCACATTCATTCAAACATTCATTTAGCACATTCTATTCATTCAATTCATTCATTCATTCATTCATCATTGTGAGATTGAAAGGCATGTGGCTTGCCCTCACTCATTCACTCACTTTATTATTATAACGATCATCATTATCATTATTATCATCTCATAATTATATATCTATATCTATCTATCTCCCTCAGATACACACACACTGCAGAACAACAATAGTCATCCATCCATCAATCAGATGTTATGTATATGATTCCAAAAAAAGATATAGATAGATAGATAAAGAAGAAGAAGAAGAAGAAATGATATTAAGACTCAAACATAGTTATCAGAAGAGAGCAAAGGTGTTTGCAATTGTATTCTTATTCTTGTTGTTCACATTCAACATTGCATTCTATATATACTTGCATCGAGACACTTGGAACGACTCAAACAACAATGATGATAATGATTTATTAGTAGCAGCAACAATTGGTGATGCTGCATCAGTCAACAGTAATGATAACAATGATAATAATAATAATAATAATATACGTGTAGGATTAAATGCTCAATCAATGCCAGAGTCGGGTGGCGCTCAATTGGTCGAAGGTCCATCGGCCTTTGAAATCGCCAGGATGTCAAGATCGGCGAAAAAGTCATACAGTTTCCGATCGCTGAAGCGTCCCAATGGTCTATCTAAAGCGCCAATGCTGCCCACACAGCCCCAGCCATCTGCCAAGCCCAAGCATGGTGGTGGTGGTGGAACAGGCAACAGAGGCGGCGCAGACACGCGCTCACTTGTCACCACGTCACAACAAATTACAGTGACCATTGCCATAGCTACAGCTGGAATCGACGCCAACAAGGACAAGGACAAAGATATAACACAATATGAGAACAAACTGGAAAAGTCTATCAAGAGCGTACTCAATCAGATCGAGCTCTTGGCCGAAGACCCACAACCAGTGATCAAGTACTCAATCCATGTTCAGAACACTGGCAAGCACAACACAGCCGTCGAACGACTGAGGAGAATGCATGGCACCGAAGTCGACTTTCACAATGAGCAGCCGAGAGAGGATAACTATCTGCCCAATCCCATTCTCAAAGAGAATCCCTATGATGTACCAGAGGGAGCTGTAAGTTATCCAACTCCACCATTAACAATGTCTGGCGCATCACTCACTCACTCACTCGATCATTCAATCATTCAATCAATGTTTAGATACGACGCAAGACAATTGACTTATCGACAATGTTGTTGAAACTCAAGGGAAAGAGTGAATATGTAATGTTGATGGATGACCATCATACTGTTTGTTCGGGCGCACTCTCAGTCTTGTCTTATATCATAAAGAAGGCAACAGTTTACCAACCTAGTTGGAGGATATTAAGAACGTCATACGACACCAATGGTCTATTGATTGCCGATGCCGAGCTGGAACCACTGGCCAACTACCTATACGAGAACAGTCATATCAAGCCTGCCAGTGTCCTGTTTGCCGAGTGGATGTGCGGAATGACAGAGATGGGGTATGTAAACGGCGACAAGTTGGTGACCTACGCTCAATCACTAACACGACACTCCACATGCCAACAACAGACTTGATAGAGCAGGCAAGTGTACGTACAAACCAATAAGCTTGTCATTCAGATGGAACTTGATGGAGGACTCAGATATGCTGGGGAACAATGGCGCACATGCTACTTGCTGGTCAGATTACAAAGAGTTTGTCTCTGACTTTGAGGAGTACAATGACGACGAGTGTCCTGAGGACGACATGTCGCCCTGCGTCCAGTATAACCCATCCCTATCGATGACGAGCGAGCTTGGTAGCAACTCAGTGTATCTAAACAATTATATCAAGCGCGTCGAGGACATGTCCGACAAGGACAACAAGGTCAAGTACAGTCTGCGGATGGAAACTAGAGTGCGTCCGACAATTTATGAAGCCGAACACACTGTGGAGCGAGAGGTACAGCATGACAGCAACGCCTCCAAGAAGGTTCCGGGCAACTTTGGTCTGATAGCCATTTGCTTCCTGTTCGTGGCGTTGGTGGTGTTCATAGCAGTGGTCATCAATCAGTATATTCAAAGGCGACAGTTATATCCACGTGGAAGTGGAGGCAACCTTAGCAACGGCTTTTACAAGAAGGACTATCATTCATTGTTGAGATACAACAAATAAATAGTTACTACTGGCTAGCTTGTTGGCTTGCTGGATGGAGGATAGCCTCCTGTCTAACATCGTCCACCAAAGCTGGACGATGCATCATCAATCAATCACTACTTTGTCAATTCATTTGTTTTCAAAACCATCACAATCAATCAATCAATCACATCAATCAATCAAAGATAATGATGATAACATCCAAGATACTGAGGCATGCTAGACCTCTCCTCTCCTCTAACCTCACATTATACAATGGTGGAAGTCGCCTCCTACCATCACTTATGATGGGAGCAGGCCTTCAAAGGTCCTGCACCACGACTTCAAGTTCAACAAATGCACCTAATCAATCAACTACAACATCAACAACAACATCAACAAACAATAGTGGACAACAAGCATTCAACTCTACCAAACAGGATGAGATCAACTTGTTCAATAGCTTCGCGGCAGAGTGGTGGAACCCTGATGGACCTGTGAAGCCTCTGCATCGAATGAACCCAAAGAGAGTCAAGTACATTGTGGATAGATTGAGATTGGTCGGACTGGCATCAGACAGTATACCATCACCACTGGCAGGCCTAAAGATGATCGATGTTGGTTGTGGAGGTGGTCTGCTCACAGAGTCGCTCAGTCGCCTGGGTGCCGACGTCGTCGGAATGGATGCAGCATGCAACAACATCACAATGGCCACTGCACATGCCAAACAAGATCGTGTTCTTCGTCAGAACATTGAACAACAACGTCTAAGATACATGGACAGCACCATAGAGAAGCATGCCGAGACTCATCGCGAACACTACGATGTAGTCTGCTCTCTCGAAGTTGTTGAGCACGTTGACAACGTTCCAGAGTTCATCAGACAATGCTCAATGGTGTTAAAGGTATGTCGTCTTGGGCTAGGTTTTGGGCTTGGACCTCATCATGGACTAACGATCACTCACTCAATCACTCTATCAATCAATCACAGCCTGGCGGTAGTTTCTTCTTGTCAACGATCAACAAGACTTTGATATCTTATCTGACAGTGATATTGGGTGCAGAGTATATACTTAGGGTCGTACCAAAGGGAACACATCATTGGGATCAGTTCCTCACACCCGATCAGATTAGAGAGTATCTGGCTAACAGTCAGGTCCAAGTCAAGGATGTCAAGGGTATCCTTGTAAACCCATTGACCATGAACTTCACAATAGACGATACAGACTACAGCTCCAACTACATACTACATGGAGTCAAACAACAATAATATATATTATATAAATCATAACATGTAAGACGACTGTACATCCAATCAATCATTCACAGGTGTCGTCGACTCGTCGCGAGCGAGGTGGGGTTGGCGAAGTGGACGCGACTTCTTGGACACAAAAACGAACGAAACTTCATTCATTCTCATTCATTCAATCATTCAATCTCTCTTTATTACTTTGAGAAGAACTAATACAATGTATAGCCAAATGATACAACAAGCCCTGCAACAACAGCAGGAGCAACAACATCTTCAACAACAACAACAAGCTCAACAACCACAGCCACAGCCACAAGTCCAACCACAACAGCCACAGGCACAGCCACAAGTCAGACAAGTATCAGATGAAGAGGTCTGGAGTGTATTTGATCAAGCAGTTAAGAGAATGTTTATGCAATGGACTGCTCTACAGCTGGCCGTACAACATGAGTGGGGCGGAAGAGGATCGGATCACAAGGCAGAAGAGATGAGACAGGATGTTCTGGATCTATTCCTAACAGGAAAGCCTGTGTACCCTGACATGATTGTCAGTATCCTAGAGGATGTGATGTCCAACGACTTGAACACCGTGGCCGAAGATGGATCATGTAGAGAGATTGCCGATCTCATCATTCAAGTGTTTGGACATTGCGTCAAGGGAATGTTCAACGAAGTCGTTCAGATCATTGGACCAGAGATGACTGCCGCCGTCGACAGATGTGTCAAGCCAGCTGGAATGGTAAGTTGTAGTGGATGTCCACTGCTCAAGCACGGGATGGATAGGATGGACAACAATGATTGATAATAACATGTTTAGAATGAGGACTCTGACTCTGATACAGGTGGTGCCGACGACGATGATGAGATGATGGATGACGATTCACAGATGGACGATGAACCCGAGTCAAAGCCCAAGAAGAATGAGCCAGATGATGATGGATGGGTCACTGTTGGACGCAAGGGAAGATAAACGTAGACCTCCCATATGCTGTACTTTACAAAGGATGATCCACTGTCATGGCCATTCATTCAACGCGCTTTGATGATAGATACACTCAATCAATCAATCAACCAATCCCTGGCCTCCATACCCAAAGATGGATTTGCTTGGCCATAACCAAGCTCGCAAGCAAGAGCGAGAGAGGGAGCGCGCAATAGAGATAGAGCTCGCTCCACAGGATAGGGACGATGCCCTCATTAAATATTGAGAATAAACGATACGATATGATATGATAAGATAATATACTGTTGTAGAGTAGCCAAAGAAGAAGGTTGTTTATCAACCTATTGGTCGATAGGTATGCTGTACAGTTGAGACACCTTAATGCTCTGTCGCGTGCAAGAGTTCTAGGCGGATCGCTCGCTCTGCCTGGATTGACGATGTAGACAGTCGAGTGCCGTTATGTATGATTAATGTGGATGATGGAGAATGGATGTCATGTTGATGGATGCCAGTACCCTCTTGATAGTTGTCATTTTGTCAGTCGTCAGTCGTCAGTCGTCGGTCGTCAGTTGTTGTTGTGTGTGATGGATGGGATGGGATGGTTGGAGGTTGTTTGTTGTTGACGATGTTGTTGATGTTGTGTGACCTTTATTCATACAATCAATCAATCGATCAAGCATTATTCTTCTTATCAAACTATTTGCGTGCGTTAGCAGCGGCGAGACGTGAGGGTATCTGAGTCAGTAGATGGCTCGTACACATAGATCTATAGTCTAAGCTATTGCGTCGCGGTGTCTAGTGATTGACCAGTCGCACTCGCTCAAGTTCAAATACTTACTTGGATCCTTGACTGATAGAAGTCGATCAGTATCTGTGGCTGATATCTTCTCATATCAGTATTTGTCACATATGTCCATCTCTCCTTGTCGGCCCTGTTATCCATTAAGTCGATCGATTGATTGATTGATTGAGAGATTGAATGAGTTAGTGATTGATTGATTGATTGATTGAATGAGAGTGATTGTTCAATGGACTTACCATTTAACATAAAAGCTCAGCTCATTGAGCATCTTACAACCGAGAATCTTCTCGACAAGATCACCGCTCTGGAAGTTGGGCGCTGGCTCATCATCTTCTTCCTTCTCTACCATGTTGTTATCTTCATTATCATCAACGCGAACCTTCTTGACTGCTGGAGTTGTTGGTTTCTTTGGAGACTTGGCTGGTGATTTTGGTGTGGCAGCAGGCTTCTTGACAGGGGTCTTCTTGCCTCCTCGCTTTGGCTTTGGCGCCTCCTCCTCCTCCTCCACCTCTTCCTCATCAGCGACTGCTGGGAAGGGGATTGTCTCAGCCGTCTGATTACTCTTCTTTCTAAACTCTAGATCATGAGTGAGCTTGTATTCAAACTTCTGTATCAAGTCATCGCAGAACACATTGTCCTCCTGTTCCCAAGTAGCGTCGTGCAATTCATAGTTTAGCCACTTGATCAAGTAGTATGTATTTCCATGCTAATATAATAGTAAGTAGGTTAGTAAGTATTGTGATTGATTGATATGATTGATTGATTGATTGAATGAACGTACTGGTGTCTTCTTTGCAAGGATCTCCTCGACTTGGAACTCGTCCTCCTCTCCACCGCTCTCCTGTTCAACCTTGTTCTTGCGCTTTGCCATTGTGAATATATATATGTATTGATTGATGATAAATATATGTAACAGAGATAGAGATAATGAATGTAAAGACACACTATCATTCAATTCAATCCTTCACTCTTCTTTGTTGCGCATCTTATCAAATTCATCATCATTTTTGAATTCAAAACTTGTGACCGTTACTTTTACTAATCAGGAAGTCTGATCATAATAATAAATATTACTGACTCCAAATAAATAATTGACATGGTTGGTTGTACAAGTGTTTATTGACATGTTATGGTTGGTTGGTTGGTTGGTTGTATGATGTTGGAAGAAGTTGATTGATTGATTAATTGATCATGGATGGATGGTGGATTACAGACTGTCATACTGCTCATTTGTCTCGACTGGTGTCTCTTGATCATCGTTGATGGTGGATGATGATGATGATGGTGTCTCCTCCACAGTAGCAACAGAGGAAGCTGCTGGAGTGACTTCTGATGATGTGACTGGTGTTGTTGATTCCTGATGGGGTGGCGTTGAAACAATGGTTGATGGCTCAGTCGATGTAAGTACAGGTGTGGCACCAACAATTGAATTACTCTCCTCAACCTCTGGTGTTGGAGTTGGTGTTGGAGTTGGAGTCGAGGTTGGTCCAGTGTTTGTAAAGAGTCTGTGAGTCATGGCGCGTTGAGCAGTCACACGCTGAGATGGAATGAACTGGAGCAGATGTTGGATGAGGTCAATGGCATCGTTTGCATCGCGTCTTGAGATGTGATGCTTGATCACATCGATTGGGTCCTCAAGTGGCACGGGCTGGTTCACAGCAAACTGCAACAACTCGTTGCCCTCTTGATCAATGTGACACTTCTCGACGAGCTGGGCGACGTCGCCGGACGATGGACGGCCGACCACCTTGACAATGTTGGCCATCACAGTGTGCAGGTCGGACGCGCCGTCAAACAGTGGACGCTTCTGACGCTCCTCCTCGTTCTGCAGCAGGTAGACCAGGAAGCAACCGACCGCCCACATGTCCGACTCGGTGGTGATCACGCGGCAGAACAGCTCGGGGGCGCCGTACAGCGAGCCCTCCTCCACGGTCGGCTCCTCCTCGAGACGGCCCGTGAGTGACTTCATCACGCCCAGATGGGTGAGGCGCACCGAGTTGTCGGCGCCAATCAGCACGCTGGACGGAGTGATCTCGCGCTTCACCATCTTGTGCGAGTGCAGGTAAGCCAGACACTCGAGCAGCTGGAAGATGATGGTCTTGACCAGCTCAAGTGGCAGCAGCTGGTTCTCAAACTCCTCGACAAACTGTGTGATGTCCATGCTGCACGGCTCCAGGATGACGTAGGTGGCCTTGTCGTTGGCGAATGTCGTGATGATCTTGGTGAGGTAGCGGTGCTCGGCCTCGGTGCCGATCGTGATGCCTGGTGGCAGCACCTTGATGGCGACGGGCGTGAGGGCCTGCGCATCAAAGCCGCTAAACACATTGGTGGCCGATGGCGAGATCAGCTGGCCAATGTGGAAGCGGTCGCCAACCAAGTGGAAGGACGTCGAGATATGGCTGGTGAGGGAAGTTTCGACCTCGTGTTGGCCCTGACGGTAGGCCTCTGTGCGCGCCAGATAGCGCTTGGCGAGGGTCCTGCCGCTGCGAGGCTGCTCCACCTCATCAAAGTTCTTGAGCTCATCGTCAGTCTCGCGCTGGAACTGTTCCAACTCGCGCTTGTGGCGATCGAGGATCTCTTGGCGACGCTGAGCCACCTCCATCTCCTTGGCCAGACGCGCCGAGTCGCCGTGCAGGGCGGCCAGTACCAGTTTGCTGCACAGGATCGAGTCGACCGACTGCACAAACTCCTCGCTCAGCTCTTGCTGGGTACGCAGGATCTGCTCCATGCCGTCGATGTACTTCTTCTTGCGAATCGTCGAGATCTCGTCATCCTCGCCAAACAGGTCGCCACCGAGCTGCGACAGTATCTTGATGCGCGCTGGATCGATGTTCTTGTTGTCGTGGTTGTGCATCTTGTCCTTGGCGGTCTCGAGCTCGCGTACCTGGCGCAGTGCGGCATCGATGGCCTCTTGCGACAGAGGGTCAGTCTCGTCGTCCTCATTTGCAGCGAGGTCATCGTCCTCGCCGTCATCATTATCATTGACGTGATGGTCCTCATTTGTCTCCAAGTCCTTGTCATTCTGGATGCCAGTCACATTAGTCAAGAATCCAATGGTGCTATCAATGGTCGTCACGCTCATTGTGTCAGCGTAAGTGTTGTAGTCCACGTGCAATATAGCAGCCTGTAGCTTAAAGTCCAAGACATTCAACTTCTTGAATGATACTGTGAGGGTGAGGGAAAAGGGCAAGGGCAAGGGTTTGAGGTTAGTGGTATGACCTTGGAGGCGACAATCGATGGACGCCACTCGCAACTTACGCTTGGATGTGGTGTTGTCCACCTCAATCTTGACGACGGCAACAGTGCCAAGGTCATTGCCTGCAAAGAGGATGTCTCTGTATGAGTCGTAGATTAAGACTTGTGCAAAGTATTGCGCGCCAACTAATGTGGCGCCAGTGTCGATGTCCCAGACACGGATGGTGCGGTCCATGGACGACGAGATCAGGTTGCCATTATTTGAGATGGCCAGGTTGAGAATGGCACCGCGCGAGTGTCCCTCGAACTGACCGATGATGTTCCTGTTCTCGTAGGAGAACTTGCGGATGATGCCATCCGACGAGCCAACAATCAACAGGCTTCGCTTGTGATCAAAGACGATGGATGTCACGCTTGATGTGGCCACGTCCACCACAGAGCTGGTTGGCGACGCCACCATGAACATCGCTTGCATCTGGCCTGAGGCAATGTTCCACAAACGAATCGAACCATCTGTACTTCCTGACAATAACGATCTATCATCCATAAACAGCAACTGTTTGATCAAGTCTCTATGTGCATGTGCTGCCATCTCAGTTGGGTTACTTGATGATGGCAAACAGTTGATATACGTTCCATCCGAGGCCTATCCCGATTGATTGATTGATTGAGTGATTGAGTGAATGAGTGGGATGGTTCCATGATTGATTGAGAGTAGCCCTTACCTTGTAGATACGGATGGTGAAGTCATCCTCACCGGTGATGAATAGGTCCAACTCGCGATTGTATATTATGTATGATAGTGGTTTCTTTGTTGGCACTGTCTTTATCAATTGTTTAGTCCTGTCATTGAAGTATAAAAGGCTAGTCTTTGTAGCCACCACTGTTCCAACCTTCTTATGATCGTAGAATGCCGATAAGGCTCTTCCATTAATCTTGAACAAGGCGTCCTGGCTTGGTGCGTTTCCCATCCTTCAAGTAGATATATGTATATGTATATGTAAATGGATTGAATGAATGAATGTATGAATAACAAAAGACTCAATCAAAGTTTACAAGGGTCCTGAAAGCCCCAGAGAGTACCACTTTTGCATCATCAAAAGGAAATATCCTTGGAGGTATTTTGATTCAAATATCCGAATTCTGTGGATGTGATTGTGCGCCTCATGGCTCGAAACCATCTTATGCCAGATGTCGAAGCGATGTTTAATACAGTCGTCTGTTGTTGTCAATCAATCAATCGATCAATCAATCATCACATGACTCGTTTCTTAATCTATGAATCGTCTTCTTCGTCATCCTCTTCCTCATCCTCGTCGCCAAAGTCTGGCACCCATAGTCCCATTGGTTTGCTCTTGGTTGATGACTCGCTAGCTGGTGGATGTCCATTCGTTATCTTCTTTGCAGCAGCAACAGAAGCAGCAGTTGATGTAGTAGTTGTAGTTGACGTTGACGTGGTAGTCGTTGAAGTCGTTGTCGAATGTCCATTCACATTCATACTCTCATCACCATCTTGATTAGAACTTGAATGACCATTTGTAACTGCTTGTAACTTCTTGAGCTTCATCTGACGCAATCCTTCTTTGACGGCATTTTGGGTTCGCGTGGCTACTTGCTCGGCCTCCTCTTGGAACTTGTCGTGGTCAAACTCCACCTGCTCTTTGCCACCCTTCTTGATGGCCTGCTTGAACTTGTCCAGAGCCTCCTTTCTCGCCTCCTCGCTCTCGTACCACTCCTTCAATCGCTTCTCGTTGTTGACGTGACGCAGTCGTCTTCCACTGAGATCGCGACAGGCATCAAAGTTTGATGTCTTCTTCTGGCCGAGACGATTAGCCTTTCCACGCAGCAGCGAACCAAAACCACCTTTGCCTCCGCACAACGCCATCATCAACTCCAAGTATATTACATTGGAGGTGATATGTTGTTGATGTTGTTTGGTATCATTGATGGCATTATCTGTACATTTAGTTGTTGTTGTCGTTGTTGTTGCATTCTGATTGAATTTAAGTCTTTGTTGATCATAAGGTATCTTGATCAGCTGTTCAAGTCTTTGTTTCAGATCTGTTGTTGATAACAATGTGTTTGAGTTGATCGTTATAATTGATAATGTTGATGTTGTTGATGTCGTTGATGATTGTGATTGTGAAGTTGTCTTGTGAGAAGAGTTGCGTTGTTTATGTTGTTGTGAAGATGAGGATAGGACATCATCATCATTATAGTCATTTTCATTGAGCTTTCGCTGTTGTTGATGCTTGATATGTGGTAGTTTGACTATATATTGGAACATTATGTAAGTATGTATGTATGTATATGTATATGAATACAAGTATTTTAAATTGTACGACTATTAATGAGTGAATGAATGAATCAATGAGTGAACTTGAAACAAAAATCCCTTGCAAGTGTGACTTTGAAGACAACAATGGTTGGTGCTCATTGGTTTGAAAGAGAGATTGTTGAAATAGACTAAATGCCATTTATTGTTATTCTCCATTTAACATGATATATATTTGTCATGTTCTCCCTATCTCATGAGTTTAGTTCAAAGCCTCACAGTTGATATCATCACTTTCCAAGGAGGATGAATCAAACAGAGGAGGGAGAGTAAACTTTGATATCCCATTCTTCTAATTCTTCCAAGATGAGAATTACTTACAACTTTGTTGTTAAATCTAGATATGTTGAAGAGAGAGAGCCCATTGGTGTACTGTTGAAGTTACTCGTTGTAATCTTGACAAAGATATTCCTGTCTAATTGAATTTTAAGGTTGAGGTCCCAACCAACAGCCCATCACCAATATGCCGACACAGACTTGACACATATCTTCCATTCCTACTTCCGAACCACACAGTAACTCATGATTCTCAACCCACAACGGCAATGCTCCAGGCAGTCCTAAATATCTTCCGTAATAGGATCCAGGTATGATTCAAAATCTGTGATGTATGAAGCGTTCATGTTAAATAGACCAAAGAAGTCTTGATTCGTGATCATTATTTCTTATTATATTCTAATTCAAGATTCCTACTACAAAGAAATGTCTAACTATTATCAATGTGAAGGATGCGGGAAGAGCTTCTTCTATCATCTAAACATGGTAGATCACTGGCAGAACACCGGTGGGGATCCGGTTTCCAACCATGAATCTGGCTGCAGTAAACTCCAAGCCCTTCAAGAAGAGAGGAGAAGAAAGAAGGAGGAACACAAGAAAAGACGTCAAGCCAATAACAAATATTCATTGGAAAGTGTTGATGCTGAGGAGCTTGAACTGGCTGTTAAAAATGGCCTCCCAACATCTTGTCCAACTTGTCAACGTACAATTGACAATCGTTGGAACAAAGATGACAATATTCAATCGGACTTCTATTTCGTAACTCTCATGAATGGAAAGAAAGTTGTCAGATGTTACGAATGCAAGATATCATTCGAAAACAACCAATGGATCCCATATTAGATTTCACCACTACCCTGAACCTACATAATCAATATCCAATCTGCTCAAAAATAATAATACCGTCATCCAATCAATTAACTCCCAACTTCACTGATCCAATAAATATACAAATTTATTTTGAACAATATAGTGACATGATCAAAGAATAATAATATCTATAAATTACTTTATAAGTAAATATATTTTTAAGGGTTTATTTAGAATTTATCTAGCTGGGATATTTTTCCTCCAGAGTAAATTGAAACAGTCTCCAATTCGATACGCTCTGGAACAATCTCGGTGATCTGGTCTGGTTTCCTACATTTGCGAATGGCAAATGCTATTCCCATCGCAAGTATTATGGCACCAATGACAACAGCAGCAATCCATCCTAGATTCTTCTTTCCAGCACCAGGTGGGATTGGAACACACTTCTCCACGCTGAATCCAATGATTGATTGACACTTGGCAGTGTTCAATATGGTCATTGTGTAATTGCCACCCTCGGCCAGATCGATCAACAAGTCGCTTGAAGGAGTGTTGACAATGTCCAATGTAGTGTTGATTGTGTTGCTACTGTTGGTGTCAGAGACGATTGTGATGTAGTAGCTACCTGGGATGTTGATACCAATTGCCAAGCGTTGGCATTGTGTTGTGTTGGCAGTTGGGTTGATCATGAGTTGTTGTTGCAAGTTGACCAACTGTGATGGGAGACGACGTCTACACACTGGATCAGTGATGTTGACTTGGATTTGATATTGACCCACTGGGAAGGTTGACGCGTTGTATGCACTTCCATTGATGTTGGCGCTGAACTGCGAGATGGCGGTGTTCAAACCAAATGAGATGTTCAGTGGCACCAAGTCTGTGGCAGTGCATATTGCTGAGGATGGTGTGACTGCCAGTGATGGCTCACCGCCAGACACCTTGAGCGAATGCATCTTGAAGCAGAATGGACGACCAACTGGTGAGGAGAACATGTAATAGTTGTCCGAGGTCATTGTGGTGATGGCATTGTTTGATTGAGGCTGGTTTGGTCCAGTGTGGTCACCAAACTTGGGTATGGCCTGGTAGACTGTGGAGCTCGACAGACCACCCAGCACAGCATTGGTCGTGCCCTGGCAGGTCTCATTCTCCAACTTGCCAAAGTCGACTGGCTGTATTGAAGTCTCGACATTCACACTCAATAACAGGGTAATTGCCTTGCCTGTGACCATTGAAATGTATCTAAAGTTGATTCGCTCGCCATTGTTTGTGAGACCAGGTAACTCTCCATTAGTGGGCAACTCAATGTCATTGATTGTGACACCAATGAACTGGGCATGATTGACAAGGACAAATGTGAAGCTATCAAGTCCACAATCAGGTACTCGTACATAGTAGTTTGGCGATGGATCGGTTGACAATGTAACATTGACCGTGAGGTCTTTGATGCACTTCTGGTCACTCCATAAAGTCTTGAATCTAAATGTACCAGAAGCCATCACTGACATCTGGAATGGGTCGGTGTCGGACATGACGGATAAAGCGCTATTGTTGGGGTCTGGCAGCAGGACACTGAGTGCGACGTCAGGGTTTGACGAGCTGACTCGAATAGTACCAGTTGATGTCGTCTCTACATTAATGAGTGGGTCCTCCAACTGGGTGTTCAATGTGAATGTGGTCTGGCATGCTCCGGCACTGACAGTGTAGTTAGTGGCGCCTGGTTTCACATTAGTCAGTATCACAGACTCGGAGTTGATCTCGTATGTATGAATGCCCGTGTCGCCTTGCTTTCCGATCAACATAAAGATGCCATCACCTTCGCTGCAGGTCACTGGCTGTAACTTTCTCGCGGTGATTGTCAAGAGACCTGGTTGCACGACTGGTATGCTCACTTGTCCATTGCACGAACCATAAGTGAATGCCACATAACCAGCACCTCGCAATGTTAATTCACTTCCATTGAGTGCTGGCTTGATCCTGGTATAGTTGCCGGGATCCTCAATCGTCACTTTGGCGAGGCCAGTTGGGTCGATGCATGTTTCGACATACTTGGTGACTTGGTACTTGAATACAAAGTCTGGCATTGAGTTGGCGATGGTGACTTGGCCAGTCCAAGCACAAGCATATGCCTGGCTCTTGACGACAATGTTGTAGACTCCTGCGTCCAAGTTGGAAAGTGTGACTGGGTCACGACCCTGGACAGAGTATTTCTGTCCGTTGACATATATATCACTGTTGTCCATTGACGATGTGATGTTGAATGCACCATCAGAGCTGTAGAGACATGATGCATTCTTTACAACGATGGTTGGCGCGGGCATGGTACCGACGGGTACAACTGTGTTCACAAACAGGTCGCAGAGCTGGCCCTTTCTGTAGGTCCTGTCAAAGGTAGGACCTGGCTCGTAGTTGTTTGTGAGCGTGTTTGACTCATTCGTTGGGCTGATGTATGTAAGGATGCCGCCCACAGATGTGCCACACACCTGGGCCGGGTCGAAAGTGTAGGTAAAGGAGATGTCGGTCAACTTGGGCTGGCGGTAGATATAGTTGTACTTGGGTGTCTTGATGCCCAATGAGGTGCTCGGGCATGCGCTGCCGTTGGCCGAGATGTAGGTGTAGTTGAGGTAGTACTCTGCTCTTGGTACGTTGTCCAGCACACCATCGACAGCATAGTACACATTATGGTTGAAGGAGTTGAACAATGAGATGTTGGTGAAGTCCATGTAGTTGGGGATTGTGAAGCCAGTGTCGAACCAGCACGATGTTTGATCGGTTGGATAGGGCTTCTCGATGAGTAATGGCAGTGGATGTGTTGGCATAATCACGTACACATCGGTAGAGCATGATGTCTGTACATTGTACTTGGTATTATAGTCTGCCTTGAATGTTGTGTTGGTCGCGTCAAGGAATGGGATAGTACGATATGGATAATCAGCCATCACTACAAGCTGAGCATGTCCAGACAAAGTCACAATTCCAGTTCCATCCACACATTCATTGGTGTTGTCAATCTTCCAGGTCAACTCAAAGTCTTGATTGATCGATGAAGGTGTGAGTTAGATTGGTGGTATGATTCCATAATCAATCAATTATACATACTTGAGGGAGGGACTTCAACTTTGATTGGATCTCTGGTACTACACCTGTCACCATCATTTGAGTAATATGACACAACTATTCCTGATTGATCAACTTTGACCAGGGTGTCATTTGTTTGAGTTTCACCAATGAGCCATTTGATTGTTCCATTGACTTGGTCTGATAGTGAGAGTTGGACATAGTAGTCGGTTGGACAGATGTTGGAGTCGCGTGGAGTGACCACCACTTGTGGGATGGACCTGGGGAGCTTCAAGAAGAACCTTTGTACACCACAGTCATCTGATGTTGTATCCAAGAGATATGATCCAACTTCACTCAAGAATGACAAGTTCTCCCAGAGTCCAGTCGATGTTGGATTCATCACTTGATAATTGGCACGCAATGTCATGCTGGTGAACAAGTTGGGGTTGGTCACTTGGATGGATCCATTGGACTTTGAACAAAATGTTGGTTTGATCACAACATTTGGAATTGATCCAACTGATGTGATTGGGTTGGGGTAGACCGAGACGAACTTGCATATCTCCTTATCAATCTCTGAACAAATGACGACGGATCCAGCTTGCATGGGCACAGGGTTGACCAAGATTGGTGTGGACTTGTTGTAGTTGGAGACTGAGGTGGTTCCAACTTGTATGGTGTCAGGGCAGTCCATATTGAATGTTGAGATTGGGTATGAGTTGGGACACTTAAGTATAGTAGTGAACTCTGGTACAAATATTGGTATATTTGAAATTGTACTTGATGTATTATCATTTATACAATAATATGTTATAGTATATAGACCACTTGTTCTAATAATATATCCACCAATAGTTGAATTATAAGGTAGTTGAGGTGTAATTGTAATTTGATTATAATTATCTTGATTGATTATTATTATTTGTGCTGGATTGATTCCGGATGGTTGACTACAAGTTCCATTTATAATATTAATTTCCGGTTGTGAACATGTTGCATCGGCATTGACAACACCACCACTGATCATAAAAATAGTGATGATGACGATCATAAACTTGATCATTGATGTCTTTATCATTCTATCTCTATAAATCTTTGTAAGTTTTAAAGAAAATAATGACTAAGTTGGTCAGATCTGAGGATTTATTTATAAGTCAGGGATTGTCGTGTCTTATCCGAGTGGTCGTCACAAATCAAGGACCACACGATCGTCCATTCAATCACCAATCCCTTGCCTCAAATGCCTTGATTGCCCCAACACAAAACGATCAGTCCCCCATCATTTTGACATTTTTGAATCGATTTGCAAAAAGCAAGCATTCAAGTCGAACTTCCCACAAAGATGAGATTGCTTCAACGCTTTGTCATCAAATTCATTCAAATACATTATCATTGTTATAACAAATAATAATAATGACGTCTACTACTTCTACTACTACTACAACGACAACAACAAATGATATTAATTATAATGATTTATGGTGTGGACCTAGATTGAAACAATTATGGAAGACTTTACAATTGTGTGCAGAGTCTTATCAATCAATGCAAAGGACAAGTGCAGAGATAACAGAACACTTTGAACTATTGATAAAGGTTATGATTGCACAAGAACATAAACTAAAGACACCAATCAATGATCATATCAATCAACTATCAACAACCATCAATGATATAATCAATGAGATAATAGATCTAAATAATATTATTAAACTAAGTAATAATAATAATAGTGGAGTTCAAGTTAGTAATAACAACAATGATGATGAAGTTGATGATGAAGTTTGTGACATTGAAGATGATGATGATGATAATATAATACAATTGATTGAATCGATTAGTACATGTACGGATATCGAACAGTTTATAAAGAATACAAAGTGTTTGAATAGGACTACATTGACATCTTCACATGTTGATAATCATGGACTGTTATCAATGATCAATAGTCATCATCAACATACTCAGTCGCAACCATATGATGATCGTGCAAGATCACAACTTTCTCCATGTCGACTCATTGTCGACTCGATCAAACTACGAGGCATCAAGAAACAAATTGATCAATGCTTCAAGATGATCACACCTTTTGCCAATCGATCCGATTACCACAATCACATCATGGCACTACATGGCAACAATCTCTCGATGATCACGCTGGACAAGCTTGAATGGTCATCGAACAACGTTGGAATGCCGGGACTCAACGGACCATTCGACAGCGTGTTCACATCGATCGTGTATGCTCGTGGACATGTCTACATGTTTGGCGGCCCCGAGCGTCAGGGCACCTACACTCGCTACTCGCTGGACAGCAAGCAAGTATATGAAGGTGCCATCACCACTATATCGGGTGGTCGCGGCATATCCACCTGCTACGATGGTGACAAGACGATCTACCTGGTCGGAGGCCACGACAACAATCACACGCGAATGAACCGTATCTCTTCGTTCAACATTGAAACCAGACATTTTGCCCCAGTTGGTACGCTTCCATTGGCTATCTCACTCGCCAACACTTACTTCCACAATGGTAGTTTGATCATTGTAGTGGGCAACAATCAAGTCTACTCTTTCACGCTCGACCCACCTATGAGTATCTGTACTCCTCTTTTGACAGACATCAACTATTCGAGCTCTGGCTCAAACTGCTTTGATCATGATACCAATCAGTTGTATATAATCACCAATCAATCATTTATAAGGTACTCATTAGTGGATAAGAAGAAGACGACATTATCAAAGGCTCCAGATCATATACATCAACAATATGGTCGAAGAATGATCTACCATCGATCATGTGGAATCATATATCTTGGTGGAGAGGGCAACAACTATCAATACTCGATACCAGACGACAAGTGGACATTGCTCAATGAGTTGAGTGACAATGACACCATCACCAGCCGAATATGGAGTGGTGCATGTTTGATCATGGACTCTGTCCACCCTGTGACGACCGAGCCTACTGTAGACACGTCCAACAAGAGAAAGCAAACAGACAAACCAACGGTCAAGCCAGTCAAAAAGGACAAACCAGCCAAACCAGCCAATATGGCCAAGAAGTCAATGACTACCAAGAGAACGAACAAATGAATGATTATTTGATTGTTAATGAATGTTACGTATTGTGTACACCTCCAAACATACAACGACGACATGTAGTTGTAGTCTGGAGATGTGGAAGGGACAGACGCCTGGGGTTTATTTAGGCGGATGGCGGAATTCCAATGTGCTCATTGGATGTTAACTCTTGGTTCTGCTTGTCCTCTGGGTTCTTCTCGAGGTCAAGCTCACGGTTATCATTGTTGTTGGTGTTGTTGGCAACATCTTGCTCCTCTTGGCCCATTGTGTTGCCACCTCTGATGTCCGGGAGGAAGAGATAGAGACTCACTGTGCAAACCAGACCAATACCACCAAAGATCCAGAACATTGTACTTTGGCCCAAGTACTTGACCACGAACAGGAACACGAATGACAATATCAAGTTGAAGCACCATTGCATCGCATTAATAATTGGTGATCCAATATTCTTGATGTCCTCTGGCATGATCTCATTGATGACGAACCAGAACTACATTGATTCATTGATTGATTGAGTGGATGTTAGTGACTTTGATTGATAGATTTAAGTGATCGAGAGTAACATACCAAAGTACCAATGGATGCCTCAAAGGCGGCAACAAACATGAAGAGGAAGACGATGGCGGTCCATCCCTTGGCAGTACCGGTAACAAGGAGGAAGACAAAGGCAATGACAAGGTCACTGATTGTCATGACCATGGCACCAGTGAATAGGAGTGCCTTCCTTCCAACACGCTCAACCAATGAGATGGCAATGAGTGTGGTCGATACATTCCAGATCTGAAGGATGACAGCGGCAATCTCTGGACCATCACGACCCTCGATACCAGCGTCCAAGAAGATCTTGGTCGAGAAGTACATGAATGCATTGATACCAGTGAATTGTGACACAACGGCAAGGATGAACCCGATAAACATTGGACGTCTGGCACGCTTGGTGAACAATAATCCAATACCACCTGATGATTGATTGTTGGCGGCCTTGCTCTTACGACTCTCCTCAAATGATGGCGACTCCTTCATAATGAACCAACAGACGAATAACATCACACCTGGTACAGCACCAATTGCAAACATCCATCTCCATCCATTATTAGTTCTCTTCAGAAGCAATCCAATAACATTGGCCAAGAGGATACCAACGGTGATGGCAATCTAAATCATGATTGATAATTCATGTTGAAGTTAATATAAGTTCGAGCGATTGGTGAGTGTTTGGGTGAGGATGGAATAGTTCCACTGATAGATTGATTGAGTGATTGGAATAGTTCCAACGTATGATTGATAGAGGGATTGAATGAGTGATGGAATGATAGTTACCTGGAAGAATGAGCCGAGGAATCCTTTCTTCTCTTTGGGCACGTTCTCGGCAACCATCAATGGGCAGACACTTGAACCACATCCAACTCCAAGTCCAAGGAGTACTCTAAGGAGACAGACGGCGACGACAGAGTTGACAGCGGCAGATCCAATTGCACCACCAACACACGACAAGGCAGTGAATAGTACAACATATCTACGACCAATCTTGTTGGCAATGACACCACCACCAACTGAACCAATGAGTGCTCCAAGCAATATACTAACGACGATCAAACTTTGTGGAACAGTATCCAAGTCAAAGTCATTGGAGATTGGATTCAAGGCAAGAGCAATGATACCAGTGTTGTAACCAAAGATCAGTCCACCAGAGCATGACAGCGAGACCAAGAACCAAGGATTAAAGGCCAATGGAACTTTTGTTCCATCACCCTTTCCAGGTGATTGTGTTGATGTTACAGCCATTATTATTATAAATTAAAATTATTGGATATATTGGATATTATTATTATTATTATATGGTTGATACAAATATTATTGTAATAATATACTGATATAGAGATAGAGATGGAAATTGAAATGGAAATGGAGATAGAGATATTAACTGTTAGTTTAACGGATACTTTTACGTTACCCAATTACTTGGATTGAAATGTTGGGATAAAATAGAGGTGAGGTATTATTGGATATATGAATTGAAAAGTGGATGGATGGATGGTTGGATGACTTACATCGATGACGGATACAGATACTTGGACACTTTGAATTGAGATATATATTTATAATGTGTGTATGAGTGTGTTGAATGATGATGTGTTATTATGAGTGGGAGTGAGTGTGAGTGTGTGTTTGAGTTTGATTGGATGACGACGGAAATGAATGAATGAATGAATGAACTAACTACTTGTTACAAATATAAACAATTGTCAGTGTTTGATTGTTCCAACTACAAAATGTCAAGAGGAAATTTCGAAATGATTAGTACAGAATGTGTTGGTGTGGAGCATTTATAGATTAGTTGGTTGTCAGAGGGTGGGTCTCTAGCTGTGTCGGTATGCTTGCCAGTCCAATGATATTGACTTACCAATGACATTCCAGATGCGATGATTGAATTGCATTCATACTGGATGCTGTAAAGACAATTTGGAGATGGATGTGATTGATCAGCTGCAGTAGGTCTGGTTGTGGGTGGGGGGAGGGGTGAGGGTGAAGTTAGGGTAACCAACCCATCTTCATTATTAACCTGTCTTTGCAAGACTGGTGCCAATATCTAATCAGGAAAGAGGAGGAGTAGGGGTCAATGACACTGGCTAATGCCGATGTCCAACCTACACTCTGGGGGGTGTGTGTGTGTTTGAGTATGTTTATATCTCACCTCTGACCTATCTTGTGATGTCGGTGGGTGTGTGCCGGAGTGGGAGTGTGGTGTGGGTGGGGGTAATCACCACATTCGGCCGAATGTGGGGGTGGATCGAACAAATCAACGAGATCAATGGGGTTGTGGGGGTTGAGATGAACTGTGATCTGAAAATGGGGGCAATTGCCAATGCCAATACCAATGTCTTTCTTTGATTCATTGTCAATGTCAATTCCAAGTTTATAGCCAAAGCGCGCGCGCCAATGCCATCCATCCCCATTGGAGAATGACATTGTCCAATTGCCAGAGAGAAGGTACACAGAGTTCGTTTGTTAGCACATCATGATGCAAACCTAGCATTGCCAATGAACTCTTCGCGTTTGGTCATTATTATTATTATCATAAGTCGTTGTCGTCTTCGTCGTCGTCGTCTTTAGACTTTGATACAATAGACTTGTCTCACTCCTCCAAGGATCCAATGATCATTCATTATGGCCAAGTATATCCGATTGGTCAATGAAACCAACTACCCAAAAAAGTGATGATGAAGTTGAAGTTGTAGTAGTTATAAATATATATATATATATTATGTATATAATTATATAACAAAAAGGATCGGTCGCGCAAATGAGCGAGCGAATAGGATTGAATAGTACAATATAATAAAAGGTTGGGTTGGTTCATGTGTGTCGCAATGTCAATTGAGTCCAAAGGTCCAAGCAGGTCAAAAGATTGTCAAGATGACTCTCCAAGAATCATTCTTGAGAAGGATTGACTGCCAACGATCTTGGTCTGCAGGTAGTCGATGTAGTCGCTGAGATACATCGATATCTGCTCAGACTCTGGCGTGTGGAACACGAATATACCCTGTGAATAGTCGCCAAAGTCCAGTGAAAGGCTCTGCTGCTCCTTGGAGTATGACCACTTTCTAAGTTGTGTCAAAGGGAACTCCAGCAACAGTTTCTAGATTGATGGGTGGGTGGGATAGTTCCAAAGTGTGAGTGATTGATTGGACATTGATTGAATGATTGAATGAGCTTAACTTACCCTGTTCTTTGCGATCATTATTAATATACACTTGCGAGAGAAGCCTAGTAGCAAGGAGCTGTTGTTGGATGAGAGCAATGAGTTGTGATTGGGCGTGACGAATGGGTTGTGATTCTTGTCCTTCTGTTTGACTGTGAAGAATGTTGCACCAAAGGTCTTGAGCGAGCGACATAGTTGCACGTAGCGGAACTTGGCATAGACCTCTTTGATGCCGCGCAGATTGCGATGCTCCTTGTAGATGTGCTTCTCGATCTTTTGGAACGACATGCCCCACAGCTCCAGACAGTCGGCCGGCAAAAAGAACTTGAGGTCCTGCTGCTTGAGGAAGCCGGCCTTGTGTATGGTGGGATTGTGATCGCCAAAGTTGATCTGGAACAGTGTGGCCGCCAGCTGTATCGACTCCTCCATGGAAGCCGCGTACGTGTTGGAGATGATGGCGTCGCGTGATTGGAAGAAAAGCAGGTTGAAGTAGACTGGGTCGTTCTGACAGTCGTCCGAGGCAGTGTCATGCGCGTAGAACTTCTTCTTGAACAATAGTTTGGCGTCGCGGTGCACGTGTTGTTGGGAGAGCGCGACGTATGGGCGCAGCCAAGTGCCATTGCCGCCCATAAACTCATCGTTCTGGTTCGAAGCCGAAGAAACTGGGTCGTTTGGATTGATCGTCTGCACCTGCAATGAGAAGTCCTCTGTATTCCTAATGCCCACCCTCATTCCAATCTCTTGTGTGATCTCTGCCACCGTCTTCTTCTCGTCGACAATGAACTTCTTAACCTTCTTGTCCGAGAACTTAACAATGATCTCACGCTCCTGTACGATGGGGTCTGGGAAAGGTCAAGGGCAATGTGTTAGGGTAAGGGTAAGGGTTGGGGATGAGATAAGGTGGCGTGCGTACCTTTGGAGAATGATTGCATCATCTTGGATGAGAGATCGGTGAGCACTCGCATGACCTTGGTCACTTTGTTGTCCTTGTATAACTCCTTCTTTGAGAGCATTGGATTGTCTTCGTTGACCAGTGTATACAGTGGATTGATGTACATCTTCTTTGGTTCAATATACAGTGGACACTTCTTTGTGTTTGTGGACGAAGATGACAGCAAGCCACCGCCAATGAGTGATGACTTTGATATCTTGCCATCCTCCAATGACGATGTGGAGCAGGCAGACAGCCTGCGCCGCGATGATATCTTGGCCACGGTGCTGTAGTCCCTGTCCCATTGCTTCTGGATGACCGGCATGTTGCGCAGATTGTGATGGATGTATGATGAGAGCACGTAGGAGATGGCCTCGGCCTCGGGCGTCGTGAATGTCATGTTGCGATCAAACTCAATCGTGAACATGTTGTTGAGCACCTGCCACTTCTTGACGCTGGGCAGTGCGTACAGGTGCACCGACGACTTGGTGAATGGGTTCAGGATGAGGATGGTCTCGGCAGAGATGCCAAACAGGAAGCTGTCCGTGCACATCGTCACCTTGAAGAATGTGTAGCCATAGGTCTTGAGCGACTTGGCCAACTGGATGTAGTTTAGCTTTGCCTTCTGCTCGGTCATGCCCGCCAGCTTCTGGTATTGAGCGACAATCTCGCGCTGTGTGCTGCGCAGCGACGTCGACGACGATGATGAGGGCGCGTAGTCCGCGGGCAGGAAGTCGCGTAGCTTGATCGAGTCGAGCTGGAACTCACGTTGATTGTAGTCGCCGAAACAGATCTGACATTGAAGTGCGGCAAACAGCACCGACTCGGCCTGCGAGCATGGGTGCGAGCCGTCGAGTATCGCGTCAAAGCATTGGCAAAAGACAAAGTGCAGCATGTCGGGGTTCATGGAGAAGTCGATGATGATGTCGCCCGAGAAGCAGAACTGGCGCTTCAGGAAGAACGTGGCGTAGAGCGGGTCGATGCCCTGCTCGGGGATGGTGACGTCCGAGGCGAGCCAGCGGCCGACCTCCTCGCGCTCCGTCTCGAGCTTCAGACTGAACTCGTCGGGGTAGCGCAGACTGAGCTTGTTGGCCAGGTCGCTCGAAATCTCGGCCACGGTCTTGGACTCGTCGACGATGAACGTCTTGACGGTCTCGTCGAGCAGCATGCTGCTCTGGTGCAGCGGGTGGACGACACGCTCCCACGGCCCGTAGAACTTGATCTTGAGCGTGCGCATCGTGTTCTTGAACTCCAGCGTCTCGTTAGGGTCGATGTCGTAGTCGGCCAGTGTGCGGTCCAGCTTCAGCCAGCGCGCGTTTCTAAACTGGCCGCTCTGCTGGAAGAGTCCGTAGCGATCAATGTCGCCCCAAGAGGAACTGAATCCCGCTGGGTTATAGTTCTCAATGTCGTTGAACTCATCGATCAGGTCATCATCTTGGTATCCAATGTTATTGTTGTTATTGTTGTTCGCTGTTGTAGTTGTTGATGTTGAGGTTGTGGTCGTTGTAGTCGTGGTCGCTGTTGGGAACACCATCGCCGCGGCAGTAACGCCAGCACCGCCAGTTGCGCCAATACCTCCAGTCGCGCCAATACCACCAGCAGCACCAACAATATGTTGTTCGGATGTTGTGTTGGGACTGATGGACCGCCGCCTCTGTGATGACTTTTCCATAAAGTCTCGCTTCTCTTCGTTGACGACGCGTTGATAGATCTGATGAATGACGTGATCGATCTTGGAGTAGATTGAGAAGCGCATGGTAATGCAGCGATTCTGTCGCACAAGTCTGATCTTGATGGGACGTGTCTGAACGCCAGATGACACATCATTGGGATGTAATCGCGACACCATGAAGCTGATCAACTTCTCGATCAAGTTAAGTGGAATACGCTGCAAGTCCTCATTATTATACTCCATCTTCTCCATGATTGATATAAAGCATAGCTCTACCAATGTTGGCATCATTGTTTGTTGTTGTAGTTGTTGTTGTTGTGGATGTATTTGAAGTATTTGTGTATCTGGCTGCTGTTGTTGTTGTTGTTGTTGTTGCAACTGAGGCTGAGGAGCAACAGCTCCCTGTGATTGTTGCTGTGGCTGCATCATCCTTTTATATATATATATATATAACTAGTCTATAGACTTGCTCGTGCTAATCTACTTCCTTTTAACTGTTTGTTGTACCAGCTTCAAACTAACAAAGTGATGGTACTTGTACGAGCAGCAAGCTGCTCAATGTTTGAATTGATTGATTGATTGATTGACTGAATGGTATGAATGATATGAATGATTGAATGAATGGTACGATTGATTGGTTGATTGAATGATTGACTGTTGTTGTTGATGTTTGTTTTAGACTCTATCTCTATCTCTCTTTGTGCACACGCACATGCACATACACTCAGTCAAGTCTTGTTATCTATCTCTAACACATACACATATACATACACATACAATCACATACATACATAGATACACATAAATTATCAATGATACTAACCACTCTTTGATGATACCATACCAAATCAACTCGGACACCAAAACCATTCAGTGCACGAGTTTCGGTCTTTGAGGGAAGAGGGGGAGCCCAAATTAGCACACTTTGATTCAATCACAACACTTGTTGTGCTGTGTTTATGTGTGTGTTTGGATTGATGGTGATGAGCATCAATAGCTGTTTGATTGAATGGAGGCAACAACCATTGTACACCCATGAACAACTATTAATAATCTTTAATAATTAACAACTTATGGGGAGTCGTCAGCTTCCTCCACATAATAATCATTCCACCACTATTGTTATTTTCGATATATATTTATATGACGATCATTCAATCAATCAATCAATCAAACAATCAATCAATCAATCACACAAATATATAAAATTAACACACAGACAATTATTATTATTAATATAATATTAATATCATCAAACAATCAATCAATCAAGACAGACAGACAGATAGGTAGGTTATTATTTAGATATACAAACAATCATAATTTCCCACCTTGAACACTTTGGAAGGTTGGATTGATTGAACACAATGGGTGGATAGATTTGATGGTTGGACTCTTTAGAGAGGACCATATGACTTCCTTCAGCACAACAACAACAACAACTCAATAGTTATGTCGATATCGATCTAGTGTGTGTGTGGTAGTTGTTTAATTGTTTGTTGGAGACCACCCCATACACGTCCCCTTCACCTTCACTCCACTTCACTTCAATTCAAAAAACAAAACAAAAACAAACAAACAACAAAACAAAACATAACAGCAAAGAATGGGTGTTCTTGTTGTTCGGCATCCATCATTTATTTATTATTATTATTAACAACATCCATTCAAATAATAATAATTCTACATTATAAAACATCATACATATATATACATTCATTATCATTCATTCATTCAATCATTCATTCATTCAACAACATTAGATATACATTAAGATAAAATATATTTTGCGCGCAATCGTTAACAACAACAACAACAACTACATTCATTCAAACAACATAATATTAATAATTATTACTTTAGCATTAGCAATATCAAACAGATAATAATAATAATAATAACAAAATGAACAGAGAATTCAAGATTGTTGTCTTGGGATCAGGTGGTGTTGGCAAGTCTGCCCTCACAGTACAATTCGTCCAAGGTATCTTTGTTGAGAAGGTAAGTTCAGTCCTCATCCAACATGAATGAATGATATACATGCTAACTGACAATTATCAATCATCATTATAGTATGACCCAACAATTGAGGACAGTTATAGAAAGCAAGTTGAGGTCGATGGTGTTCAATATATGTTGGAGATCCTTGATACTGCTGGTACCGAGCAGTTCACTGCCATGAGAGATCTGTACATGAAGAATGGCCAGGGATTCGTGTTGGTATACAGTATCATCTCCAACTCGACATTTGGCGAGTTGCCCGACCTGCGAGAGCAGATCCTGCGTGTGAAGGACTGCGAGGACGTGCCCATGGTTTTGGTCGGCAACAAGTGCGACCTTGGCGATCAGCGCCAGGTGTCCACCGAGCAGGGCCAAGAGCTGGCACAGAAGTTTGGCAGCTGCATCTTCATGGAGGCTTCGGCCAAGAACAAGATCAACGTCGAGCACATCTTCTTTGAGCTCGTCCGTCAGGTCAACCGCAAGAACCCCCAGGGTCCAGCCAAGAAGGAGAAGTCTCGTTGTATGATATTGTAAAGACTCATTCATTCAATCAATCATTCAAACATCCTTCTAGCCAGCCAGTCAGTATCAGCCAACAACAACAATATGTACGCCCGGCCAACATGTGGTTGGCCAATCAATCCCAAGAGGAGGGAGGATGAGGTCATGGCGCGAATCAACTCAACCAACTCATTACTCCAACCATTGATCAAGTGATGGCACATGCCAACACATGTCATAACAACAATGACCTCGTCCTCCTCCTCTTCCTCATCATCATCTGTAACATTATCCCCTTCAATGCGACACCAATACCTCGAAGTAAACCATACCTTGTCTATATTTCTTTAATTAATAACTAGTTGATTGAGTGTTGCTCTCTCTCTCTCTCTCTCTCTCTATCTTGTTGTCTACATGACTTTGCTCGTTGACTCGTCGTAACTCGTTACATGTTGTGTGTGTCTTGTTTGCCAATGTTTGAGTGTCTTGCAAGGATGCGTGACCATGATATCCAATGAGTGTTATTGTTGTTGTAGATTGATGTTGTCGCTTGATGTTGATGATGATGTCGATATCCTCGTTTAAGTGAATGTGTGTATATATTGTATTGTTATATGATGATGACGATCAATGTCCTCCAACATGTTCATTGTTTGTTCGTCATTGATACTGCAGGAATTGTAGTCGCCGATGATGTTACTGATGTTACTGATGTTGTAGTTGTAGGTACAGATGCATCAGCATACTGATCCAAGAACTTCTGTTTCTTCTCATTGTCCTCTTGTCGACCAAAGTACAACGCTGAACCAAACACAGCAAAGAAGGCTACATAATTTAATCGTTCGAATCTCTTCAAGTAACGAAGCATACGTGATCGTGTAAACCTCATGTCTTTGTCACTCTATCTCTCTCTTGTCTTCTGAGTCTGACCTTGTATGTATGTATGTATATGTTTGAGATTGACAATATGATTGATTGAGGCAACAAAGCAAGTGTCGACGCGTGTGGCTACCTTGCAAAACTTGTCGGTTGGAGGTGTAGCCCGCGATGGCATGTCTAGGATTGAGTGAATGTCACCCACCTCATTCAATCTTAATCAATCATTCAATCAATCAATCACATAATATATATATACACATACAGATAACATATATCACAAACAAGAATGAAAGATAGTAATAATACAATGTTGTTGCCTCTTGTTGTTCAAAGAGAGATATTGGAATGTGCCTTTGGAGGCACGAATGTTTATGCTACAACATTTAGATGGAGACTATCTTTGAATACAGTGTGCAAGAAATGGTTTGATTGGATGCGTACAATGGTCACTGATATGAAGGTCAGGGTATCGGTAGCATCGTCATTGCTCGGTCTGCAGACGGCGCACGATATTGCTCACATGCTGGACGATGCACATAACATATTGGCCAACTCAACACGCCTCACCCTGGTGTTCCCCTCGCCCTACTTCCCCTACTCGAGCTGGAGTAGCGAGTCGGTGCTCAAGACATTGCGGCAGGTG